CAAAAAAAAGAAAAGGGAGAAGGAAGCTGCGATGTTCTCATTGGATCGAAAGATTCCGCGTCTATTCATCGTAAGAAACCAGAGATTACTCACAAATAATTAGGAAGCGCAGGTAAATGATAAAAAAAAGATAGTCTATTACTTACTTGATGGAACTCTGTGAATTTGACGATCATCATGTTTGATTGTGTTGCGTGAGAGCTAGAGTGAAGGTAAGGAAGCAAAACATAGTGACGCATAACAGTTATTCAACGTCAAAGCCACTGACCTCTTCCGTCGCTCGGCGTGCAAATAGAGGACAGCGAGCCAAGCTTGCAAGTAGCGAACGACATCGGATTTAGAGTTGCTATTCAATACAATTCAATTTTCGCTTGAGTCTATTCAATCAATTTAAAAAATATAAGGTATCGTGACCAAATGAAACGGGCTATATATATATACGCATCTTTGGGACTAGTGGTTGATTCTTTATGTACTCGTCTTCATATAATACATTAGTCATATCTACAGTACATGTGTTTGGCATGTATACAACCAAAACCGCTTTTTTTTTTTTTTTTTTTTTTTTTTTTTTCGTCATTTGCAACTTTAAAAAACTTTGGAATAGAAGGTGGAGGGGGAACGGACGATATTCATATACATACATAATATGAACGCGCTTTTCTTTTTTCTTTCTTTGAATTGTCATTACCTGAATAGATCCTAATATGATTGTATATAAAAGAAAAGAAAAAAGAAGAAAAGAAAAAGAAAACAGGAATGAAGGATATTATATATATAAAATGAAAGAAAAGGCATAAAGATATAAAAAAAAAAATAAAAATAAAAATAAAAAAAAAGAAAGAAAGAGCAAAGGGATATTTATTTAAATGAAAAAGGAAAAAGAGAAAGGGACAATTATAATATTATATAATATATATATATATATATATATATATATAACCAATCACAAATCTATAAAAGAGATATGAGGATAACAATCTAAACATACACAGCAGTGAAAGAAATTTCATCAGACGCGTAGCCTAGCCGTAAGTCGCATGCAGGAAAGGCAGAAAAGATACGAAAATGAAGACCATGTACATGTATACAATACAAGGCTATAGGCATAGATAGATATATGTATAATAGGTATAGGTATAGGTATAGGTATAGGTATAGGTATAGATAGAGGTAGAGATATAGATTTAAATACAAATATAAATATAAACATAAACATAAATATAAATGTTAACTTTTCAGGTTTCAATAGCCAACAATGCAGATATAAAGATGAAAAAAAGATGAATAAACATTATTCTAAACAGATAGAGTAGGATCATGCATATAGAGTCATCTAATATAATATAATATAATAAAACTGTAGACCCCAAAAACCAATCCAAGGCTTTTTGCTTTACTTTCTTTCTTTCTTTCTTTCTTTCATTCTTTCTTTCTTTCTTTCTTTCTTTATTTCTTTATTTCTTTTGAACAGAGCCAGGGAGTAAAGTTTTTATGGATGTCGTATGGATTGAATCAGCCAAAGAACCACAAATAAGTATTAATAAAAAGAAAAAAAAAAAAAAAAAAAAAAAAGAAAGAAAGAATAAAACTGGTCTGCAAGGGATGAAAGGAGAGAGCTGACCAAATCGTGTTTTTTTTTTTTGTTTTTTTTTCACGAGTCCTACAGTAAAAGGACAAAGGGCAAATGGCGAATGGCGAATGGCGAATGGCAAAAGGCAAATGGTAAGGAGCAAAAAAAGAAAAAAAAAAAAAAAAAGCAAGGGAGAGAGAGAGAGGATGAGAGAGAGTGAGAGGATGATAAAATGAAGCGGTAAAAAGAAAAGGAGATCTTCCAATCTATGCCCTACCTCACCCCATTCAGCCGTTACTGTATCATTTTCATCAGACCGTGGTTTTTTTTTTTTTTTCTTTTTTTTAACCGAAGGATCTCTATTGGTTTCAAAGTCTTTCTTTCTTTTTCTATTTTTTTTTTTTTTTTTTTTGCAGATCATTGTTCACAATGTTGTATCGTATCGCATCGTATCGTATCGTATCGTATCAGAGGGTATAGGTCAGTTTAAAAAAGCCGTTTTATTTTTATTTGGATTCTCCATAGAAAAGCCATTTCTGATTAGTCTCATAGGCAGCATAGGACCAAACATAGGATAAAAGTTTATTCTGTTTATAATACTACCGACACGTAATGTCTCGCTTATATCCTATCCTCCCTCTCTTCCTGACTGACTTTAATTTAGAGGACAAGAACAATAATCCTGTATACATGACATCTAGATAAGAATAACAACAAAAACAGGGGGGGGGGGATCCTACCGGATTGGGTCACAAAAAGCAAAAGCCAAGGCCAAAGCAATTAAGAGAATAGACACAGAGCGTAAGGAACAGGGTACAAAAGAACACAGACCTTAATTTCCCTTGTGGAGTAAAAAAAGGGCAAACCATACCAAACCAAACCAAAAAAAAGACGCGGCAAATACAAAATACTTTTTTTTTTTTTTTTTTTTTTATTTTTTTTTATTTTTTATTTTTTTTTTTATTGCTCATGATCGGTCGGGAAAATGGAATGGAGAAAAGGTATGAAAGAGAGAAAGAGGAAAAAAAAAAAAAAAAAAAAAAAAGAGGGCAAAGAGGAAAACTCCCCTAGAAATCTCATCAGGGTATTAACAGAACAGACATGCAGGGCTTTTTGAAAGTATAAAAAAACAAAAACAAAAAAAAAAAAAAAAAAAAAGGATTGGAGTCATTAATTGCTTAATTGCTTTTTTTCTTTTTTCCCTTTTTCCTTTTCAATGAAATATTTTCCTCCGCTCTCGAAAGGGGGCGGAATGCACAGGGTAGAAATGGGCGGGGGATCAAGGATAGATGAGATATTCCTTGGTGCAGAGTCGAAATGAAAAGCGCCAAAATTAAAGACTAGAGGGTACAGAATTGTGGAGAGTAATTAATAACTGAGAAAAAGTATTAAAACAACAATGTAAACTTTGCTTTGCTTTGCTTGCGCCTTGTTTGCTGTTGCTGTTGTTGTTGCTGCTGCTATTGTTATTGTTATTGTCTTCGTTTTAAACATTCAAAAACCAAAAACCAACCACGACCCTGTCTCGTCCTATCTCCTGCCCTATCAATCTCCTGTCCTGTCCTGTTCTATTCTGTCGTTATTTGTTTGTTGGAATGCATTTTTTGTATTCTATCTATTACATGTTATTTAAATACAATACATTCATGACTATGGACATTTATTTTATTTTATTTTATTTTTTTTGTTTTTACGCGCATTGATTATTATGTTGCATAAATATTTATATATTATCATCTATTTCAAAATGATCAAAGCTTTTCTATACCAAAAAAAAAAAAAAAAAAAAAAAAAGAGGGTCATGTTTAATCGTGTTTATTCTGGATGTGGAGAAGTAAAAAAAAAAAAAAAAAAAAAGCCCTTTCCTTCTTCAACTGGTTCAAACAAATAAATGAAAAAAGTAGATAGATTATAGGCTAGTTTTGTAAAGCAATCAACAACAAAAAAAAAAATACCAGCAAGACATCAAGACATCAAGACATCAAACAACAACAGCAACAACATAACATTCAACAAATGACAAACCATTATAAAAAAAAAAAAGAAAAAGAAAAAGAATAGTAATATAATAAAAATATATATAAACATTTATATATAAAAAGAGCTTCAATACGACTGGTGGACCGAGGTTCAGGATCGGGTCCTCTGCTCACATGCACGGTGATGTTGGATGATTTTTTTTTTTTTTTTTTTTTTTTTTCTTTTCTTTTGTCTGTGGTTAGTTGGTTAATAGGTTTTAGTTTTTTTTGGTTAATTGGCCAATTGGTTGGAAAATAAAAAAAAAAAAAATTCCAAAAACCCGAAAAACGTTCATCTGTTCAACTTGACCCGTTAGAAACTTGCTCTTGTTATTATTACTACATGTATATATATATTGTTATATATTATTATTATTACTATCATTATCATTATCATTATTACTATTATTATATATTATTATTATTATTATTATTATTATTACAGCAACTTGGTTTCTTCTTTTCTTTCCTTTTCTTTCCCTTCCCTATCTTTCTCTTCCTCCCCCCCCCTTACTGCGCGATATTGCGCGTGTTTTTTCTTTTTTTTTTAAAAAAAAAAAAAAAAAAAAAAAAAGAGTAGAGCAATTATGGACGTGTTTGTGTGTTGAGCTTTCAGAGATGGGAAAAAAAAAAAAAAGAAAAGAATGGGAATAGAACAAAGAGACAATCTACTCTCCTTGAGACATGGATGGGAGAGTAAGAGAGCAGAGAGCAAAAAAAAAAAAAAAAAAAAAAAAAAAAAAAAAGCCAGGAAGGGGATGAGGTCAAGAACTAGGGACTAGGGGATGAAGACAACATGGGGTAGTAACAAGGGGGTGTGGTGGGAAGGGAAAGGAAAAAAAAAAAAAAACTTGTCCACCACACACATTCATTTTCATATTCACATACGCATAGTCAACATTTATTCATATTCACATACGCACACCACAGATGTATTCGCATTTGGCATATAAAAATGAATGTTCCTCTCCCATTATCCTATTGTCCTATTGTCCTACTGTCCCATTGTCCCATTGTTGATTGTTGTCTGTCTGTAAGGAAAAAAAAAAAAAAAAAAAAAAAAAAAAAAAAATTAGCTGTGTGTGTAAGGTGTGTGAGACTTTTTTTTTTTTTTTTTTTTTACATTTGGTGGCAAACGGAAACAAAAGAAGATTTTTGGGTGTGACTGTTGCCGATGGCACAGATCCAAGCATTTTACCATTTACCATTGACACATGGAATGGATAACATCTTTGTAACAAGGGGAAAAGGCTTTTTTTGTAAATGGATATTTTTACAATCCATGGTATGGAATGGAAAAACGGAGCTTTACTTTCTTTACTTTTGCTTTGCTTTGCTTTTTCACTTTGGGTTCTACTTGTATGCCTTGTACATGTATGCATACATTCTTGCTTTGCTCTTTTTTTTTTTTATTTCCTTTTCTTCTCTTGTTTCTTTCTTTCTTTCTTTCTTTCTTTCTTCCTTCCTTTCTTTCCTTTCTTTCTTTCTTTCCTTTCTTCTCTTTTTCTTCGCTTTGCTACTTCTCTATTGCATCATTGCCTTCCCCATTGTCTTTGCGTCCATTTCCAGAGTTCACACCTCTCATTCCTCTCCATCACCACATTCCTTTCCCTTTCTTTACAAACTTCCTCTAATAACCCATAATGAGTTCTCCTTTGAACCCTGGAACTGCAACAGAACACAGCTTCACCCCTGTTCAGGTAAAAAAAAAAATTCAATTGCCAATTGCTATCGTTTTGTCGTGTCTTGTTGTTGTTGTTGCTTCCGATGGTCCAATAGTGGAAATCAAAATCAATTGATGGCGTATATATGAGTATATGTTTATATGTCTATCACTCCAATTGGGTTCCTGACTTTTATTTTTTTTTTTTTTGCAACTTCAAGACCCTTTCTGAACAAGAAAAAAAGTTACAACGACTCTATGGAAACAGACTCCCAACGGCACAGGGCCTCTTAGGACAGAAGTTGAAGGCAAGTTTCATACTAATGTCATGCTCATTATCCGCAATCAACCATCTACCCAACAATCAAATCGATACCGTGTTCTTTTTTTTTTTTTTTTTAATGTTTTCATAAAATATAAAAAAAAAGTCTTGTATCAAACACCGCAGTTTGTGAATCTCCGTTTTTTTTTTTTTTTTTTTTTTTTTTTTTCTTTTCCTCCCGATCTCCCTTTCCCTTTTCCTTTTCCTTTTCCCTTTCACCTCCATCTCCTGTTTTCCTTCCTCCGCATTTTCTTCCCTGTAGCTGCACAGCGATCCTTATTCATTTGGATTCAATGCATACCTGATCTGCGTCCTTTTTTTTATTTTTTTATTTTATTTTATCCGATTTGCTCGGAATCAATTGAGACTTTAAATACCTTTTTAACGGTTTCAATTCTCTTTTAGCATTTGACTTTTTTTTTTTTTTTTTTGACTTGACTTGACTTGACTTGACTTGACTTGACTTGGCTTGGCTTGGCTTGGTTGGGGTATAAATCTAAAAAAAAAAAATAATAACTCACTAAACTAACTCTTAACATCCATATACTTTTTTATAAATACATATAAATATATATATATAGGAACGGAAATACTTTGATTCTGGAGACTACGCACTTTCCAAGGCTGGAAAGACATCAGCAGCTGTGGGATCTCAACACCCCCAACCAGAAAACATCCCTCATTCGACTCCATCTACAGCAACTCATCATGGATCACCACCTGTGAAGGAGAGTTCATTGATTCATGAAGCTGATGTAACACCAGAAGTGCATCCTACAAGTGCACAGCCAAATGTTTGAACAAAACCAAAAAAAAATCTAGCAAAAATATAAAAATAAAAGTAAAAAAAAAAAAAAAAATAAAAGTAAAAAAAAGGAATAGTCTAATGTACCAATCATAAAGCGATAGGAAAGAAGAAAGGAAAAAAAAAAAAAAAAAAAAGTACGCAAGGGGGTGTAGTAAATAGGTTGGAGCAGAACACGAGCATAAAGAAAGAGAAACAAAAATAAAAAGGAAAAAAGTATAATGTTTCTTCACTTTCCTTTGGCTCTTTTTGCTTTTGGCTTTGGCTTTGGCTTTGGCTCTGCTTTGGCTTTGGCTTTGGCTCTGCTTTGGCTCTGGCTTCGGCTCTGGCTTTGGCTCTGGCTTCGGCTCTGTGGCATGCTGTACGTTTGTACTTCGTTCCTCAAGTTCATTCTTTGAGAGTGGGAGATTTACAGATTAGAGCATGGACCACATCAAGATTCCTTTCCCTCCCCCAGTCCTCCAACGCTCATTTTTTCACACAAGTCAACAATCAACAAGTACGACTGTCCTACATGTACATTTCACACGGACGCACATTTTGCAATATAATATATATATATATATATTATCAATCCTTTTTTTTTTTTTTTTTTTTTTTTTTTTTTTTTTTTTTTTTAAAAAAAAAATGCACATCAATCTTCATCTTCAACAATGCTTAAACAAGGAGAAAGATTGAGAAAAAGAAAAAAAAAGAGATTGGGGTAAAGGAAGGGGAGGAGATGCATATGATTTTTTTTTTTTTTTTTTTTTTTTGTAATGGCATGCATCATTTTCATGTTTGTAGACTGCGTCGTATAAAAGAGGACATTTCCTTGGTAACATGAACATGTACACATGCAAAGTATAGAAATAAAAATACTATTTTCCTTTGATTTGAAAAGGAGATCCGAGCGTCCAAAAAAATAAAAGGATTAGAAAGACTACTAGGCTTTTTTTTTTTTTTTTTTTTTTTGAAAGGAGAAAAGAGGAGGACAATGATTGGAAGAGAAAGATGGATGAAGAAGACGATGGAGGAGGGAGAAAGACAGTTCAAAGATGTAGTCGCATGACGTCCCTTTTTTTATTTTTATTTTTCATCATTCTTATCATTATCATTATCATTATCATTATCATTATCATTATCGTTGTTTTTTAACGCATTCAATGTGGTTGCCTTGTTAGACATGTGTTGTTTGTCCATAAAAAAAAAAAACGGAAAAAAAAAACTGGGTCCTAGAAAAAAAAAACCCTTTTTTTTTGAATTTCCTCCGCATTCGTTTAGTTCGTGCTTTTTTTTTTTTTTTTTTTTTTGTGCATGTGTGTGTAGTGCGAGAAAAGTACATAAACAATCGCATGTCAAGGGGAGAAGGTGGTTTTTTTCTTTCTTTCTTTAACGTTCCACAGTTATAATACTGTTTGTAAGACATTGAGGGGGCATGCATGTCCAGGTAAGCTGAAGAAGCGCGTCATCCTTTTTTTTTTTTTTTTTTTTTTTTTTTTTGGCATGATGCCACAACTGCTCAAAAGAAGAAAATGCAATGTTTGCAAAAAATATAAAAAAAAATAAAAAAATAAAAAAAAAAAGGGCGAAGCAAGCAAACTCTTTTTTAAACTTTTTTGTTTTAGAAAATTACCCGTAGTACGTATCAAAATTATCATACTTGCTGAGGAAGAGATGAGAATAAAAGCAGTAGTAGTTGTAGTGCTTGTATTATTATAATGACCAATGACCAAGGTTGAAGCTTTTTCTTTTTGCAAGTTATTATTAAAGAAAAAAAAAAAAAGGGGGAAAGGAGGAGGGGAGAAGACAAAGTTGCCATCATCAATAAAGATCTCCGCAGTATTTCTGTATCAGTTGTTGTTGCAACTAACCTTGACTCTGTGGATCTTGCTCCACCACCTTGTATATGGTATCAGAATGATTCCTTGAGCTTATTGTTAACTACTACTGCTATTACTACGACTACTACGACTACTACGGCTACTACGGCTCTTATTGTTATCATAGTTATCGTTGTTATTATCATCACCGCACCACCGTCATCATAATCTTCCTTTTACATCTTGTCCATACCCTTTTTTTTCTGAAAGTACAAGGTTGAAAGTTGCAGAGTTATAGTTCACCCGTCATTTTTCATTTATAGGTTTATAGGTTTATAGGTTTACAGGTTTATAGGTATCATGATAAGATGCTCTCCTTTCCTACTCCTACGTTTCTACAGCTTCTACCTCTGCTCTTTGCTATTACTCCCGCTACCCTTACCCTTACCCTTACCCTTACCCTTACCTGAGCCGTCTTAGAGACAATTCCTTCTAATCGAAAGAGGAGGGGGGGGGGGGTTATGTTCTTGCGGAGGAAAATATTTTACCAAGAAAATAAAGATGAATAAAGGAACAGAAGCGAAAGTCAGGTTAAAAAAAAATAAACTCATAACCACTATAGATCTACATGTACATGTACATGTACCACAATTTAAAAGTCGTAGGAAAACGCCCATTCAACCGTCCGTCTTCATTTACTCAGCCGGAGCCAGACCTGAACAGATCAAACTTCCCTTTGGAATGAACACCCATTGCCGGGTTCCTGTCCATCCTAAGAGTGAGCCGAAAATACAGGGCAAGGCGTGGTTCCTATAAAGAACATTGGCTTCCATCTCTCATAAAAGACCAGCATCAGGTGACAACACTTCACATCTGATCACGAAAAAAGAGAGCGAGATCGATGCCTACACCTTCCACCGCATGATATTATTGTGATAGAATTATTCATCCTTAATTCATTCTTACATGGATACATACACATGCAATTTTGAAAGAAGTCTTTGTGATCGAGTTCAGCCAATCAGTTGTGGAAAGATAGCCAAGTCAACTCTCCAATTTTCTAGAACTGCGTCTAAAAAAAAAAAAAAAAAAAAAAAATTCAGATCTACAGGCCTACAGCATCTTGTACAATCTCATTCGAACAATCAACACAGCCTCCCATCATCGTATGTACAAATTTATGGACAAGTGAGCTTAAGCGACAAAAATTTTAATGTTACAAGAAATGGGATAGACAATATGCAATTGGAGGGGGGTTTTTTTGATCAAGTCTTTTGGTCTGGTATCTGAACTTCAGCAAAAGCGAATATTGTAGTTGACATTGCTGAAGCTAGCAGCACACACTCTAGCCGCTTTCTTTCTTTCTTTCTTTCTTTCTTTCTTTTTTCTTTCTTTCTTTTTTTTTTTTTATACATGCGCGAGGATGGAGATCATGGTCATAGTTATAGTTCCTTTTTTTTTTTTTTTTTTTTTTTTTTAGCTTCGTGTGTACACCTTCACAATTGAATCTGCTCCTCCTGTGGCTAGAAGGTTGGGTAGTGTTGGATGGTACTGGACTGCGCACACCCCTTCGTCACCCTTGCGACGATGGCCCGTGAATTCTTGAACACATGGCCGTGTTGATGATGCAATATCCCAGAGTCGAACTGATGAATCATGACCGCCCGAACAAAGAACTAGTCCTGCAGGGTCAATATCTAATGAAGAAACTGCGTCCAAATGCGACAACATTGAAAATGTGCATGCTCCTAGACAGGATTGCATAAAAATAATAGTCATAATAAATTATTTTTAGTAAAGGAACAATGTTGGTTTGAAGAAAGGAAGGAAAAAAAAAAAAAAAAAAAAAAAAGATCGTGAGCTCCTTACCACTGTTGAGATCAAAGAAGCGAATATACCGATCCTCGTGACCAGAAACTACAATCGGTAGCGTAGGATGGCAGATCACTTTGTTGATCTGTGTCGCTGGAGTACCATCTAGATAAAGAACCAAAGACATCGAGCATGGACGTTAAACAACGAATCATTCTTTTCATCATTTTTTTTTTTAAAGATTATAGTTCTTGAGAGTCGAAATGAAAAAAGGAAAAAAAAACTTTGCAAACATTACCATAGGACTCATCGCTCTTGAATGTCAGGATGACTTTTCCGGTCTCAATATCAAAGAGCTTAATCACAGAGTTTGTATAACTGACTACCATCTTCTTCAAGTCGGTTGGGCAGAAATCCAGGCTGGTTGGCACTGGTAGTTGTGACAACGCATTCGTCGTAGCAGACTTGGATTCAACGCCGTTGTATCCCCATGACGATTTCAGTGGCGAGCCCTTTGTCTCCGTATCCCAGATCTTGAGTGATCCATCAGCAGATATGGATCCTAATAACTGTGAAGATGAGATTGACAGAGGGAACAGTCGAATGTCCCACACTGCATCTGTATGACCAATATATGTTGATAATGTCATCGATGGGTCTATAAGGATATGAAACAAAAAGCATAAAGTCATATTGAGTGAGTATTAAAAAAAAAATAAAATAAAATAAAAAAAAAAAAAGCCTTTTTGTAGTATTGGTACACAACACTTTTGACAGTTACAGGGATTCAGAAACAAAAAGGCTTACCGAGAGGAGCATATGTTTCCTTGTTCATAGGGGCTAGCTTGTAGGATCGCACTGTCGAGTCCAAGCTGGCAGAGAAACATTTGTTTTGATCAGCCGAGATGACGACTGCGGTAACAGCCTTAGTATGTCCTCGATACGTATGAATAGGATCAACCTCCCCATTGAGGGGCCGCTTCCCTTCCTTCAGCGACGACTCCAAGTTCCAATATTTCATAGTGCCATCATCTGATCCTGATAGTATTGATTTGTTGGTGGGGTGGAATGCAATCGAGCGCACAGTGTCCATGTGTCTTCTCAAAGTGATCTTAGGGCGCCAGCGAGGCGGCTCATCAGATAAAGGTTCTCCATCTTTACTTCCAACATCAGCGACATCATCTTCAGTTACGCTCAAGCTGGCAAGCTCATCCAGCATTGCTAAAGGAAGTATGAGAGTAATAAAATCGTTAGCAATCTTTGTAATGCTCATATGCTCAATATATATGGCATAGAGTACCAAGTATTAAGCTATTGGTTATCACCATACCTGAATCCTTGCCCTTCTTCTTTCGGATCGATTTTTGTCCAACTACTCCTCCATCTTGTTTAGACTTGTCCCAGTCCTTGACCATCTTATTTAACCTTTCGGACGAAATGTTGAACTTGTCCTGGACATCCTTGCTCTATGGAGTGTCGTTACATAGAGTGTTAGAATCAATCAAAGAGCATATATATGTATATGTATTTTTTTTTTTTTTTTTTTTTTTTTTTTTTTTTGTAGCTCGCATGAGTATTACCAATTGAACCTCATCCTCAACCTTGGTACCTGTCTTCTTGGATTTGGACTGCTGAGACAATTGCTGGCCTGCCTTTTGAAGTTGAGCATGCCATTGTTCTCCGGAAAGTGGCGAGTGCATGACGGTTATAGGCTCCTCGTCGACATTGTCCGATTCATCAGAGGCAGCCTTCTCTTGTTCCTGTTTTGCGCCATTTGAAGGGGGAGTGACCAAAGGGGCAGGAGCAGACTTCGAAGCTGTCTTGGCTGCTATTGTGGTATTTGTCAATCCCTCGGCGACTATTGAGCGTGGCTTGGATGGAAACTGTCGCAGAGTGGCGTCCTCGATCTTATCCTCAACTGGGGCGCCAGCGATTCCCACATCTGCTGGGTCCAGAGGCTGGGTAAGAGCAGAGGGCTTTGGTGCAGAAAATGACTGTAGAGTGGAGACAGGGACTGAATTTGCTCTGTTCAAAGGTGGTGGGGCTACGGCCGACTGGTTGGCAGGGAAAAAGTCGCTCCTTCTATTTCTAGCTCCTACAGCAGCCGAACGCCTATCGGCTTCATTTCGAGCAAGTCGACTTGGTGCTGGCGGCATGGTTACTGCAATGGACTGAGGCACAGAAGAGGTCAAATAGCTGATTTCTTGAAGACATCTAGAGGGTTTTCATGAGAAAAACTGGTGTGTCAGGAGACATATGAACCAACACTACACATGAGAATAGGAAGATGAGCACAGAGCACAGAGCAAGAGAGCAATGCTTACATTCTCAGGAACTCCCTGCTCTTTGCGCGTCCTATTGGATCAAATGCAGGGGTTGAGGAAGTTGGGCTGACTTGACTCATGTTCTGTCCTGGATTGCTATAAGTCGACAACCTGTTCATGCCCTTGTTGTTTACTTGTCCAGTAACACCGTTTGCACTTGACGCTATATTAATTTTGATTAATTACGGAGCGTAATCAATTAGCTTTTTTTTTTTTTTTTTTTTTTTCAGGTGTGTATGACCATGTGGTCATCATTTGCATCGCCCTATCCATGTACACATGGGAATGTGAAGTTTCTGAGATAAGATCTCAACGCCTAGCCGAGAGAATAATATAATCTGTGTTTTGACAAGTATCACGAGTCTTTTCTTTTTGTTTGTTATAGTTATCATTTAAAATACTTACGAGTTACACCACCGGATGGGGATTGTGATGGGGCACTGACCGCATTGCTATCCTTGCTTTCGACGTATTTACTCCTAAATCATATTTCGTTTACATCATGAGAACAAACAAATAAAAAGTATCAGTAACAAGCTCAATCCCAATATTAATACTCAACCCTGTTATTCACTCTCACTGCAGCTGATCTTTTTTTTTTTTTTTTTTTTTTTAAGATGCTGGAAAGGGATGGGAACATTATTGGTAGAGCCAGAAGGCTCGAGTATAAACAAGCTTTCATAAAATACACACACCCCTTGTTTGGCAGATTTTCAACGTGGAAAATAAAATTGATTGAATGGAGGTCGAGGAGGATAGCATATGAAAATGCATGTGTGGATAATACAATCAAGCATATGAATATGAAATATGAATAAATGAAGCAGCAGACCAACCAACTCTCATCAGATGTTTTTTTTTTTTTTTTTTTTTTACCTCTCCTGTCTCAGGGCATATTCTAGCATCTTGACACGCTTCATAAGATCAATCTTGATGTTATCAACACCACGCTTCTCGCCTTCTAGAAAGGCAATGCGTGCCTTGATGATGATTATATTTAGAAGCATTTAAATTGTTTTTTTTTTTTTTTTTTTTTTTTTTTTTTTTTTTAATAAAAAGCAGTTTTTTTTAGTCTTTGAGCTTATAAAAGATCAGCTTGTAAGTTGGTAATTGTGATTGCAGTTCAGCATTACCTTCATTTCAGCCTTTTCAATATCCCATTCATTCCTATCACGCTCGAATCGACGCCATTCGGACTGAAGGAACTGCAGAACTCCTGGAAAAGCATATTCTGACACGGGCAGTGGCTGGGGCTGAGAGAAGGATTGGAATTGATTCATGATTTTTGTTCTTCTGACTTCACTTTTAGCTATGATGTATCAATGCGAGGTGTGGCTGCTCAATAAGAGCAAGGTGGATCAAAGAAAAAGAGGAGATAATAATAATAATAATAATATTAATAATAATAAAAAAAGAACTGGTCATGAATAGAGAAAAGAGCGAACAAGATATATTGGATTGGTTAGAATATGAATGATGATATGGGTAATGGATTGTTATGGCGCTCGTATTTTAGAAACACATATGCATATAAAGAAAGGAAGAAGAAAAAAAAAAAAAAGAGGAAGGATATCGTCCAAGATGTCTAAGAGATGATTGCAATGAATGCTTATGATACACACATCTCTCGAAAATAGACACAATGAGAATGACTGGCTTACATCGTCACTTTTTTTTTTTTTTTTTTTTTTTTTTGGGCTTAAAAATAAACCAGAAATAAAGCTCCTAAATGTCAACAGGATCCTTATTTATCTTTTCCCCTTCGTTTTAAATAACAGAAACGCGATTTGTCCGAAAAAGAAAAGATAAAAACTAGGATTAAGTCAAGAAAAAAAAAAAACAAAAAAAAGGATAATTGTCATTGGAAAGGGGGTTCCTAGGTTGATGAGTAGCAAGCGAATATCATGTATCTGTTCAAGAGAAAGGGAAAAAAAAAAAAAGCATTTACAGTTGTTTTTTCTGTTTTCTTCTGTTCCGGCGTGAGTGGGTGGGTTTGTGTTTTAATAAAAATTACAGGGTGGATGTAATGATGCCAGAAACTAGAGGAGAGGAGAGTGAGGAATGAGAAGGAAATGAAATGAGGTAGAATGAGAGGGAGGATTTGAAAGGAGTGAGAGCGGAAGGATGAAGAGACAGAGAGAAAAGAAAAGAAAAAAAAAAAAAAAAAAAAAAAGAGAGAGAAGCAGAAGCAAGAATGTTGGAAGTAGCGGGATAAAAAAAAAAAAAAAAAAAAAATGAATCAATGAATAACATTTCCGTGTTCTGTGTAATGAAAATAAAGTAATAGAGTAATAGAGTAGAATGTACGACCGAGACATTCGCAGGTCTGCCATGTTTAAATGTATTTTTATTCTAACGAGGTATAGGGAACAAACACATGGCTATCTCTGTAAAAGACAGCAACTACTATCGTTAATAAAACAGAGTGAAATGTGCTCGATCCAGATCACCATGACATGCATTCTCCCTTCAGCATTCATCGCCAAAGAAAACGAAATCTAGCCAGTTTCATTGACACGCTTTAAAAGAAAAAATAAAATAAAATAAAATAAATGCGTTGCACTTTCCTTTGGATTTTTTTTTTCTTTTAAAGAAAAACGCTTGCCCAAAGAGCACGGCACGGCATAAAATTATTTAAATATGAAGGTGTAATTCATTTTCATTCCATTTTTGCTTTTCCTCATTTCTCTTTTTTTCCATTCTCTCAGTCAAAACAAGCCAATTTCTTTTTTCGATCTCTTACATTCATACAAACATACAACATACACACACAGCAACTTTCTTTGTCATCATGTCCATCCTCAATGTCTATGTCACAAGTGAAAACAACTCAACAGAACTTAGACTGTCCAAAGCATTGACAATCGATAACCTCAAGGTAAACAAATCAAAAAACAAATAACAATAGTATATAATTGCAGTTATAAAATACTATTACTATTATTATTGTTACTATTATAATAATAATAATAATAATATTTTATAATAATGGTAAATAAACAGAGCACATGATATCTAAAAAAGTTATTAGATCCACAGCGGATCAATTGAACCCTGGGAAAAGTGATCAAAAAAAAAAAAAAAAAAAAAAAGTTTACTTCTTTTTATCCTTTCATCACTCACTGCCCCTTGCTATGCATCGTATGCATTGACTGAAACAATCAAAAAAAAAAAAACGAGGGAGTGGGGGGATGGAGGGAAAGGAGAATGGTGGCCGGTAACGATGAAATGTAACTTGTAACTGAAAGGGAAGATCTACTAGATTTACATAAAAACACGACGGAATAAACTCTGCTTCCTGACCTCTCCACATGATGTATCACCATCGTTGTTTATCTGGGAAAGAAGGATACTTTTTTTTTTTTTTTTTTTTTTTTACTTTCAACTCCACATTGCGGGACATTGGCGGGGCGCGGGAAGTCATCTCTACCACAAACTCTTCAATCCCATCTCCCCTGCAGTTTACAAGCTTTTTTTTTTTTTTTTTGTTGACAAAGTGGGTGAATGAGCTCATGATCGTTGTGTGTTCATGATAGTTTATGTTTATGAAAGTCTTATTCAAGATGGCTCTCTTTCTCTTTTTTTTTCAAAAAAATCTCTAGGTCAAGCTCGAGCCCATTACTGGAATCAGTCCTTCGTTCCAACAGTTGCAGCTGTACCACAATGATACATTCGTCACATCGCTCGAGGGACACCCCGAAGGAACCATGCTCGGAGCCTTTCCTATTGAGAACTATTGGAGAATCAATGTAAGCTTTTTTTTTTTTTTTTTTTTTTTTGCATCTTTTTTTAACTCTAAAAAAAAAAAAAAAAGCATGCAATGTGTGATCAGCGATCCGATTTTTGTCGATCTAGAACATGATGTTAAAAAAACGCGAATCTCCTCGTTGCACCGTTACTTTTTTTTTTTTTTTTTTTAAACCCTTTTACTTTCTTTACTTTCTTTACTTTCTTTACTTTCTTTACTTTCTTTACTTTCTTTACTTTCTTTACTTTCTTTACTTCCTTTACTTCCTTTACTTCCTTTACTTCCTTTACTTCCTTTACTTCCTTTACTTCCTTTACTTTTACAGGTGATCGATACTAATCCCTCACGCGTCAAGGGACGATTCAATGATGTATCACTCGTGGAAAAGTATGAACTTCCCGATGAAGAGTATGAAAAGAGAACAGGTAAAAATAAAAAAAAATGAAATACTCGAATCCCGCCACTTTTTCATTACTGACCTAACTAGGATCTTTGGATAAAACTGTTGTAACAAAAAAAAAAAAAAAAAAAAAAAAATCACATGAAGCCCATCTTTTATTTGATGAAAGTGGGTGTAAAAGCAGGTGGAATGTGCGTGCGCAAAAACGTATTTTAATCAACTTTGTTTTCCTTTTGGTGTCACGATGGACAATGGTCATGAAGCGTGATCTCTCTTTATGATGCAACCGCACTTTTGTTGTACAATCAAATCAATGTACACATGTGACCCCGTTTGGTTACATCTTCCTTAATCACCTTACTCGTCTTGCTACCAACAACAACAGCAACAGCAACAAAAAAAATTATATTGGTCATCTCATAAAGCTCGTTAAGCCGTTCTGACGATTGTCTTTTGTTTGTTTACATAATGGTGTGGTGGTGTTTGGTTCACATTTGTAATCCTTTCATTGAATATGAACCCCCATCTATGCTTCTTACATTTAATGCCCGCGCTTTTTGTTTACGTGTGTGGTTTTTTTTATTTTTTACAATACCAAGAATGAGGAGCCAAATCTCTTTACTCTCCCATTAAAGTACATAGACATGGTCTTCTGATTCTTGTTACACACTTTTCTCTTCTTTCTTTTTTATTCTTTATTTTTATTTTTCTGATCTGTCATCAATAATTAGATACGGTTCTAGCTTTCAAGAAGCGGAATAACCTTGGACGATTCAATGATGCTGCTTCGGATTCTTCATCCGCTTCGGCTCAGAATCGAGCCTATGAAGAAGCTGCCAAGAATATTAAGCTCGGTGATCGGTGTGAAGTCAACATTGGTGGTGAAATGAAACGTCGAGGCACTGTCAAGTTCATTGGTAAGTTTAGAACATGAAACGAAAATGTTCGTTCGTTTCGTTCGTTAGAGATTTATTTAATTACTTATATTTTTATTTATTTATTTATTTATTTATTTATTTATTTATTTATTTATTTATTATTAAATTCATTGATTGTTACTGTCAAATAGGTCCAACTGAGTTCCAGACCGGACTCTGGGTTGGTGTGCACTATGACGAGCCTTTAGGAAAGAACGATGGCAGTGTGCAGGGTGTACGTTACTTTACGTGCCCTCCCAACCATGGTTCCTTTGTCCGACCTGACAAGGTCCAAACCGGAGATTTTCCAGAAGAGGACCTCTTCTCAGACGAAGACATGTAGAAGCTCATCTAGAAACAAGGAAATAAAAATGCTTTTTCTTTCTTATCTATTTCTATCTAGTTCTCTATCAGTTTTTCTAAGAAGTCTTTGTTTTTAACATAGGACTGATTCTTTTTTTTTTTTTTTTTTTTTTTTTATTTTTTTTATTTTGTTCTTTCAAAAGATCAAAAAAGCTTGTCGTTACATCAAATCATGGAATAAAAAAAATAAACCCCATTACGAAAAAAAAAAAAAAGGTAAAGATCATAGGAATATATTTATTGGATATCCATGTCATCGTCAGAACGTTCTTCTAATTGTTCTAGTTGTTCTTCTTCTTCTTCTTCTTCTTCTTCTTCTTCTAGTTCTTCTTCAGCTTCACTCCGTATCTCTTTAAATCCTCTCCGCGTCCTTCTTCGTGTTATTGCTGTCGATGGTTCTGATAAATCTATTAGGGATCCCTTTCGTTTTACTCTCTCTATTCCTGTCATCATTCTTGATAATCCTGCTGCTGTTCCTGGTGTTGTTGATGCTGGTGCTGCCGTTGTCGGTGGTGCTGGTGATGTTCCTCTCCGACGACCATTTTGACCTTGCTCCCTTAGCCTATCCAAAATTTTATTCTCTTGCTCGATCTTTTCTGCCAATGGGACCCCTCGAAGCTGTAAGGGCAAAGTCTCATTCATCCATTCCATTTGTGACAAGTAAACCTTGTCCTCTAACACCTTCCTGAGCATTTCAGAAACAATTTGATCTCCTGGTCGGATCGCCAGCACCTTGTGATAACATTCAATAGCCTCAGATGATCGATTCATAATCTGGTAGATAAACCCGAGTCCTGTTTGTGCAGATGCTTTGGCCGGACCCGTCATCGAAATCGCGTCTACTTTCAAGAAATATGTCTCCGCATCCGTGTAGTTCCTATCACCACAAACGGATAAGGAGAAGAATAAAAAATAAAAAAATAAAAAAATAAAAAAATAAAAAAATAAAAAATAAATAAATAATAGGTTAATTATCAAACCTTTAACTCCTTCATTCTGTAGCACCATTGCCCGTATATATCAATCAAGATCAGAAACGTACCCAAGCTTCCGATACGAGTGTGCCAGGTTGAGCCACGTTGTCTCCCAAATGACGTTTTTCCGTTGAGACCCCTTCAACTTCTCAATCACTTTAAGGAATGATTCAACAGCAGCGTCATACTGTCCCAAGTTGTACTGAACCACGCCAATCTCGCTTAGTAACAACGGATCCGAATCACAGATCGTCAAGCAAAATGTCAAGTATTTTTGCGCTAAAAGAACATTGTTCTGTTGAAGGTGTTGCATCCCAATGTACATAGGCCCTAGATGTGATCTTGACGTTCAAGTGTAATAAAAAAATAAAATAAAATAAACAGATAAATAAACAAAGGGATAGAAAATAGAGGTATCAGATCATGACGATGGTATCTTTTTTTTTTTTTTTTTTTTTTTTTTTTCCTTAATCCTTCTAATTCATTATTACCCTTGAAACAGTTTAGCGCTTGTTGCATATGCAGAAATTGCTTGATCATGCTCACCCTCCAACGCAAATGAGTGCCCAAATCCAATCCAGGCAGGTCCATAATGTCCATCAATAGTCGACGCTTTCCCAAAATATCGCCGAGCCTCGGCCATGTTTCCGATCAAGTAGTAATATACACCCACAGCGAACCATGAGACTGAATGCTTTGGATGCTGATCAACCAGTTCGTGTGCTAAATAGAATAGCTCGTTTTTATGGTTGAGTTCATAAAGCGAGACCAGATGCATCGGAATACAGGCCAAGTTGAACTTGTCCATTTCCAAGACTCTGTGAGTTAAAATTTTTTTTTAAAAAAAAAAAAAAAAAAAAAAAAAAAAAAAGCCAGTAAAATATAAAAGATAAGTTTGTTAGGATGTATGTATATAAACAAATGTAAATAAACAATATGAGGCGCTTCATACTTTTTAGTGCATTCAAGGCACTTGTCGAACGAGCATTGTGTAAAATACATCTCTGCCTTGGAGTACAACAGATCTGTGTTTTCGGTTTTGAACTTCGCGCTGAGGGACTGGTAAATCTCGTCCTGTTCGTCAAGGTGGTCATACTAGATATGAATGCATAAATTTACAATTGTCAGTCTCCTCTTTTTCATAGCTGTATTCTATTGCCTAATTTCTTTCTTTTTTGAATCTTGGCTTCTCTCCTGTTCATGTTGCTTACCTTTTTCAGCTTGGATTGATAGAGCATCTTGACGAATTCCGAGTCTGGGCCATGTAACTGATTGTCAAAATCAAGGCTTTCGATCAGTTCACGTTCTATTTACCATGAAAAATTAAAAAATAAATAAAATAAAATAAAAATAAAATAAAAGACAAAGACTTTTTTTGGTTTAAAGATCAAACCCATTATGTAGGATGGGATGTAGTATTGTATTAACACACCTTCTTTGCTTGTCAACATGTTATTAGAAATGAGACTATCCAATGCATCGTAGCACTTGACATCAATCTGAAGCGCTTCCTTAAAACATTCCTTGGCTTTGTCAATATTATGCATGCTCTTGAACACAACCCCTCGAAGATAGCACATTGATGCCTCGAGCTTTAATGAGAAAAAAAAAAAAAAAAAAAAAAAAAAAAAAAAGCCCAACGGGTGAATGAGTAAATGAGTAAACGATACTTTTACATTGAGTGGTTGCTTCAATATTATGACAATATAGACCCATTGGGTCACCAAAAAACATCTTTGTTTCTCATTACCTTGATCCCCCCATCAGCGGGGTTCATACTGCTTTCGGATAAACTATCGTGCGCATACTGGTTTTCCTCCCCTAAATACTCCAATGCCTCTGACCACCTCTCTGTCCGTATCTATCAATGCATTGGAACCCAATGAAAAGAAAATAAAGAGATTGACTTGATTAGCGATTCGGACGAAATAAAAAAAGCCATGACTTTATCTATTTTTGAAACTACTTACCATACACTGGATTGCCAAAAATCGACATGCCACTGAAGACTCTAACAAATCTTTCTTTTGCAGTAAATTGATGGCTCGCCCATATTCCCCCATTAGATAATATACTTGTGAAAGCCAAAAGACGTCATTCGAATCATCTATTAACAATTATAGTAATAGCAATAACAATAACGAATTAGCGGAACAAAACTTTGTATTTGACGTAAATAGGCATAGGTTTAGAATATATTTACAAAAAAAAAAAAAAAAAACAAAAAAACAAAAAAAAAAAAGAGAGAATGGTTTACCAGTGATGCTGAGGACTTTATCGCCCCAAAACGCAGCTGTCCGATACATGTGTTGATGCATCGCATCCGTACGCCATGCTCGCATACCATCCACAGTCCCCTTATCGCGCTGTGTTTCTGCTGGTGTAAAAAAATCTATTGCAGAAGAATAACTGCCGTCGTATCCACCAATCATATCCCCTTGACTATCTCCTCTTGTGAGTAGCCTACTATCAAGAGAATTAGGGATCGAATCGATCTCGAATATAGAGGCTGATCCTTGTTGCAATCCTGAGCCTCCTGACATCAAAGCACCACTGCTGCCAATACCGCCACTAACCAGCGGGAAAGGCGATGGTGTCGATCCAGTAGGGATAACGAAGTTCTTGATTGGTGATGACAAATTGGTGTTCTCCAATAAACTCGCTGGATAATTCGCAAATGGTGATGGAAGTACTCGCATATTTTGACTAGATGTAGACATTTGTGATCTCCGTGCAGAGTTGCTTGGGGTCCTTGATCCGGCTCCTACTGCACCTGCACCGCCACTAGGCGAGAGTTCAGTAAGAGACGCTAATGTGTTGCTAAAGCTATTATTCACTGAACCCGTCATACTTCCAGAAGATGCTGTTGAACGCTTCAATAAAACATGTGGGTTTGGTAATGGTGGTCCGCGAAGGCGACGAGATGTTGGGTTTGTAGTAGGTGTGACTGGAGTGGTCGAGGATGCTGATCCTGATCCAGGCCCACTACCACCTCCTCCGGAAATACCGACCCCTCCTCCTCCCATTACTAAAGAATTCCATTCCCCACTTCCGACGCCACCTCCGCCACTAGGGACGCTAGAGAGTCGACGCGAAGGCCTAGTTGGGGTTGTAAAACTATTGTTTGGGGACGTGGTTGCGCCCCAGGTTTCTGATGCATTATTACTGTTGTTGTGACCGCCGCTATCTCCTATACCGGTAATAGGCGTATTGCCTGACGGCGAGGCTATCGCAGTAGCAGATCTTGTTGAAGACCGCAAACGTGGTGTCTGTACATTGTTATTACTATTATTGACATTATTGTTGTTGTTGTTGTTGTTGTTGCTATTGCGATTATTGACTGGTGTTTGAAGACCCTGTGGGGTCGTTCTTCCTCTTTGTCCTTGTCCTTGCCTTTGTCCTTGTCCCTGGTGCTCACTTGTTCCTACAGGATTATTGTTAGTCTGTCTCGGCCGTCTAGGTGTAGTTGGCATTGTGAAGAATGATGGCAGACAATGGGCGGAGCCGCAGTCATGTAGCCACCTTCCCTTACTGCGAATGAATTTAGGCGCGCGTTGTAAGTCACGTTTTCTTTGGATCATTTGTTATTGGATCAAAGCTGAGCTGGCGCTTTGCATTGTTATCGTGCAAATGTATATATAATAAGCGTGATGAGTCTTCTGGTATCAGCGCTGGGCACTAGGTACTGGGCACTGGGCACTGGGCACTTAGGCGCGGGTTGCCGAGGAATTTTCCAAATGTAAACATTCAATGTTAGTCGCCTTGTATACAGCATATATATACATATATATATATATATAATATATATTTATATTCTTTGACAGTCAATATTTTAATTCATTTATATTCTTTGGCTATGCAGATGGCACCATCGATCTTGATAACAGAATCAGGTCCGGCAATAAAGGTCCCACTCTTTCTTCTTTTAAACTTGGCTCTTTCTTTCTCTTCATTCACATTCATTCTCTCTTCACTTTGCTTTCTTTATTTTGTCTCCTTAACCCTTATAAACACTTTCTTCATTCCTCTACATTCAATTTTTTTTTATTTTTTTTTATTTTTTATTTTTTTATTTTTTTTTTTTTTAGTTCGTCATGACTTTAGAACCTCCTCAAAAAGTTCCTGCTCTCAAGACTGCTATGCACCCCATTCTTCAAAAGTTGGTCCACAAACCCGACACATTCACCACTCAAGATGCTACCATTGCAACAAAAGAGATTATGGAGGGTCGTGCCACTCAAGCTCAGATTGGTGCCTACCTTGTTGGTCTCAAACTCACAAAACTCGATTCAGACCCGGCCATCGTAGCTGCCTGTGCTGTTGAAATGAGTAACCATGGCCTTCCCATCTCCTTTGAACAACACCCAACTCTTCAGGAACAACTTGTCGATATCGTCGGCACCGGCGGCGATGGTCATGATACCTTCAATGTCAGCACAACTGCTGCAATTGTCGCTGCAGGCGCAGGATGCAAAGTTGCCAAGGTAAAAAAAAAAAAAAGTAATAAATACAATACTCATTAGATTCATGCAATCAATGCAGACAAAGTTCGTACCACCCATAAAAAGAGCATGATTCTTTTCTTCACACTAAATTACTCAGCCCGCCCACTGACTCATTTATCTTTTTACTATCTTTTACTATCTTTAAAAAAAAAAAAAAAAAAAAAAAAAATGTACAATATATATATTTATATATTCATCTTAGCATGGGAACAGAGCTGCTTCATCCGCATGTGGATCTGCTGATATTTTAGAAAAGATTGGATGCAGGATCGATAATGTCCAACCGGACGATGTAGCTCCATTGCTTGATGATCATGGATTCTGTTTTCTCTTCGCCCAAACTTATCACCCGGCTATGAAGAACACGAGTCTTCCTAGGAAAGAATTAGGTGTTCCCTCCATCTTCAACTTGATGGGACCCTTGAGTAATCCGGTAAAACCTAAACGAGTCGTCGTCGGCGTTCACTCTAGAAGTCTGGGTGCTCTTATGATCGAAAGCCTAAAACTCATGGGTCTCATCTCAGGAATGGTCGTTTGTGGCGCCAATGGATTGGATGAGATCAGCCCTGAATCAGAGACACATGTAAGCAAAGCCCCTTCTCTCTCTCTCTCTCTCTCTCTCTCTCTGCGCATGTGCATGTCTCACCACCAAGCCCGTTTCCTTCTAACTTTCTAATTTTTTTTTTTTTTTTTTTTTTTGGATAAAAAGGTCTGGAAGCTGGTAGATGGTAAAGTCATTGAGGAGGATATCACGCCCGCACAATTTGGACTTCCTTCACACCCATTGTCATCTGTTCGCGGAGGTGGTCCCGTAGAGAATGCAGCCATTTTGGATGATCTACTCAACAACAAGTTCAAGTCTCCCGGACATCCAATTTTGGACTTTGTCCTGCTGAACGCTGCTGCTCTTTTGGTAGTTGCAGGCAAGACTGACAATTTTGAGGATGCTGTTATCCTTGCAAGACAAAGTGTTGAAAGTGGCAGGGCTCGCGCAGTCCTGGAAGGGTTCAGGCGCGACATCCAATAAGATCTCTTTTTTTTTTTTTTTTTTTTTTGTTCTATTCCTTTAAATGGTACTTTCTTTTGTATAATATCAATAAAGTTAAGAAATTGGCTCCCAAACATCCTATGCTCATGATGTTGTTCGCCTTGATACGTTTATTTTATTGTGTCACTTTCCCATTGGTTTCAATTGTGCTACATCTCAAATAAAAAAAAAAACAAAAAAGAACACAGCCTTAAAAGAGCACAGCCTTAAAAGATAGGAATGTAGTTGTTAATACGTTCCTTCTGACCCATAGTGATACATTCTGCAATCCAAACAATATTACGAATCTCTTGTTCCTTGAGTTTCAAAAAGGAGTAAAAGAGTCCATAGTGGAATTGCTGCTGGAACGACTTCTTGTTAAGATGAACTTCATATTCAAAAAAGCGGTCTTCAAGCGCCTTAGATGATCCTGTGGCAGAACTGTTATCAAAGAATTGACGATATTCCTGTAGGTACAATTATTTTTTTTTTTTTTTTTTTCCACAAAAATAAAAAAAAGTGTCAGTTAGATAGAATACATCAGAAGAAGCTGGGATAAGAGACAGGCAATGATATTGTAGTTCATTCATTTCGGTAATAGCATTACCAAGAAAACATCGCAGATAGCCTTCACTTGCTCGGCATCGTCTGACCTTGCAAGTTTGAGGTTGCCCTCAGGGTATAAGCGTCCAATATTAGGAAACAGCTTCGCGCGATCGTCCTTGGTCAGCTCTGTGCCAAATGAGTTGATGGTGATATTCACCGACCTGCGATCCGCTTCGAACTATTAAAAAAAAAAAAAAAAAAAAAAAAAAACAGAGAAAGTCATGCATGAGTTTACTTATTGACGGCTGTTGCAGCTATTATTGGTGCTTTTTTTTTTTTTTTTTTTTTTTTTTACCTGCAATAGTTCTCCCATAATTTCTGCTGTGGGACCTCCGAAACTCTGAGTGAAATGATAAAAGTCCTCCAAGTAAGCCTTATAGAGTGTGTTCCTGATGATTTCAATATTCATTTCATCCAGATCCTCTGCTGACAGACAATCCTTGAAATAAGGTGCCAATGGTGTCTCGACCAAGACAGAATTATATAACTCGGCCACATTTGTTGCTACACAAAGCGCAGGCATACTGTCAAAATTACCCAAAGGGTGGCATTTATTCAGGAGCTCGTGCGTGTCACGCTCATGCAATGTGCCTGTGATCAGCAAAATGACATTATCAATCATATAGGCGTACCTTTTTTTTTTTTTAAAAAAAAAAAAAAAAAAAAAAAGTCGGTTAGTTCCCTTTTTTTTTAACTCGCAACTGGATATAAAAAGAGTCCATAATCTAGAAAAAAAGGGGATAATGAACTCACGTCATAAAGTCCAAGAACTGTGAAAGAGGTGCAACAGCGTGAGCGCGAATGTACTCAAACTCCTGAATAAGCTTGTCCCTGCATTTCTCGGACAACAACGACGTCGAAATTTTGGCCTCGTTCTGTAGAAGTGAACCATAGTCGGAAGCAGTGAGTTGAAGTTTTACATCTTTTTTTTTTGTTGTTTTTGTTGCATTTGTAGTTGTAATTGTAGTTGTGGTTGTAGTTGTAGTTGTTATGATAATGAGTGAGGAAAAAAAATAGACGATAATAATGAGTATTGGTTTTTCTTTTTCACTACGATAAGAATGAAAGAGTGAGGCGGAAGAGAATGCCATATGTAGAAGATATAATTCTTCCTTGTTACCTTCAAGAGTCTCACACTGGGTTAAATTAATGTAAGCGGTGTTAGTGAGGATGCTGCTACGGTATCCGCGCACAATGCCCTCAAGGTATCCATCGTCAGCGTTGAAGAAGAGTGCCTCCATTGTTCTTTGTCGAGTTTCTTAAAAGTCTAGAAAGGCGAAGAGAATGAATGAGGAGAGGAAACACTGTACTGATGCAAAAGAGGGTATGGAGTGCGAGCGTGACGTTTATTATAGATCACGTTTTCAGTATTTCAGGGGCATTAGATGGGTGACTAAAAAATGTCTCGACAGTGCTAAACGTTGTCTTCTTTTGCATTCTAGGGGTAGCTTATCCATACATTGGACACTATGTTTCTGTTCCAGTTATCAATTAATGATGGAAGAATATACATGTTATTACATGTGGATAATAAGAAAATGTAGCTGAACGCGTTATTGAAAAGTATGCTCTAATTGCGTGTTACATGGTCACGACAGTGCTAGACTGTCCTGGGAATCTTTTAGGATCATCAGCACCATCAAAAAATGGTTGCATTTCTTTCCTCAAAAGGCAAGTACGCTGTTTCCCTCTTTTCTCACGCATCCCCGACTTTTATTCTTCCTCACTTCACTCTTCACTTCGCTCACACGTTCAACCTACCTCTTCGCTTGTTCCCCCTCTGTCTTTCAGAAATAAAATTCAGACCATGCAACAAGGACCAGGAAAAGACGACGCTCTGGAGGCCATTGACAACGCAGACGCCAGTCTCCGTCAGCTTTCCATCCAGATCCATGATCATCCTGAATTGGGATACGAGGAACATTTTGCTCACAAGACACTCACAGACTATCTGGAGCAACAAGGATTCCAAGTAACCCGACAAGCCTGCGATATCTCTACAGCCTTTATTGCAGAATATGAGAATCAAGGTTCTGGTTCTGCAGTCGATGAACCAATTCGGTCTGTTGGATTCTGCTCTGAATACGACGCTTTGCCCTCCATCGGCCATGGTTGCGGACACAATTTAATTGCAATCTCAGGTGTCGCTGCTGCCCTCGGTGTCAAGGCTGCAATGGAGAAAAATAATATCCGTGGTAAAGTTCGTCTGTTGGGTACTCCCGCTGAGGAAACACTGGGTGGGAAGCGCCCAATGTTGGAACGTGGCGCGTTCAATGGGTTGGATGCCTGTATGATGGTTCATCCTGCTCAATTTGATGTTCTTTACAGGCAGCCCTTGGGCGTTGGACGCTTTGACTTTGAGTTCCATGGAAAGGCATCTCATGCTTCAGCAAGCCCATGGGAAGGTGAGTAATTTTTTTTATGAAAATGCTGAAAGTAGATGGCGAGGAATGCTGAATCAACGTTTGAGACTGAATGCATTCATCCATTGACTTTAATGTTAGGGATCAATGCTCTTGACGCGGTCTGTATGACATATAACGCCATTGGCCTATTCCGCCAACAGACTTTACCAACTAACAGAATCCACTCAATTGTCACCAATGGTGGTCAAGCCGCTAATAGTAAGTACTCTCCGCCATTAATCATCATGATATTGGATGGATACAACAGTTTTTACAGATGTCTTATATCATTTCTTTTTTTTTTTTTTTTTTTTTTTTTTTTGTAGTCATCCCAGAACTGGCATCAATGACAACGTTGTATCGTGCCAACAAAAATGAAGACCTTCTCAAGCTGCACGATCAGATTGCAGAAATTGCAAAGTCCTCTGCCGAAGCTTCAGGTTGTACTCTCAATATTAAGGAACCAATGCAGTATTCGCCACTCAACAATAACCCACCATTAGCAGATCGTTTTGGAGAATACATGAAGTCATTTGGGGTTCGTTACAACTCGCGTGAAGTAGACGAGACCACTCCTGCAGGCTCAACCGATATGGGCAACGTCACGGTCGCCTTGCCAGGTATTCACCCAGTCTTCAACATCGCTAGCCTGGACGGTGAACGTGAACCGGGTCTGACCACTCATTCTGCCTTGTTTGCAGAGCGCGCAGGAACTGAGGTGGCTCATAAGGCCACCATCCGTGCAGCGAAGGGCCTTTCATTGACTGCTCTGGATGTTTTGTTGGATGCAGAGTTTGCCAAGTCTATTCGCGAGGAGTTTGAGCGTTCAAAACCCAAGATTCTATAAGCTAGATAGATACTTTTAACAGCACAAGAAGTTGTGAAGAAACCATTCAATTTTCAAAAAAAACATTTATGTAAATATGTATTTAATGAATGGATTCGACAGATACCAGGATCCAGCAGATCCCAATATGTGAACGGGTTGTCGGATCTTGGTAAGTCCCACATGCTAGAGAAATAAATTAATCAGACATGTCAGACATGCTGTTAATCTGGCGCGATGTCGTTCGTTTGAAACCTCATTGGCGTCATGGGCCGCTTTATTTCTGTTCCAAAGTTTGCCACTACTCCCGCCTCTTTCGGTGTCTTCTGGTACATTGACCTATCCAACACTGCTCTCTTATCAGGATACACCATTCTTTCACTAGAATACCAGCTATACATCGCACCAGCTAATCTCACTGGTCAAAAAAAAAAAAAAAAAAAAAAAAAAACTTGGCTTCGGTGTACTGGTGTAGCTTTTTTCACTCATAAACACTGCTGGTCGCACGAAAAGACTGAAACGAATTTATTGCCGATTGCGCGCGCAAAACGCAAGATGAGAGAGAAGAATAAGAAGCTTGTGGAGGAGAGGAACTGGACAAATAGCGCGCTGATATACGCATAATAGCAGCATAGCACTTGCAAGAACACCTTCAGACGATCCATTTCCAATGGTAAAGAGTGACCAGAAGAGCTAGCCGCGTATTTTTTTTTCTAGATCCGTGCATTAACATACAAAAGTAATGTGTCTTTAAAAACAAGAATGCTTTCTTTTTTTTGTCTAATCTCCTTTGCGCATTGTTTCCCAACACACCGTCTTTGGGTTGGGTTTCTAAATCGAAATATCCCTAAGCCTTCCAGAAGGAGAGCCACGAGACGTCGCTTTAATATATATTTATTAATAATATAACAAAAAGACAGGGTCTAAGATGGTATGTATAGCGCAGGTTGGTGCAATGGCCATTATTACAATTATGCGATAGCATTTGAAAGAAAGATAAATATATCTAAATGCCTTCAGGTCGATCCGCCATGGCAGACTCATTGCTATATCAAGCTATGACAGACGGTGGGAACTCTCAAAAGCCTAATGGATAATGCATCAGCTCCTTCTTCATCCTCCATATTCACTCAATCTTTTTTTGGGTATAAAGAGCAGTCTGTCCTTATTGTGGTTGACTGTGTAAAAATGGATCAAGGTAGCTTGGCACCAACAAAGGGAAATGAGTGCTACAAGTGGACGCGATAAGCGAAATGAGACATGAAACGAACTTCATAATCATCTGTCACATTTGGATGCAAATAATAAAAGGGAATAGTTATACTGCGGTCCTTGTCGCCATGGCATCCAGGAGACATTAGGCCCTGAGTGTATCATAGCTTTTAATCGGGCCAACAAGAGCATACCAGAGCTACTCTCAGCAAGGCCACCCATCCCCATTTACCGTTTGCTAATGCTTATTTGTACTATCTGTCCCTTTTGTTTGTTTTTATCAGTTAATTGTTTTGTATTCCTGGCTATTTTTGCTCATTGTCCACAATACCCTTCCATTCGTTCAGACCCCATGTCTTGATACCACCACTGCCGGTGCCACTATTACATGTATGCCATACGAGATATATAAGGAGCTCTCTGTTTCCTCTTGGCCCTCATTACCTTGACCACTCTACAACCTTCCTTGTCAAACTTTTTTCAATAGCTAACACCTCCTCTCCTACTTTCCTTCTTCCCCTTTTGTTCTTTTTTTCCTTTCTTCTTTTACTCCTTTGCGCATTGCTCCTTTCCTCTTGTCATATCAAAGCGAATACGCCTTCACATCCACTAGCTGGCTCTAAGCCATATCCTTACAACCTTCACAAACAATGAGCAAAGAGGAATACTTTGCTGAGAGGATCAACAACTGGAAGGTCGAGGACATTGTCCCTGATTATGACCTCGAGGAAGAGGATGACTCCCCTATTGAGGAAGTCCGCGTCACTATCCCTAGTATGTCCATGCTCTTTTTGCCTGCTACAACCCTCATTATTGTTGTTTGCACCAGCCATAAACAAAAATATCGATCTGGGGAACCAACGTCGATCATTTGTCTTTTTTTGTCTGTGAGCCATCATCCCCTAGGCCCCGTTTAACGTATTTTCCCTCCATTGTTCACACCTGCCATTCTAATATTGGAATTAACACATACAATGTATTCTTTAATCTACAATTCCTACAGATACGGATGATCCCTTTATGCCCTGTAATACTTTTCGCATGTGGTTCCTTGGCCTGTTCTTCACCGCTGTCATCTCCTTCATCAATCAATTCTTCTACCTCAGGCAAACTCAGATCTCGATCGGATACTCCGTTGTTGCCTTGGTCTCGCTCCCCTTAGGCCACCTCATGGCCAAAGTCCTTCCAATGGGCGAGGTCAGTCTTTTTGGCTGGAACTTCACTCTCAACCCTGGCCCTTTCTCCGTCAAGGAACACATTTTGATTGGGACTATGACTGCTGTCAACACCAGTACAGCGTATGCCGTTGATATCATTATCCTACAGAAGCTGTTTTATGGGTCTGAAAAACCATTTATTGCAGGGCTTCTCTTAGTCTTCACAACTCAGGTCACTGGGTTTTCTCTAGCTGGCGCTCTCCGCAAGTTCCTGGTCCGCCCTGCACACATGATCTGGCCCTCGACCTTGGTGACAGCCTCTCTGTTTCGTTCACTTCATGCTTCCAGTAACCTCCCTGGGGAGGATGGCCGTATGACTAGGATGAGATATTTCTTGTTAGTCACTCTTGGCTCATTTCTTTATTACTGGTTCCCCGGATTCATCTTTCCCACCATCGGCGTACTCTCCTGGATCTGCTGGATCAACCCTGACAACATTGTTCTCTCTCAGCTGACCGGCTCCAATGGTCTCGGCATAGGAACCATTGCCCTTGACTGGTCTGCCTCATACTATGTCCAACCTTTAGTCACACCTTGGTTCGCACAGGTGAATATCCTTATTGGCTTCATTTTCATTGCCTGGGTCATGGTTCCCTGGGCCTACTACACCGATCTTTGGAAGTCCAAGAGCTACCCTATTTTGTCTGCAGATCTGTTTCGTGAAGATGGAGCTATTTACAACAAATCTATGATCCTGGTCAACAATGTTCTGGATGAGGAAAAGTACAGGGCTTACGGCCCCCTCCGCATGGACTCCTTCTTTGCTTTAACCTACGGAGTCGGCTTCGCTGGCCTCACAGCCACTATTGTTCATGTCATTCTCTATAATGGTCAGGAGCTGATTGCCCGTTGGAAGTCCGCTCGTCTGGAAAACGAGGATATTCATTCGCGACTTATGCGTGTCTATCCTGAAGTCCCTGACTGGTGGTACATCTCACTCTTTGTCATTTCTCTGGGTTTGAGTTTAGTTACCTGTGTCGTGTGGGAGTTCATGCCTTGGTGGGCCGTCCTCTTGGCCATGGCTATTGCTATCTTTTTTGTCCTCCCGGTCGGCGTTGTCCAGGCCGTGACTAACCAGCAGCCTGGTTTGAACATCATTACAGAGTATGTGATCGGTTACATGCTCCCTGGGCATGCCATTGCCAACGTTACGTTCAAAACCTATGGCTACATTGTCAACGTTCAGGCTTTGACCTTCACCGCAGATTTGAAGCTCGGTCACTACATGAAGATCCCTCCCCGCGTCATGTTCATGGCTCAGATTGTCTCGACCCTCATCAGTGGCACCATCAACCTGGGTACCGTCACCTGGTTGCTTAACGCTCATCCCACTATCTGCACTAAGGACGGATATCCCTTCACATGCCGTTCCACTAACACATTCTACTCTGCTTCTGTCATCTGGGGCGCTATCGGCCCTGCCCGTGTCTTTGGTAACGTTGATGGTGCTATTTACTCCCCTGTGCAATGGGGCTTTCTGATTGGCGCAATCTTACCCATCCCCTTCTGGCTCTTGGCTCGTAAGTTCCCTAATGTGACCTGGTTGAAGTATGTGCACTGGCCCGTGTTGTTGGCAGCCACGTCCAACATGCCTCCGGCCCTTCCTTACTTCTATACCAACGGTCTCTTCCTGGGCTTCATATTTGCATTCTTACTCAGACGTTACCGTTATAACTGGTGGGCTCGTTACAATTACTTGACGTCGGCTGCTATGGATAGCGGGGTCGCGATCTGCGGTCTGGTCATATTCTTCTCTATTCAGTCCTGGAAAGTTACAATGCCTCATTGGTGGGGCAATCCTGAGGATGGCAACTTTGACCACTGCCCACTTGGTGGTGCTAATTACTATTCCGTGAGAGCTTAAAAAAAAACACACACACACACACACACATTTGTTAGACCAACTACATGCCTTGTATTTTACTCAATACTTTTTTAATATCTCATTTCATGACCAACATCTATAATAGAATACCACTTGCTATTCAGTCCTGCAAAGCTTTAATAAAAATACCCAAATTCAAATTCAAAAGAAAAAAGACAAGATCAAACAGAGGCCTAATGGCATTGTGTGCGTTTTTGTAATGAAGTTACCAGCACGAAAGAGATTATGAAGTACCTTTGGCCAAGTTGATTAAGAAAGAAGATAAAAATACAAAAAAAAAATTCTATGAGCGAGGACAGAGAAAACTTGCAGATTCAGTAGCCCTCTTTTTATTTTGTTAATGTTTTGTTTTTTTTTTAAAACTGATCCGTGTAAGTAAGCCTTTCGTTTATCACGCTATATCTACTCGGCTGCTTCAAAAATGAACATTGAACTCGTACGCGGGGCGGAGAGATTAGGTAAATATGCTATTATTATTTTTTTTCCCTAGTAAATATACCTTCTACTTCAGTTATTGGAAATCCTTTTTGTCAGATGGGGATTGAAAATGATTGTATATCTCAAACAGCCCCCTGCTTGGCTACCTGGCAGCGCCTACGACCCAGTTTCACCCAGAAGGGTAAATCCCTCTTACGTGTGCGTCAGCATAACATACTGACTATCAGGGCGATGCGCTGCCAGGGAGTTGCTCATCTACTCCAAGTTTGAGTAAGTTGATATAATATCGCTCTCGTCTCGCTATCAGTTATATGACTTAGCCTTTGGACGCACTTATTCTACTGTCTAGCCCTCTACAGGTATGCATGAAGGCCACCATCAAAAAATATATCGAGTGTGCCCGCCAGTGATAGGCAGCATCAATGAAGGACAACAATGGCTCTTAACTAGATCTACTTTTTAGTTTTCATAGCACGATTCTCAGGAAAAGTATAAATGAGCGCTTTCGATTTCCATTAAGTACGTCACGTGTAATGAGTTTGTTGGGCAAGTCGAGCTTTGAGGACTTTACCACGCGGTATGCAAGTCATTGCAGTTTTCTGTGCCATTAAAAAAGTATTACCAACTTGTTAAAAGGAGGCATATCCTTGGATGAAATCAAAGCATGATCGTACAGATATAAAAGGCTTTAACAGCTCTGACAGTAATGACCCTCAAAAGGGGCGTAAGCGAAGTACTTCAGACTTGCAAACAAGCTCTAGTAAAAACGAAGCAGGGATGGAGTTTGTGGTGGGACACGCATCAAGGCAACAAGTTCACGTGGTGAGATCAGGGCGTGACGTGATTTTAGCGATATCTCTGGAGCGCGAACCTCACAGCTCCAACCTTCATTTTCAAGTTCAGAATACCATTCTTACACCATGGGAGATGACACAGGAAATTGGTGCCTAATTGAAAGCGATCCTGGTAATTTATAGCGAAGGCTCATTGAACAATGAGGAAACAAAAAAAAAAAAAAAAAAAAAAAGATTGTGTGTGAGACCAGCTTGCGGTCCACATTTTTTTTATGATATGATATTGAACAAACTATTTATTAATTCATTGATAAATATGTACAATTATAGGTGTATTTACCGGACTCATTAAAGGAATCGGTGTTAATGGAGTTCAAGTTGAGGAGATTTATTCTATCGATAAGGAAACATTGGAGGATTTGAGGTATATATAATATATACGGATCCTTTTTCTGTTTTGCTTTTCCTCAGTGGTTTTTTTTTTTTTTTTTTTTTATCTTATTGGATTGGACAAGCGCTAAGAGAAAGAAAATTGAATTTTTCTAGACCTGTACATGGCCTAATCTTCTTATTCAAGTGGGAAGGTCGTAATCCAGCATCCACACCCGGATCACAGGCACCAATTGAATATGATAATGACAAGGTCTTTTTTGCACAACAAGTAAGTTTACCTAATAATTAAAACTGTCATTTTTATTTTATTTTATTTTATTTTTTCATTTTCTTCTCGTTTCTTTTCTTTTTGAGTATCATATTTAAAAAAAGGCGCTTTTACCTCGCTTTCTTTTTTTTTTTTACTTTTTTTTAGGTCATTACCAATGCCTGTGCTACGCAGGCGATTTTATCGGTCCTTCTTAATTCACCATCAATTGATCTAGGAGAAGAACTCACCAATTTCAAATCATTTGTATCCGATTTTCCAGCAGAGGTACTGTATCTCTTTTATTATACCTGTTATTATCTATTCATTTAAAGCATCTAACATTTTCTCCGCTTTTTTTTTTTTTTTTTTTTTTTTTTTTAATTGGATGTTACTACCAACCATTTATCTAGTTGAAAGGTGTCGCGATCACCAATTCGGATTTGATCCGCACAGTTCACAACTCATTTGCGCGTTCAGATCCATTTATCAATGAAATGAATGATCCTGGTTCTAAGGAGAAAGAAGACCTCTTTCACTTTATCGCCTATACTCCCATCAATGGTCAACTATATGAACTGGACGGGTTACAGGAAGGGCCTCGGAATCATGGTCCGTGCCCTGGCGATTCATGGCTTGAAAAAGTAGGACCTATTATTCAAGCACGAATGGCACAATATGCAGGAGGGGAGATCCGATTCAATTTGATGGCAGTGGTGGATGATCGGATCAAGGTCTATGAGGAAAAGAAGGCATCGTATGAGGCACAACTTGCGGCGTTACAACAAAGAGAAGGTCCTGAAGCAGGTGGATGGTTGAAGGGCGAGATTGAGAACTTGAAACAAGACATTGTTAAGGAAGAAGAGAAGCGGATGAAACAACAGAGAGAGAATAAGTTACGGAGACATAATTTTGTACCGTTAGTATATGAACTCTTGAAGGGACTAGCTCAGGAAGGAAAACTTGAAGGGCTAGTGGAAGAAGGCAGAATAAGAGCTAAAGCAGAATTGGAAAGTGCAAGGCAAAGGAAGACGGCGGCGGCTGCGTCAGCTGGGCAAGGGGGATCGACTGGTGACAACTTTGGAGAAGATGTTGACATGTATGAATAGGCAAATTGGCGAAGAGGAAATGATAGAGCGAGCGATTCCTTCTGGAAGTCGGAATAAATTAAAATAAAATAAAATAAAATAAAATAAAATAAGAATGCTGATCAGATGAAGTGTGTTAATATTTATTCAAGTATATTTATAACAAATATATATTATATCTATATACAACCGTATTTTCAATTGTGTTATATAATTGAAATCAACTTTATAAATAAACATCAAATTTGAGTAAAATGACGTTTAGACTAGACAGCTATATTCGTTAGTGGGAATAATTATCGATTTCTTTTATTTTAATGTGTTCTCAAAGTGGCAGCCTTCTCCACTTTGTTTTTTTAAAAAGCTTGTGGGGAGAGACAGGGACGTGCAGGCAAAAGAAAAAAAAAAAAAAAAAAAAAAAAGAGCCTTAAAACATTCAGAGCACAAATAAAACTAAGCTGCAGCACTCACCCTAATTGTGTAAGTGTACATGTACATGAACAAATTAACTTTGATCACTCGCACATTTTCTTCAAAGTGACAAAAGTGAATGAGACAGATGGCTAGACCTTTGACGAGGATGAGGATGCTGATTACTATTATGTATTATATATACTATATACTAGTATTATTATATGTATTATGACTATGATTATGATTAATAATTATGTCTACTGTATTAATGCATTTAAAGATCATAGTGATCCTACATTAAAAGTCGCAAGTGCTGAAATACTTTTTATCGACTCCAAAAAAAAAAAAAAAAAAAAAAAAAAAAGCCTCGGTGGCAATGCGCTATTGTCGTTTTGACATGTGTCCAAACAAAAACATTTTAACCATGGGTTTGCATAGCAGTATTAATTAATTAATAAAAATATTCCTGTATTTTCAACTTGAGGCGAAGCCTAAATTTCCCATGTATTTGCCTCATTCAATATTTTGCTAATGTAAAAGCGCACGAGCGTTTAATGGGATGGAAAACAAAGAGACAAATGTGCATCTTATGGTTATATACACATCTATATTATTACATTTACCTTTTTTTCGTAAAAGTCGATCTCTTTTACTAATAGACATCAGGCATGTAATAAAACGTATCATCTCACATGATGCTTGCTTTCCGGAATTGTTTCAACAAGATGTTTACGTTCCCTTGCTTGTTGATGAATTCCTAGGAACGCGTATCGTCCATCCATAAATCCCAACAAAATTCTCTGCAGGAAAAAAAAAAAAAAAAAAAAAAAAAAGAATATCCTTGCTCTCAAACAAGAGCGAAAGATCAAAGTCTGTGCTTCAACAAGCAAGATTAATGTAAAAGGAATGAAAAACTACAGGTTATGCTACACTATACAACCATCCTTGATATTAATGCTGTTCATATGTCTACTATACTTGACATATGCAAATCTGAGAAACGTTAGGATGAATGATGATGGCAACTAATGGTCAAAGACTCCAGTACAAATATCCATAAACTATTGTGTAAGCGCGCAGCTTTCTATTTTATAAAAAAAAATATAAAAAAAAAAAAAAAAAAAAAAAAACTATAATACATTTAATAATTATTATGGCGCCAGTCGGTCCCCATTAGATCCAACCTATACGATATGTCTACAAAGGTTTTTTTTTTTTAAGCACGAGCAAAGAGAGCCTTTCCTCCACTGGAGGAAAAGCACAGGACATAGTAGAAGATAAAAAAAAAAGAGCCCCGAACCGAGAGAGATTCGTGGACTGAACCGAATGTGGCAGTCATATGAAAAGGCTTTTTGTGCGAAAGAAAAAAAAAAAAAAATGTGAGCAGAGAAATTCCATGTTAGTTTTGTTTATCAGGGACTTTGACGCACAGCCAAAGTGAATGTGTTTCAAAGTACGCAATACTCAGTACATGCATGATAATGTGCCCAACAAAGGCTAAAAGTCTGAGAGGAAAAAGAGGAGCCAGGATAGTGAAGGTTCATAAATGCATAATATCCATGGTACAGTAAAAATATGCATCACGACATACATGTATTCATATAATATTTTAATACTTTAAACAAATATACTGTTCACATAGCATCACAGCATGCTTTTTACAGGTGAAAGTGGTTCTTTTCTTATCTCTGTCTATAGACAAGTTAGTTGTTGCACAGAGAATTGTTTAGCGCAGCAATATGATGATGAACAAGAAGAGAGAGAGAACAGAGAGGGAAAAGAAGCTCATGCTTCGTAACAATCATCTTCCAACTTCTCCTTTCTCGGATCTTCTGTGACAATAGCAACAGTAACAACAGAGAAAGTACGCGAACATACATTTGATTCTTCATAATTGTGCCTCGAACGAACAAAAAAAAAAAAAAAAAAAAAAAAAAAAAGTTACAGCATTGCATACACTTGCTTAGATCATAGTACTGTTTTTGCTAATATTATTTACATCCAGATGGTCTTTTTTATGCAGCCAACGCTTCATTGTCAATAGATGAGGAAAGATAGAAGGAGAAGGGGATAATCATATGTAGTCCCATTTGTACAGGACGAATGACAATGTTAAAAAAAGGGGGATCATGGATTGGCATATCAGAGTGTAATGCAGTGGGTGTTTGTCTCTCCCATTTTTTGTTAAGCAGACTACAAGGTCTTCTTTTGCACGCGTACTTGTACATTCTTGCTTTGATCGACTAATCAACAATAATGTTTGAGCATGAGTGTCACTCTACCCAAAAGATGCTCAATTTTTATTAGATTTTTTTTTTCCTACAATGGTACAGAACTACAGAATGATAGTGTGTTGCAATGTTATGATACTAGGAAAGTGAAAGTTAATGCTATGTATGAATATTAATAAATATTTATCTATGTTTGTATGACACATAAATACTTCCATTAGTTTAAACATGAGAGCATTGAGTGGGCAAAGAGAACCATAAATAAAGAAAAATAAAATAAAAACGAGCATTTCAACATTAGACCATTAGACACTTGCATGTGGGTTCAATGTGGAGTGAACAAATTATTCTGAGCTACTTTTCAACTTCTCTCCCTTCTATTTTTTCTCCATTGTAACCATAAAGGAATATGTGGGGAGGTAAAGCATCGCTCTTTGAAAATCACTGCATTGTCTCTCTCTTGTCACTTTTGCCTTTGCCAAAAAGCACAATACATGATGATAGGAATTTGGGCAAAAAGAGCGATGGTTTTTGAATGAATGTCTCTCTTTTTCCCAAACAACGACCTTGCAGCATACACCATCTGAGAGACCTTGCATGTGTGCGCATTGCGGGTTGCACACGGATGTGATCCAAGAAGGCACGAGAAAAAGCAAGCGACACTTGTGTCTGGAGCCCACTGAACAAAAAAGAATCGGCCATTTGATTCAGAGGAATAGACATCTACACAAAGTAGTAATTGTCCATTCCCAAGAACTGTACAAGACTAAATATCTCTGATGATATAGAATGTAGAAGTGACAGTTGCTCTCCTAGAGATTGAGAAATGTGGGGGATGAATGACTCGATAACAAGTATGGATATGTGATTACGAGAATGAAAGACTTGAGGGATCGGAAATGAGATGATAGGTGAGATCACATTCACCTTTGTGTATGGATGTCCGTGTTCACTTTGGAGAAAGTATACAAACCGCTGACTGATAATAAACATTCAGCTGCAACTGTGGGCGTGCCACCTGGAGACAGACCAAACAATTACCTGCAACCAACGATGCAAGAGAATGCAAACCATTGCAAAACACAAAACTATCGCATTCATTTCTGCCTTTAGATTTTTCAGACTTCCTTACAAAACCTCTTTGATACTTGTCAAAAGGGTAGCATACATTAAGGAAACATGAACAATGAGGAGGAGAGGAAAAAGTGTATAGTGGTTAGTGTGTAAAGTAAAAAAAAAAAAAAAAAAAAAAAGCCCTTGTGTGAATTGAATGCAAGTGAATGCTTTTCTTTTTTATAATAATAACAAGGTTGCAACCATCCAGATGCGCCTTCGAAGCTTCTTTGTTTAATTTTATTCTATTGAAATGAAATGAATGCCCGTGTGTTTGACTCCTTTGGCATAGATTATGGATCTGCTATCTGTTCGCTTTGTTCGACCTCTTCATCCCAATTCATATAAAAGCCTACCATCCTCTCCTTTTCTTTTTTTTTTTTTTTTTTTTTCTCTTCAGCATTTTGCCTCCATCTTCGCTTTCACATCCTTTCTTACATCCTCTCCTTGAGTAATTACAGCCTCAGCCACGCTATACTTCCTTTAAAAACGACTCGTCATCCTCCTTTTGCTTTAATCTTTTATCCATACTATCATGTCCACCTACGTTCAGCCCGTTGCCCCTACTGAAGGCCGTCTCGGCCACCTGACCCCTGAGCAGACTGAGAAGCTCCAGCAATTCTGGGTTCGTATCTTTGACATCATTGATGGCAAGGTCCAATTCGATCAAACTGCCCCTTCCTCCTTCAAGGGTCAGGCTCGCGATGAGGATGCTGCCGCCCCTGCCCCTGAGAAGAAGTCTGGCTGGTTCGGCCGCGGCAAGAGTGCTGCTCCCGCTGCTGAGGCCGCCAAGGAGGCTCCCGCTCCTCGCTTCACTGGTGAAGACATCAGGACGGCCCTCTGGAAGGTAGTCATGATGGACCACCCTGACTTGCTCATCTTGAAGGTAAAAAAAAAAAAAAAAAAAAAAAAAAAACAGTTTATGCAGATTATCATTTTAAAGTTTATGAGAGCCTTTTGTTAAACGTAAACTCTCCTTTGTCATTTTTTTTACATATTTCATTTTTTTTTCCTCCTGTGCATAAATAATTTCGGCGACTTTATTTATTACACAAACGTCTTCAACAACAATTGGACATTGCGCCTCCGACTTCAATTTCACGTTTCAATAGTTCATTCGCGCTCGCAAGTGGAACTTGGATGATGCCTTGAAGATGATGTTGAATGCTTTGAAGTGGCGCATTGCTGAGCGCATCGATGAGTTGATCGAGCTCTCTGACGAGGAGTTGGACCAGAAGTACCCCAAGTTCATTGAGCAGATGCGTCTCGGAAAGGGCTACCTCCGTGGTGCTGATCCCCTCAACCGCCCCATGTCTGTCGTTAACACTCGTCTCCACCACAAGAACGATCAGCCCGCAGAGACCATCCATCGCTTCACTCTCTACGTAAGTTTACGAAATTGACTCTTTTTATTTTTTTCTTTACATCCGAAGAATAAGTTCTAAACAGCTCTTTGTATTACTTGCTCTTAAAAATAGACCATGGAGTGCGGTCGTCTGCTCCTTGGACCCAGTGCAGAGACTGTCATTGTCATTTTCGATCTCTCCAACTTTGGTCTTGACAACATGGACTGGGGTTTCGTCCGCCTGTTTGTTCAGTGCTTCGAATCTTACTATCCCGAGACCTTGGGAGTCTGCGTTGTCCACCGCGCTCCTTTCGTCTTCTGGGGTCTCTGGAAGTTGATCCAGCCCTTGCTCGACCCCGTTGTCGCCTCCAAGTTCGTCTTCACCCGTAACAATGCAGAGTTGCACAAGGTCATTCCTCGTGAGCGTCTTCCCATCACTCACTACGACGGTCTCGATGACTGGACTTACCAATACGTCCCTGCCGCCCCTGGCGAGAACGCCCCAATGAAGGATGAGGTCAAGAAGGCTGAGTTGCTCAAGGAGCGTCATGACTTGGAGGCCAGATTCGAGGCCGTTACACGTGCCTGGGTCAGCAACATCAATGGCCAGAACTCTCCTGAGCGTGACGAGATTGCTCGCCAGTTGAGGGAACAGTACACTCGCTTGACTCCCTATGTTCGTGCCAAGAACTTGTACCAGCGCTGGGGTGTTGCCCACGATGGTCAGGTCAACTGGACCTACAATGTCAAGGCTTAAAAGAGAGGAAAGAAGAGAGGAAGAAAAAAAGCCGACATCAGGAATGCAGGACGTTCCAAGCAGAGGATAGAAAAAAAAAAAAAAAAAAAAAAAAAAAAAGTATCGAATTATATATACCCTTGCAAAGCTGGATCGACATACATAGGATACATCCCCTCACTTATAGAGAGAGAGCATCAAAGAAGGAAAAAGAATAGCAAGGGTGGAGAGTGGGGGTTTAAAGCACTTGTAAAGTAAATAAACAATCTTTTAATTTAAAAAAATCCCTCTCACATTAGAAAAATGGGTAAACCCAACCCGTGCTCTCTCCGAGAACGAGTCAAGTTGATCAAAATTAACATTCAATTTTAGTTGATCATTTCTCCAGGATATGGGAATTCCATAAACTGAATTAAGGATTAACTGATTACTAAAATGACAAGGGAATGTCCCTTTTTCAGAGTCTAGAATAGCCCTTGTAGAGATTTATTCTGTAGTGTAGAATCTAAAGCTTTGATCCTCCTCCAATTCTAGAGTCAGTGTTGAACTTGGTGTGTGTAGCAGTGGCTATGATTCTGCCTGAATCCTTTTCCCTCAAAACAGCGGTTGTATTGGCCAAGGCAGAGCCGACCTTGTTGACTTTACATTCGACCAAGACAGTAGTACCGAGTGGTGCGGCCGAGACGTAGGTGACATGTAGATCGGTTGAGACGCCTGCAAGTTGGAAATACTTGCCTGTTATGAGATATTTTATTATTTTATTTTATTGTTTTTATGGAATGTACAATAGCCATTTGATAAGAAATATGTTTCTGTATGCTATCAGTCACTAAAGAAATAAAAAAGAAAAAAGCTGGATAGTTGATCTTACGCTCTCTAGTAAACATGACAGCACTGGTCAGATTATCGACCAGGGCGGCGATCGCTCCACCATGAAAGTTGTTGGATATGTTGCAATCAGATTTCTGAACAGTGTATTCGAATACAGCTGAATCCTCGTCAGCATCAACGACTTTACTACGACTAAAACACTCCTGCAAGAAGTAAGGACCATCCTCGTCTGTGCGATTTGAAATCGCATTCATTTGAGACATCCAGTCATTAAGATGTTCAATGTGATGTGGGGCCATTTGACAGAAAAAAATTCAGGTGAAAAAGGGTGGGTGGTAGAATGGAATGTGAAAGGGACAAGGAGTAGAAAGTGAAAGGAAAGAAGTAAAAAACAAGTTATAAACCAATTGAACTTCGGTTCGATCAAAACCTTATTTCTACTCTTTTTACGCATCTCCTTTTGAGAGAAAAGACCTTTGGATCAGCAAGCTAAAGAAGGACTTGAATTGAAAGAGATGATGGCTTGGGCACCGTTCACATGATAGCAGATTGTATCTTTCATTTAGAGAGGCCATCTGGTGCGATATGTTCAAGCTTTGCACTGCTGTCTCGGCCCGAGCAGAGTATGAACGCGAATTGTGTCAAAACATTGGGCTAAAAGTATTGTCACCTTAAGAGACTTTTTTTTGAGCCTCCTACTGTTAGCACGGACATTGATTGGCCTTGGCATTGAATACGTTAGCCTCGTAAATCCAAGGTCGTAGAGCCTACAAACCGGTTGCTATTCTACAAATGCTCCGCAGCACCAAAGGCGGTGTCAAACACTAGACAATTTGGACTGCAAAAAAAAAGTCATGATGAACTGTCGATTAATCCTGATAGGCACTTCATTATCTTGGGATGTAACATGCTGTTGCTCTTCCCTTACGCGATATCTTTTTCTATGTCTAATAAGGGCACCTTCCCTCCTCACCAGTTTTGATAACAGTTCCAGACAGATCAACCCGACGCACAGTTGGTGGCGTATATGCTTGTCTTACATCACATGACGCTGTAAGCCACCTCATGCGTGTGCGACCAAGGGGGAATGGAGGGCGAAGCGAAATCTATTTTCAAACACCAACAATCAGCACATCAGGAGAAGCACCATGCCGCGCGAAACTCATCTGGAGGCAACCATTGGAAGGCCCCTTGCCAGCACCATTTCAAAAGCTAAAGTGCTGATGGTTGGCGCTGGAGGTATTGGATGCGAATTATTAAAAAACCTCGTTATGAGTGGATTTAAGGAGATTGAAGTGGTAACAACACAATACAACTTTCACCAACAGGGCGGACGGAAAATAATAATGTCATCTTTCGGAAAATCGGATGTTAATGACGGTAGGATATATATTTCCATGCCTTTTTCTTTTTAGGTTGACTTGGATACTATCGATCTCTCAAATTTGAACAGACAGTTTCTCTTTCAAAAACAGCATATCAAGAAGTCAAAGGCACATGTAAGTTAGGATTCAAAAAGGAAAAGTGTATTAAGCACTTACCTCAAACGATAGCTTGGGACATTGATCGCAGAAAACAAAACTTTTTTTAATACTAGATCGCAAGAGCATCAGCCTTAACATTCAACCCAAACGTTAATATTGTCTCGCGTCATCAAAACATTAAAGACCAGGAGTTTTCTGTGGACTGGTTCAAGAGCTTTGACTTGGTTATGAACGCACTGGACAATCTGGGTAATATGGAATGACGGGATTTTGTTCCTTTACAGTAAGACCATGATTGAAATACTAGAAACTCATATGTAAAAAAAAAAAAAAAAAAAAAAAAAAATAGATGCACGGAGACATGTCAATAAAATGTGCTTGGCGGCCAATGTACCACTAGTCGAGTCAGGAACAGCAGGATATCTTGGTCAGGTCACTGTTATTCAGAAGGATGAGACAGAATGCTTTGATTGCCAGCCAAAAGAGACTCCAAAAACATTCCCTGTATGTACGATCAGAAGCACACCAAGTACGCCTATTCATTGTATTGTCTGGGCAAAGAGCTATCTCTTCAACTTGCTCTTTGGAAATGCTGAGGATGATGATGATGAAGTGCTTTCAAAAGAAGATAGCAATGATGATGAAACAGGTGAGTATATTTAAGATTTGCATGAAATCGTGGAATTCTTTTTTTTTTTTTTAAAAAAAAAAAAAAAAAAAAAAAAAAAAAAGCTGACCCATACTTTGCCACTTAACCATCTAGCAAAGGAGCTTGCAGCATTGGCCGCAGAGTCGCAGGCGCTCAAAGCTATTCTAGAGTCTGCTGGTACAGAAGGGTTCGCCCAACGTGTGTTTGATAAAGTTTTTTATACTGATATCCAACGCCTCAGGGGTATGGAAGACATGTGGAAGAACAGGAAGCCACCAATCCCTTTAAAGTACGATGATGTTGTAAGTCAATCCGATAACCAGCCGACTCCCATGGACATAGAAACAGAGACAACCACATTGAAGGACCAACGTGTATGGACTCTTGCGGAAACAGCTCAAGTCTTCAGTGATAGGTAATACCCAAATCATTTTTTCTCCAACAGGAAATAGCACTCTATGCTGATAGCCATGTTGCATATATTCATCTGAATACTGATGCCTTTCAACATGTGGCACATTATTTGGCCCCATAGCTTGAATAAACTGACTGCTAGATTAAAGGAAATGAGGGCGACAGATCCGGAGGCAAGCGTGCACTTTGATAAGGATGATCCAGAGGCCCTAGACTTTGTTACGGCGACATCTAACCTTCGCGCGCATGTCTATGGAATTGAAGAGAAGAGTCGGTTTCAAGTCAAAGGTAATAATATATACCCTATCCGCATCTAAATCTGTTGAAAAACAATGATCTTTTGGAATGAGTTTTCTCATACCCGATTATCTTCATTATATTATTAAAGCTATGGCCGGAAACATCATCCCGGCTATTGCTACTACGAACGCGATCATTGCAGGCATGATGGTAATGTTAGCCTTCAAGATCCTTAACAAGCGACTGGCTGATTGCAAAACAGTAAGGACCTGCCACCTTTTATGACGGAACCATAATAGCATACAAGACAACTGGGTACTGATAGTAGAGTTTTCTATTGATTTTCTACTTCTTTATAGAGCTACTTGGTATATGGGCGCCATCGGCCACAGTTGATTGTGTCTGAACCTTTAGCGAAGCCCAATCCTAAATGCTACATTTGTAGAAATTCTTATATTGTACTCAAGATCGATACTAGTAAGAGTACAGTTCAGGATTTAATTGATCTCCTCGAATCAAACTCTTTGGTAGAACTTGAGATCCAAGAGAATGGACGGTGAGTAATAACAGAGGTTTCTTGCTATGTTGACTATCAGCAATGGACACTGAGGATGAATTTCTTTCGTTCTAATACAATATATGTTATCAAAACAAATACAGGGTTATCTACGATCCTGATTTTGATGACAATGTGGCAAAGACACTAGAGAGCTTGCAAATTACGGATGGCAAGTTTGTGGATATCGTGGATGAAGAAGACCGCAAAATTATTGTTTATCTGAAGCATATGTAAGTTAAAATATCAATTTTCATGTCATAAAACTAAGAACTTTTCATAGGATGTAATTTTGACCAACAACGTGTCTTTCTTAAATAACCATAGGGATGCAACGGATCTGGGTGAGAAGAGCTATGAGATTGAAGGAGATGTTGAGGAAGCACTAAAGCAGCAAAGTCTCATCAGGCAACAGCGAAAAGAATTGGAGGCTTCGGAAGCAGCAGCAGCAGCACATGAGCATCAGCAAGACCCTGATGTGCTAATGACAGATGACAATAAGAAGAGGAAATACGATGAGATTGTAGGCTCTATTAATGTCTCGGATGCACCGTTGAAGAAGTTGTCCCTGGAAGCAACTGCTCACCCCTCAACAGATGGCGTTGGTGATGGTACTTCACAAGCCCAAGCTGTAGATTTGGATGAAACTATTGTAGTGGATGGTGAAACATTTGATGTCGTCATTCTAGATTAATAAAGCAATGGCTCCTCTTAAGTTTGCTTCTGAGCAAGAAAAGCATAGAAACAGAAGAGAGAAGGAGCTGGTCAAAACAGATCTACAGACCCCATTTTTTACTTCAATGTTTAACTTGTAAAAAGTAGAAACAATTTATGTACATCATGTACATGTACGTGTTTGTACATGAGCTTTTGTTGAAGTAATGCATAAATGGAATAAATGAGAGGGTCTAAAACAACTGGGGTCACACAATAAAAAACTTTTTCCTTCTCCTTCTCTTTCTCCCTTCTCTTTCTCCTTTTCTCCCTTCTCTCTTTCCCTCGATCAATTTTTCACTCAGTCACGTCACATTTTATGATTCTCCGTCCAGACCCTAGATACCATGCCTCTCCCAACTCATGCTAGTCAACAGCCACTACAAAATCACAAGGTAATCAAATTAAGAATATGGGTATAAGATTCGATTCGTAAACGGTCAATTTTCTCATGTTTTCATCCGACTTCAATATCGGAATATCGGATCTTCGTAACACTACAACATAGCTTGAAGAGTCAGCTTCGCGTATCCCGACTGACCGTCACCATCACCGCTCCGTTGACCGGATTTGGCCTCCAGCGCTAGACATCAAGCTAGCTCAATGGAATCTGGAAGATATGCATAAAACTGATGAGAGCTCCAACTGTCACCAGCTGGGTGAGCACCATGGAGTTGGGTCTCAGTCCATCTCTCACATTATCCCTATCCCTCCACCTAATAATCTGGATACGAATCAACAGGTTTATCTTTCGGGCAATGACGAGAGAATTAAGTGTATGAGCAATCGAAAGGAGGGCAGCGACAGTCCTCGGCTTTGTGAGCATGATAGGCCTCATCAAGCACCCAGCACTACTCCCTTAACACCTTATCCACCATCAACTGGCTCAAAAGGCACCACCATTGATGTTCAGTACAAAAAAGGGCACAAGCCTTCTAAAAAATGTCACTCTAGTACTGTCGATACACCTGATACTACCGAGGCTACTACAGCAGTTACCCGTACAGATACGACTCATTCATTAAATGGTGACGATGGCGGTAATAACCATGATAGCGATAACGGCGATAAGGATAATAACAATAATACAAAAACAAAAGACACATTAAGTACATATACCTCAGTCTCGGGATCACAAACCTCCCCTTATTACTTCATTCAAAACTCCTCCTCTTCTTCTTATTCCTCCTCTTCCTCTTCCTGCTCTTACTCTACAGCTCCCTCCCCAACAGGATCGAAAGGCGGTTTCTCGATTTTTAATGTAACCTCTCCACAAACACATGTGCTCCATGATATTTTGGCTCGTCATTCTAACGGCCACATCATGTTTCCCAAGCCTAAATATTGTACCTCACAATGCTCGGATACATCACGATCCTTATCAAGTGATGATGATGATGGTGGGGCTAGTGCACAAGGTGGTGGTGTCATACCAAAGACAGAGACATTAATAGGCGGCGTGGTCAAAGACAAAGAAACAGTAAAGGCAGAAATGGAGCATGATGAGGATGGTGACGACGATAGCAGTGATGGTGACGAGTATGAGCAAGACGACAGGTTTCTACTTTTGGCACAAAGTCCCAATCCTAGTGAGTTTGAAATTGGAGAGTTTTTCATGAGTGAGGCCCAAAAGAACACGAGTAGACACCAAGCCGATAGCCCTGTATTCTTTAATGGATTTCCACTCCTTAGAATGACCCCTTTGGACTAAGAAGAAAAATGTTCTCGTGCATGTATTGTTTTACATGTAGCAAGATTTTGTGGATATAGCTAGCTCAATGGTTGAATATATTATTATAGACATACTCATTGTGAAGTAACGAAGGTTTCGTAAGAGCTTTGGCGGCTTCCATGTGGGAAAACGTAATCTATCAGGTGTAGTTCAGATATCAAAGGTTCATTACAAAAGATTCAAATGAAAGACTTGCTATTTCACCATCTCGAAAAAGGGGGTTATTTTTTTTTTTTACCTCAGTATTGGTGATGTCCTGTCGAAGGCAGATCAAAGCAGCTTCACGACAAAGGTTCTCTAAATCGGCGCCTGAATAACCTTCAGTTGTTTTGGCAAGAGACTGCATGTCTTTCTCATTCAGCTTGATAGGCATTTTAGAGGTGTATCCTTCAAGGATCATCTTTCGTGTCTAGAACAGAGTGAGGATATTATGTGAATTAACGAGGTAGGCTGGGTTACAGTAGATAAAGCGAGGAACTTTTTTTTTTTGTTGACAATGATTCTCAAGTTTGTACCTCCTCGTTTGGGCCAGGAATGAAAATAATTTGATCTAGACGACCAGGCCTCAATATCGCGGAATCAATCACTTCAGGACGGTTGGTGGCTAAGAGGACAGAGTCCGGGATAATGCCATTTCTTCTGTAAGCTTCCCTTTGTTTTAGGGTAAACAAATGTTCACATAATTGCATTATAATTACCTGCAAGCACTAGAACATCCACTTCAGCCCTGGATCCTGCGTCCTTGGAGAAGAAACCATCCATTTCTAGACAAAATATTCCAACATATTTTAGGCACAATCACTTTATCTTTTTACATGAATAGCTGGCTACATTATTTCAAGAAAGGAGTTTTTTTTTTTTTTTACCTGTCAGTAGCCCCGTAACAATGCGATCGTTGCTATTTTCGCTCGTATGTGTAGATCCTCTTGAAGGAGCTAACACATCAATCTTATAGAAAAACGAAAACAAAATGCCTACTTTTAGATTGACAGATTTTAAAATAAAAGTAAAAAAAGTATAGCCAAGGACGTACTATACCTGATCGATGAAGAGTATGCACGGTGCATTTGCCTTGGCCTGCGCGAACATTTTGGCAATGTTCTGTTCAGACTCGCCTACAACTTTGGATCGAATTTGGGAACTCTGAAAAGATTTTTTAATTGTGTTAAAAAAATGGCTTCCAAATGCTATCCTTTTATCGCAACAGTTTTTTTTTTTGTTACCTCAACAAGCATAAAGTTGATACCAAGCTCTTGAGACAGGGCACAGCATAGCCTCGTCTTTCCAACGCCTGGTGGGCCATGCACAAGAAGACCACGAGGTGGAGCAATCCCCATTTTGATGTATTTTCCAGGATCATGAAACGGCTCAATAATAGAGACTTTAATATCCGCAATAGCATCCTGCATCCCAAAGAGATCGCTGAAATTGATTTTGGGTATCTAATAGGAAAAAAAAAAAAAAAAAAAAAAGTTTATGTCTTCTATTTTGCAGGCAGAGAACATGTATGTTATGTGGTGAGGTTCAGTTTTTGGAACACAACTTACACTTGATAAAAACTCGCCCATGCCAGATGGTCGAATTGTTCGTAGGGCTTGTTCAATATATGTGTAATCAATCATAGCATCTTTATGACCTGCTGCCATCTTTGATAACAAAAGTAATGCTGACTCTGTACACAATGATTGCAAGTCAGTGGGAACAAACCCATGAGTCGCCTTAGCAATCTTTTCGAGTATTATCGGCCTCTCTTTAGGATCCATCGGTAGATCTGGTGATGAATAGAAGGATACGAAAGTAATTCTTGTGTTAACTCGATCCTCATGTAATAACACTTTAGCTTTGAGGTGGCAAAATAGGATCGAGTCGTGAGACTAGATTTATTATACATTCTCACCTTTGGCTACAATCTCAAGAACCTGACGCCGCTGATCGGTGCCTTTTAAGTGAAGATCAAACACTTTATCTAGTCGTCCGGAGCGTACCAGTGACGATTCGAGCGCATGCAGCCTATTTGTAAGGGCTAAAAGGAAGTTTATGAAGCTTCACTTCAGTAAAATATTTATAATTGCAGTCGTAACAATTTTTTTTATTTCATAATTGTAAATATGTATGACCATTTACCGATAACAAATATTTTCGGACCAAAAGGATTCGTATTGATAGAGTCGATAAGACCTAGTAGGGTTGCAAATAGCTTTGCTTCCACTCCTTTTTATTATTATTGTTATTGTTATTGTTATTGTTATTGTTATTATTATAATTATTATAATTATTATTATTATTATTATTTTACGCCAGACGAAGGGATAAGTTATCTGCATCGGTGCAAACAACATAATCACTGATTACACGATTGGCATGCAACTAACCTTTTCGTGATGCTCTGTCGCCTGCGATTATGTCGACTTCATCTAGAATCAATATTGATGCCTTATTGTGCAAAGCAAGGGATGTGAAAGCTTCGCGGAGATAGTTCTCACTAGCACCCGCATCTAAAAGTTTCTATCAGTGATTTTCTTTTCTTTCCTTTCTTATCCATATGCAAACACCCTCATATCCCTGATTCATCCTTAGTGTCTGCTTGATCGACAGGAAACAGGAAAAAAAAAAAAAAAAAAAAAAAAAAAACATAAAAATAAGCTAATGAGTCTATTCACACCTTTTTGGAAAACATCCGGACAGTTCACAATGGTATATGGAAGCCCTGAACACCTTGCTAGATGAGATGCTAAGGCACTCTTGCCAGTCCCAGGGCGCCCCGAGATAAGAAACCCCTTAAAAGGTACTCGGAAACATGGCTTCGATTTTGATTTTGTTGTCGTGAGATTCAATTCCCGTTTAGTGTCATGGATTGCTTCTTGGATAAAGCCATAGAGGTAACCAACAATTTCCACTAGCATATCGTCGTATCCACCAACATGAGCTTTTATAGCCGAGATCCAGTCCTCTTGCGATAAAAGCCCATCCGATCCTTGAGATGATGAATGCGAGAATACTTTTAAATCCCTGACAAGTTTTTCCATTGGCGATACATATTTTACCACAGTAGTACTGGAGATTAATCCAACATCAGGATGATCACTGTTGGTTGTTTTGATATCTATAATCCTGAAACTTTGGATTCCATAAGGGGATTTGAACTCGAAACAGCTATTTAACGAGGCGACAAATCCCGATAATGATCGCGCGATAGCTGTAGACATTGAACCCAATTGATCATAAGTATTGGTCTCTATGGCATTTACTGTAATCTCCAGAACGTTTCCCAAATTGTTGATCTTGTGGAGAAACAAAAAAGAGAGAGGAAAAAAAAAAGAAAAGAAACCCTTCTCGTATGTGAGTGTCGCCAAACCTGATTGTGTGAATCGATATAGTCCTATTAGGGATCAAGCGCTGAACGAAAACGTGCTACAGGTCTTACAATATTAGCATCAACTGAAATAGGATCCTGATCGGCTGGCATTGAGATATCGTCGTGAAAGTCTCCTTTTACTCTCAATTGCTCGGTCATCAGCTGAGTCCGAATTTCCCAATAGAGTAAGTTGCTTACAACCACTGGCCATTCCTTTAGTGATAATTCAGCAGCACGGGGCTGTGTTAACAGCAACTTGTCCGGGAAACGGCTGTCCTTGCGAAACAGCATGCTTTCTTTCGAATATATTCTGACAGATGCATATAGAACCGTCTTGTTGTTATTGCTAGTCGATCCAGGTAAAGTAAGGGCCACAAAAGTATTCCTTAATCTGTGTTGGAGACACAATTCTCTAGGGATATAGATGATACGCTTGCGAGGCGGCCAATTGGCTTCAAGTTCTCGTATGTGCGGTTCTACCGCATTAGCGTCCATCTGCCTGCGCTCCTCCACGCTGGCAATGACGCGTAGGTGAAATGGCATAGCTTTAAACAATGGTAAAAAAAAAAAACGATGCAAGAGTTGAGCAGATCTGGCCAACAAAGGAAGAGAAGTGATAAGGAAAAGATCGCAGTCACAAAAATTGCCTTGAATAAACAATTTTTTTTTTTTTTTTTGTAGCCTGTTGAGCTTTTTGACCTCCCCTCCCTCTCTCTCTCGAATCGACAATTCTGTCAACATTATACCTTTTTTTTTAGCCTTGTTGTATTTTTGTTATAACTGCCATATATAATGTCGAAGAGAGCTCAGGACCATGATGAGGACATGCGTGAGGCAAAGTCCTCTGTTAATGTTGGAGATCGCACAACGGTCGAAGACGAGGGCATGGGTGAATTTGAAGATCCTTGGGAAGACGAGGTCGAAAGTGACCAGGAGGTCATTGTTGAGAATGATGATGACGATGACGAAGGTATAATAACCAGAACTCTACATATAGAAAAAAAATCGTCTTTATCTTTTTTTGATCATACTGAAAAAGTCCAATTGAGCTGACTGACTATCTATCAATTACAAAATCGCTTGGTGCCTAACATTTGAATATCGTTTTTTCTTTCCTGTAGGTATGGATGTAGACCAGGCAATGGAACAGGATAAAGAAGAGGATGATAAGGAAGTTCGTGTCTATTTGCCTGGCCAAACTCTTGAGAAGGATGAAGTGTTAGAGGCTGACCAATCTGCATATGAGATGTTGCACAGTATGAACGTAAAATGGCCCTGCCTGAGCTTCGACATTCTTTGGGACCAATTGGGTGATGAGCGCTGCACTTTCCCTGCTACAGCCTATGTAGTGACAGGCACGCAAGCGGATATGGCTCATAACAATGAAGTCCTGGTCATGAAGATGTCACAACTGGCGAAGACCAAGAATGATGATGGAAATCTCAGTGAGGATGACAGCGACGATGATGATGTGGATGAAGATCCTGTCTTGGAATACAAGAGCATGAAGCACATGGGTGGTGTCAACCGTATTAGAGTAAGAGGAACTTTTTTTTTTTTTTTTTTTTTTTTTTTAATGCCTCAATATGTAATGTTGGTCTTTTCTCAATGTAGAGAGTTTCCAAAGTAGATGCTGACTCAAGATGTCTTTCCTTTTTTTTCCTCTCTTTTTATAGGCCATGCCTCAGCGAGATAAACAAATTGCCTCTACTTGGGCTGATACAGGCAAGGTTCACCTCTGGGACTTGGCACCCCATATCCGCTCTTTAGACCAGCCAGGAAGCGTGATTCCCGAGTCGGCTAAAAAGCCTATTTATACCATTGAGTCCCACGGGCGATGTGAAGGTTTTGCTATGGATTGGTCGGAGACTGTTCCTGGACGTTTATTGACAGGCGACTTGAATGGAAAGATCTATATGACAACTTTGAATGCTTCTACAGGTGCTGTAACACCCGATCGCGTGCCCTTTGTTGGCCATCAAAGTTCAGTTGAGGATTTACAATGGTCCCCTTCCGAGAAGGGTGTCTTTGCATCATGCTCTGCAGATCATACTGTCAGGATTTGGGATATCCGCTCCAAGAAGCGTGCAGGAATTACGGCCAAGGTCCACAATTCGGACGTCAATGTCATCAGCTGGAACAGGTGTGTTACATACCCTGCTGTTTTACAATTCAAAACAAGAAAAATCTTGGTCATAGTATTTGAATGTTTCGTGACACTAACTGAATTATAAAATCTATATCGCTTATTCCCTCTTTAAATAGGAAATTACCTTATATGTTGGCTTCTGGATCGGATGAGGGTGTATTCAGTGTTTGGGATCTCCGTCAGTGGTCACAGGGTGCTGTGAACCCCACACCTATTGCTACATTCAAGTGGCACCAGGCTCCTATTACCTCAATCGAATGGCACCCTAGTGATGAATCGGTTCTTGGCGTTGCAGGTGCAGACGATCAGATCACATTGTGGGACTTCTCTGTAGAACACGATGCTGAAGAGACGCTTAATGGAACAAGTCAAAAGGCGATTGCCAATGAGGCCGGAATTGAGGTCCCACCTCAATTGATGTTTGTGCATCAGGGGCAGCAGGATATTAAGGAGCTGCATTGGCACAAGCAAATCTCTGGATGTGTTATCTCGACAGCAGCATCAGGGTTCAATATCTTTAAGACCATTTCGATTTAATACAAAAAAAACAAAAAACAAAAAAAAAAAAAAAAAAAAAAAAAAGCATTTTGCATCATTCTTTTTTACTGTTACGATTAAAGCAATAAGAAAATAAAACTACTTCTAGAAAAAAGAGATTCCACTTTTAGTCTCACTAGCACCCTCTAGCATTTTTATTATTATTACACATATAATATATTATTAAAGAAATACATATACATCGTATCTTTCTTATTGTGCTACAATAGCGTGGTTGATGAAGTGCAGTTTCTCTTTTTTTTCTTGAGTGCTATCAGAACTAAAGTCTTAAACTTAGCATTAATAACGATATGAAGCGATTTCAAAAAAAAAAAAAAAAAAAAAAAAAGACCTTTATTACTAACGGACATTCGCATGAAACTTGAAAGACTTGTAGCTTCGAGTTCATGTTCATAAAAGTTCTTGAGTGATCCTGGTCTTGACTCTGCTACGCTTTTCTCTTTATCTCTTTTTTATTTCGGACAACAGTTATAAAACTGTTTAATCTGGAACATACTTGATATCCGATACACAAAAATGGGCCGTAGTATAGACGGCATAAGTCTAGTTGCGCTCCCCGACGATTTTTTTTTTTTGATAACGAGGACTCATGAGGTCATGTAGGATTTATTTAGATATTAGCTCTATAAATGGGTTGCCCCCATACTGGAATCGGTATCCTGTAGCCATATCGTTGCACTGCTACAATACGATATCCTGTTCATAAACCACGTCAGTATTAAGTATCCCTCGGTTCCCTGCGGGTCTGCGGCACGGCTCTACTTCCTACTTGGCCTGTTGTGTGCGAAGGTCATCCTTTACCCGCAGTCCTCAATCAAAAATTTGCAACTTTCCAAGCGCTCCATAGCCGCCAATTCCACCTGCTGTCGGTAGCTTGCCGGCACCCGCCGGTCTGCCTCAATCCTGATCTTGCCATCGTTACTATGGCCACGGACCCACTTACTTTTTTTTTTTTTTTTTTTTTTTTGATAACAAGGACCCACGAGGTCATGTAGGATTTATTTAGATGTTAGCTCTATAAATGGGTTGCCCCATTACTGGGGTCGCAAATAAAGCGGTATCCAATAATCGACCGAAGCCGCATCGTCATACTGCCACAGTACTACATCCTGTTCATAAACCACGTCAGCATTGAGTAGACTTCCTTGGTCCCAGAGGGCCTGTGGCACGGCTCTACTCCCTACTTGGCCTGTTGTGCGCGAAGGTCATCCTTTAGCCGCTGTCCTCAATCATCAAAAATTTACAGCTTTCCAGGCGCTCCATAATCGCCAATTCCACCTGCTGCCGGTAGCTTGCCGCCACTCGCCGGTCTGCCTCAGTCCTGATCGCCTTCACATCTGCTGTTCGTCGTTGTCCCTGGTGAGAGCCAAAGAATTCACCTCTGCTACGTCTGTGCCTCCCAACACAGTTGCGTCCCCTGGCGCGTTTGCTCACAGAGGTGATACCATTTTCTCTTTCCCAGTTGACGGTGACTTTGCAGCGTCTGTTCCAGATTTCAGTCCTGCCGAGTTCCTCGATTGACTTGACAAAGCGGCAAACAATGTATCTTGAGATCGATGCTGTGGTTCTGAAGATCGTCTTCCATTTTTGTATCAGTTCCTTCGGCACCAAACCGTGGTACAAGTCTTGGACAGTCCAGTGGGCATGCTCACCCTCGTTCCTCCGTCCCATATCCACATCTTCCTCACCAAACAGAGTGCTCGCATGTCGAATCTCTCTGACGCCCTTGAACATCGCTTCCAAAGAGCCCCAAATCACGTTGTCGGCTACAGGTGTAAACGAGGGGCCTCCTTTATTCAGGTTTGGCTCCTGTGTTTTCCCTTGTTTGTCTTCCCAGAGCTTCTTCTCCTTCACTAATGCTCTTTTGCCATCCTTCGTGATGAGTTCTATGGACTGCTTCCAACCTTTCAATTGCTCGTCCAGTGTCATGGGACATCGCCAGAGGTGTTCTATGTCCTCCTGCTCCTGTTCACACATCCTGCAGATGTCAGTCTCATACAGGTCCGGTCGCCACTGCCTCATATAAGTGAGTGTAGGAAGCATACCATGGACCTTCTTTATTCTGTGCGCTCTCTTGTGACAATCTGCTGGGCTGGTGAAGAGGCCTCTAGGCGTGTTGCCATCGTGAAGAATATGCAGGCTTGCTTTCCATTCTACTTCTCGCCAGTCTGCAATATAATTCCTGACTCTGTTCTGAGACGCCCACAAGTAATGTGTTCTCACTGCTGATTGGAGTTTTAGCAGGTGTCTAAGATCATCCTCCACCACCTCGTTCTCGAAAATAGCGTGGCAGCGCAGATCGTTGTGTTCCAGTACTTTGATTGTCCACATTTCGCTAAAATGAGCATCTTTGGCGGCTTGGTCTGCCCTTATATTGCCTCTATTCCCAGCATGGCCCTTGACCCATTTCACAGTTACCTTCCCGCCCTGCTTAAAGAGCGCTCTCGAAATGGCTGCCCACCACACTGCGTACTTGGATCGCAATCGCTGCCGTTCAGTGCTTGCTTCTCGCTTTTGAGCAAGGTCCTTGAACTGAACCACTACCGCCATGTTGTCTATGTAGACAGTCGTTGGAACGTTACGGGGACTGACTAGAATGGCTGCGTACAGTCCTACTAGCTCTGCCTTGGTGGATGAAGCATACCCATCGACTCTACCTGAAACTACATTTGAGAAGCTTTCTGGGCCTATCTGAGCCTCCACCCCGAAAGCCATCCGCGCCGCCCTTCTTCCTGCCTCTTCAAGGGACCCATCGGAGTAAAGTGTTAGCTGACTCATCGTTGATAGTTTCTCTCTTTGACGCAGTATATTGTCCATGTCAACCTGTGGGATCTCTACACCTAGGCACTCAGAGGAGCCAAACCACCGATGACGACCCTCTGGGATTTTATTATTCCTTGTTCTTGAGGAGTCCATCTCTTCTTGCGCTTTCGTCCTGAGCCTCCTATCGAGAGCTTGTTCATCGAGTTCATGTCGTCCACGTATCTTGTTTCGCTCTTGTGCTCTACGTCTTGCTCGGTTGAAAGTCGCTCGTCGTCGCTGTTCTCTTCTTCCTTGTTCATCGAGCCTTTGAAACCTAGCCTGTAACCGTAGGCGTTCTTGACGGCGAGCTCTTTCGATAGCCTTCGAGTGTGCGGCTTCTTGCTTGGCTTGCACCCACTGTTCACGTCGCCACACTCTCCTTCTCTCCGCCTCTTCTTTTTTCCTCTCTTGCTCTATTTTTCTTAGCAACCATTGCTCCCTCTTCCCTCTTCCCTCTTTCCATGGCCACGGACCCACTTACTTTTTTTTTTTTTTTTTTGATAACAAGGACCCACGATGGCCACGGACCCACTTACCTCAACTGAACCTGGTCTGTCGTTGACAAGTATGTAAACTGCTGCCTAGTTTCACGTGATTGCCATATGTCTTTCCCCTTAAGTAGTCTGTTTGACAGCTGTAATATCTATTTATATATAGGTTTAAATTCTAGAATTCATGCGAGGAAAAGGACTGTGTAGTATAGTGGTCCAGTACCCAGGACTTTGAATCCTGTAACCCGAGTTCGACCCTCGGCACGGTCTTGTCTTTTGCTCTTCTTTTTAACCACTGTTTCCTGTCATTTTGCCACCACAAAATTCAACAGTGCTTTTTCTACAGTAAAACAATGGTATTTCGTTCATGTCTTTTATTTTTATCATTGATACTGATGACAGAAGGAAAGAGAATATTGCCACTTTCGACCTTAAATTGGATTCAATCTGAACGAAAATCTGCAAAGGCAAAGACTATTCAGACACGACTCATCCCATTTCTTGATTCACACGACCAGGAAAACTGCGACCCCATTAATATTTACAACCTTTCTAGTCATAAAGGCTCCTTACAAGTCGTTCAGCGACATTTTTCGTCTACGTCTGCATCTGCTACCTCTACTGGTACCCTTTCTTCCAATACCCGCTACCTCAAACAATCTCTTCTCACAAATAGCATGGCCAAAGATAAAGGCGACAGCAGCGGAGGGGATAGTTTGAGTAACCGAGATGCCACTACGAAAGTCGCCTCGAAGAGGATGACTCGAGGTAGTAGTAAAGCGAGCAATAATGAGACCAATAACAACCCAGAACCTTTAGCTGCCATCCAGCAGAAGGTGTCCAAATTCCAGCCAAAAATCGACTCTCTCCTACCACGGATGCTTAATAAAAACACTCCTCCAGCAACGTCTGTATCCGTTTCCAAGGCCAGAACCAACGAAAAGACATTACCAGAGACTTCCAAACCAGCAACCGGGTCATCTAAGGCTGCTGCTGTAGCGGCGGCAAGAGCGACCAAAGACCCACAAACGAGTTCAAAGCTCAAAAGTCCTGCTGAAGTTACAAATAAGTCCACGAATAACATTATTGGCAAAAGTACAAATCCAGCCACTCCCACACAAAAAAATAAGACCAAAAAAGCGTCCAACTCTCCAATTACCAGTATCGCTTCTCTTATCCCAAAGGGTAGTCGTGCTAAACCTCTGCCGCCACAAAAGGCGCCTGATCAACGTGATTCTACCGGCTCCGCGTCTGTTGCCACATCCGAGAAATTCACCTCACCAGCGAGGTCAACTAGATCAAGGATTAAAGATCAGCCTGAGCAAGTCATCATACTGTCTTCATCGATACCATCCTCGCCCTCGCACATAGGGAATGTCTTCTCCTGGGAGGAGACAGAAAATAATGATGTTAGTGCCACGTCACCAGAAGAAGTGGATATAGGATTAGTGCAACCGAAGGAAGACGTATCAAGAGCCCCTAGTCACGATGAAGATCATAATACAGGCTTAATTACTTCTCAGAAAGCCCGCAGTAGCCACAGGGCGACGGCAACACCAGCAAAAATACCCTCGATTATTTCTATCAACAGCGCGCAGTCTGATACCTTTGCTAGTGTCACCCCTTCAGTACACGTAGACAGGATCACAGACTGGATGGGCGAGGTCAAAGAAGCTTTGAGGCATGATACTGACGATGCTACAAAGCCTCTTCAACAAACTGCTTTGACTCCTCGTATAACCGAACCCCGTACAGTTTCGACAAAAAAACAAGAGGAACCGGCAGTTATGGAACCAAAGCCACGAGAAATACGTAAGCCAGTCTTTAGCCGGCCTCCCCCAGCAATCCCTAGACATCAAGGAGCTACAACTAATTCAAAACCACCACAATTGCCCGATCCTGCAAGTGCCCCCCAAGACACTGTAATTTCCTCGTTGGGAGAGGAGGACTCCTTCTTGGATGTAGACGCTGTTCCGGAGAGGAGTACCAACAAAGAGAAGCGCGTCCTGGTTGAAGGCTCATTTCCTTCTGTACCGCCAGTGCCACTGTTTCATGAAGCCTCTAATATGGGCGATTCCAAGACTGAACTGGCACTAGCTTCAGCAACATCATCAAAAGTAACTACTAACCTAGATCCTTATAACGATGACGATATATCAACCGTCGTAGGACAACAGCCAACGCAGGGCTCGATCATGGAAGCTTCCTCCTTACCTTCTTTCGTTTATGCTAAAGATAAAAACGAAGAAATTGACGAAGAGGAAATCGAAAAAGAGGAAGAATATTATGCTAATGTTCGAGAGCCAAGTTTGGAGCCATCATTGCCATCTGCTCTAACGTCATCATGTCTGCAAGAATTAGGGCTTCGGAAACGCAGGCACAGTGAGGAAGGTCCTGGAAACCAAGGAAAACGTCAAGTTGGAAGAGAACGAAGCCCGGCACATGAAGACGAGAATAGTTCAAGCCACGAAGAGGATATTATTTTAGCTCAAGAAGATGCCTTCCCTCAGAGTATTGCCTCGGTGCCGGTGTCGTTCGCGTCAACGGCTTCGCCCATAGAGCCCTCTTCATACAGTGTGCTTGAAGCGCCGGAATATGCTTATGCACTGCCTGAAAGGACAAGGCAATCAAGGCAAGGTCAAGATCAGAGTCAATTGGGACAAGGTAATTGGGCCACACAACAAAGTAGAAGTCAGGATACTCATGACTCCTTGCGAGAGATAAGAGCGCATTCATTCCCATCCCCACCATCACAAGTTTCGTTCACATCACTCCCCACCATGCCAACGATGCCAAGCATGGAAACTTTCCAAAGCCAGCCCGAAGAAGGGTCACTGAGCCAACCACGCTCAAGTGGAGATGAGAACCAAATACAATCTATACAGAGTTATGACAACAGCTGGTCAAAGGTTCAATCTGGTCAGAAACGCTCAACACCTTCGGAAGATCAGTCAATCACGACTTTGCCTTCACCACTCCCGACTCTCCCTACGATGCCATCTTTTCCGTTAGACGAGCTGTCTGAAAACGAAGCAGAGGCTTCGCCTTCATTGATTGTAATCGATAGTCAGAGTCAGCAGAGACAGACGCTAGAAGACGATGTATCTTAGATTTTATTTTTTAAAAAAATAATTTTTTACCATTGATGTGACTTTCATTAATTCAAGAACAAACAAAACGAGCTTTTTTTTTTTTTTACAACTTAGTTGACATCATAATATCGCATCACTTTGCCATTTACATCCTTTGATGTGACTAGAATCCACATTTTTTTAACCATTTACATCAAGCATTTATAATACCATTACAAAAAAGAAGCAGACACATTGCTATTATACAGATAAATAATGCCACCGACTAAAAACCTTTCAGAGAGCACAGTGGGCCAAACACTTCCCGATAACCACAAGAATGCTACTAATGTGTTGTTATCATCACTCGCAGAGATCGAAGTACTGATATCACCTCTGACTGCTGCTCCGAACTCATTATCAGAGACACTGACTAAGCTAGATAACGAGAAACGCTGTCAACTCGAATTGCTTTTAGCTTATGCCCTTAATACACTAGCATTCAGTATGTCCGCTATCTGCTTGCAGATCGTAGCAGCTCACTCGCGGCAATAAAAAAAAAAAAAAAAAAAAAAAAAAAACGAATTACGGTTATCTTTATCAAACAAGCAAAAAATAATAATAACATTTTTTTTTGCATCAAATGATAAAATAGTCAACTTAAAGTCCAATGGTATCCCATCTAATTCTCATCCGGTTATGAGTGAACTAGTATGTTAATCATATTGGCAGATCAAATCCTTGGAGTATCTATTGTACAAAATGTATGATTTGAAATGCTATACTTATTTTTTTTTTTTTTTTTTTTTTTGGATATCTAACAAAAATTGAACAGAAACGAATTCAAGCCTATACAGAGAAACTTCGACATGCAACATATGGCAACAAACCCAGCATGAGTGTTGACAAGGATGCAGCGGAGCGGTTTATCAAGGGCGCTTTGGCATCGAATGCAATGCCAGACTCAACAGCACCCTCGATAGCAAAAGGAGAAGGAAAACACTCAAAGTTTGATGAACAAGGAAAGGAAATAGAAAATGATGATGATCAGAAGAAAAACGTGATTCAAGGCTCAAATGTAAAGACAACAGACTCAAGTTCATCATCATCAACAGCAGGGACGACAGCGACAACAACGTCGTCATCATCATCAACGAGAAAGCGCATGGATCCGTTTCAAGGATACGGCGAGAATAAGAAAAAAAGAAATTAATATATAAGATGGATGTGCTTATAAAACATTTTAGGAAAAAAAAAAAACAAAGAAAGATACTAGATGAAAAATTTCTATTGTTTTGTTTATTGTCATTATTGCTACTGATTTAAGTAGGTTACATTATTTCATTCACTCTTGAGATCATCCGTGGTATGTGAAAACTTCAAAGAGTTAAGCACTGCAATACAGCCATAACGCAGACAAAATGCGCCAATGACGGGAAGAGATACTTCATGAGTCGTTGCAGGACGTTCACCTGAATTCTAGAGCAGTTTAGCTCTATACTTGCCGTCATCGTCATCGTCATTGTCATTCCCTTTTTTTGCCGGAGTGAGCCAGTACTGTAGTCTTTTTCAAAAAAAAAAAAAAAAAAAAAAAAAGCTCTGTTTAGCTCTCAGCAGGATATGTATGTTGATAGCGGTGCTTCTTGCTGTTAATTTCACCAAATCCTTTGATTTTGGCCAGATCTTACTGTAACTCTTGCTTCTGATCAGCTGTTGATAATATGTGATGAGCCCTTGTCCATCCCATGATTCAGAAAACGATCGACTGTTGAATCCACCATTCTGCCATCGATGATCCCAAGAACGATCTCTGGACAAACTTCTATATTGGATCGCAATAACACTATAAGAAACGGCCCTGATATCATTTACTTCTGACTGAGATAGAAGGCTGAAACTAGGGGAAAGCCTGCTTCTGTTAGGTATTTTGGTGTCAGTGACATGACAGGGTTCTAGGATGCGAGTGAGACCGATAAAGTGCTAAATGGAGTATCGCTGTTGGTAGAGTCACTGGTGCTTACTCGTGCTACGAAAATGGTGTGACTACAGGTCGGCTTTTTGTCGTCTTTGTTAATCTTGGTCTCACTGGCAGAAACTGCTGTCACCATTGCCCCACATCAATAGATGTCTTTAAATAATCAAAGATTAAATATAGACGCGGCTGTCGTAGTTTGTCTAGCATTTTCATACATTTGATATTCTGTTGGTAGTAGAATAGTATTCGTGGTGGTGATGATCTGCTGTGAGGCGGTGTCCATCCTTGAGATCGTGGATGATTTCCCTCAGCCCTAAAGGCTATTCACTATGTTTTGGCTTCTTGTGTACTGATGGTACGATTGCGATAAACGCATGCTAAAAGACAAGAATAGATGCAAGGAGAGGAAGAGGACAGCGGAAGGATATTGGAGCAAATGACATGGTTTGGACATATACCACCATGACAAGCCTTGTTGAACGAACTATGTAGGCTGATCATCTAGTCTCTTCCTTTATTCTATCAGTAATGAATAAAAAAATAAAATAAAGTAAAAAGCAAACGCCTTTGCTTACTTTCCTTCGTTCATAAAAGAAAGACGCATCTCTTGTCTCCACAAAGTTTTATTGCAACATTAGACAGTCTTATTCTATGTTGGTTTGACGATCAAACAAACCAATTTTAAATTTTCGCATCCGGCTAGTTGCCGCAGGACATGCGACAAAAAACAAAAAACAAAACACTCCGTTCCCTTACCTTTGACAAAAAGTGAGAGAGAGATCTGATTTCCCCTTTTTTTTTTTTTTTTCTTCCTTCTTTCTTCGAATCTCATTCACATTATCCTTTTTTATTTATTTCTTTTGAAGTAAATCGCTGCCTCTAGCCTCTTCTCACATTGCTATTTACAATTCGGAGAGGATTGCTCAGTAACGAACACAGCAAAGGAACCAGTCAAATAAGAAAAAAAAAGGCGACAATCAATTGTTTCTTTATCTGTTAAAGATCAAGACTAAAGATATAAAAAAACACGTCTGAAAATGGCAAACAACTCTTTAGCCAACAATAACGCGGTACGACTTGGCGCAGCTGCCCTCATTGGCGGCCTTGCCGTTTATTTGATCTGGTCAGCAACATCGTCTTCGCCTCCTCGTCCGCCTACGACTTCAACATCAACGTCAAGCACTACTACTGTCTCCACCAAGAGTAAAACTGTTAAAAAGAGTCAATCCGATAGTACTGGCGACCAAATCGACAATCGCAAAGATAGTAGCGGAATTAAGAAGAAAGACGAAGAGTTTAAGCAACAGGAGCAGGGACAGGAACAAGAACAGGGACAGGAACAGAGGCAGGAACAAAAACAATCTGCCGATACTCAGTACGCTCATGTGATCGTACATGAGGAGATCGAACAATCCAAGCCTGTTGTTACTAGCAAGGGGATTCAGGAGAATTCGGAATATGTGGAAAAGGAAACTTCACTATTTGTGAAAGGTAAAAAAAAAAAAAAAAAAAAATGCTCACAAAGAAATACTGGCCTCTTCTTGTCGGAAGTAAACAACCAGGAATCAATGAGATTGAAATCCTTCATTCAAACTTTCCCATTTTCACACGATTGAAAGTTTTTATTCGCCATAATATGGCAAAACAGCTTTAAGGAAAATGTGTACGATTCTTACTGTTTCTAACACCACCTTTTTTTTTTTTTTTTTTTTTTTGTAATTTTACTCATGATAGAAGTGGTCGTGGATGGCATCATTAAGACTGGAGAGGATATTGTTCAGCAGGTAAAACACCATTCTGTCTATTGAATATATATATAAATATAGCATTTAAAATTGAGGTTTTATTCTCGTACCTACTCGGATTTAGAGCATTGCTTTAGTTCAGGAGAGCATAGTTATAGAGGAAACACATCTGGAGGAAGAGAAGGAGAAGGATGAGGTCGTTGCAACAAAGGAAGTCTTGGGCCAGGAGATCGTTGAGTCCCAGGAAGAAGATACCAATAAGGATCAGCAAGTTAAAGAGAAGATAGACGAAGAGAAGGTAGAGGAGGAAGTAGAGAAGGTAGAGGAGAAGGTAGAGGAAGATCATGATCAACAAGTGGAAGAGGATCAGTCAGTGGAGGAGAAAGCGGAGGAAAAAGTGGAGGAGGAGATGGCAGAGGAAGAGGCGGTGGTGGTAGAGGAGGAAGAGGACGAAGACGAGCCGGTAATGGTAGAGAAAGAGGAGGGACAGAGCGAGGTAGAGACGGAGGAGCAGCATCAGCAGCAAGAAGTAGTGACGATCACAGAAAGTTTCCTGAAAGTACAACAGAATGACAATCATCCTGAAGAGGTTGAGCGCCATACTTCTGTCCTAGACATGCCTTTGCCATCCGAGACTTCAAAGATCCTTAATGAAGAATTCCCAGTGCGAATCGAAGCTGTGGAGAGAATTGAAAAGGCATTGACGATCGCGGAGGCTGCCTCGCCTTACAAAGGACTCGATTCATTTACCACTTCTTCCTTGTCGCAACCATCATCGCTAACATCTTTCACCCCAGCATCGTCAGGAAGTGCGTTGACTGCATCGGAACAAATGAACGAGGTTTCTATTGCTTCGGGAATGAGCAACCAAACTAATGAATCATTTACTGCTCGTAAGGAACTATTTTTGGTTACGGTCCATACAGTCACTCAATGGAACTGCTCTGTTCTCAATTGATGTTCAATTTTTGTTTTGTCTTGTTTCATTTTGTCATACTCAGGTACAAACCATACGTTAAATACCAATGCTGCGATCTTTACGCCTTCATGGCTACCCCGCCCTACCGATGCCTCCTTTGCAACGGCCTCTGATGTTAATTCGCGAAGTAACGCTCCGATCATGAACGGTAATTTCTCGTGGCTGCCCAACTGTCTGGTGTTAAACACCCTTGATCCCAATTCATTAGCTGATCCTAATTCATACTCCCCTTATAATTCTGTCCCTCAGACCAAAGCCATATTTGGGCAATGGATCCTGCTATGCAGCTTCAATTGCAATCGCAGACCCAACCAAATGATCGAGTCAAGATGAAGTCTCGCTGTCGATTCTGGCCCAATTGCACCAACAAGGCTTGCAAGTTCACCCATCCAGTCCTGCCATGCCGGTATGACTCTGTCACGAAAACATACAAGGCGTTGTGGCATTATTACGAGAAACATCAGTCTCAATTTTTTTTTCTTCTTTTTTATAATTAGTGATCCTGATAATTGCGCATTTGGAGACCGCTGCAACTTTGTCCATCCAAAAGATCTTGTCAGACGACCACCTCGTCCCCATAAAGGCGACTCGCGCAAGGAGCCACGTCGCCAGTCGAATAAGGAAAACGGATCAGCATCAATGTCCAACTCTATAGACTCTTTAGGGGTTGCATCTTCTACAACATCGACATCAGTACCAGCATCAGCATCAGCGTCAGCAACGGGAAACCCTTGGAGTCTTCCATGACCATATATAAACTCGAAGGTCATAGATAACTGCGTGCTAACTGACAATAAAAACAGTAATAGATTTCCTCCTCTTGTTATTGCCGAGATCTATCTCAACAGGCTACATGGCTGCAATTGCGATTGTGGTTGTGAACTTCCCCTCTCTTTGCCTTTCGCCCCTTTATATAACTATCCATTTCCTTAAGATGAACACTAAGTGTTTTACCCTTCCGGATAGGGAGGCATAGCATTCGTGAACCTTTCAGTCAAGTATATCCGCTAATCAACTGGGGCGCCTTCAAAGACCTAGATTGAGATGAAGATATACCAAAAAGGGTGCAAGGGTGTCATATCCTTTCCATATTGTAATTAATATCAGTGCAAGCAAACCCCTCCTCTCATTGCTGGATCGCTCATCATAATCTTTAGTGTCGATAAGGCGATTCTATGCTCTATCTAAACTAGCAGACTTCAGAGCGAAACCTACATAACGCCACGCTAGATCATCAAAAGTGATCTTTCAGTTAAAAAATTCATGTATGCGAGACCTACGAGGAAATCCGATATGACATTGGCGAATTGAATGAGAAGCTTTTGTTGTGAAATCTTCCTTCACCCCCTTCATTTCGGAGATTGAGGGCTAGGGTACCGGTAATATCCCGTATTCCCTACCCTAGAGGAATAATCAATCTTCATGCGACTCCAAGGCCACAATCGTCTATGACATGTAAAGTGCGCAATAGGACAATGTCAAGAACGCACAGGCATTCAATGGCCCTATTCGAAGGGTATTCAGATTCTATTTCCCCGTGTGTCTCCATGCTCTAACTCAGTAGGAGCAGTAATCCTCATGCTCTAGCTCAGCGGTAATAACAAAGATGATCGATGGTCAAAATGGGCGCCATCTCAAATTAGAATATTCACTTGGCAAAAGTTGATTTTAGGAGGCTATATAGATACTAATCAAGATTAGATACAATGAGAGAAGAAGCCAAGGGGATCGTCAAAATGAGATGCCATAAAGAATAAGGCGAAGGGTCGCACAAATATATATTGAAATCTAATAAGAAAGAAATAGGCTAGTTTCTAACGACTGCTTCTAGAGAGACCTGACAGGCTTAATTGTGGCGCCTCCAGCTGTAGAGAGATCACGGACAGTATGGCTCTGGTTGGCCAAATCATCCTCCTGAGCGCCAATATTGGCATAGAGCGATTTAATGGAAGGAGAATCCGAGACAGGTCTAGGGTCAGCCTCGAACATAGCTATACAGTATTCGGACAAAGGCTTCGTGCACCAGCGATCTTGACTGAAGAAGCCTTCGAACCAGCCCAAGTGTCCGCCACGGGCTGTGGTCACCAACAATCCGAAAGGATTTCCTTTAATTTCATCACGGGGAATACATTCCGCTATAGCAATAGGATCATCCAAGGCACTGAGGCAAAGGAAGGGTCTTTTGATATCCAAGATACGCTGACAGCATGAGGCCATTCGATAATACTCGTGAACAGTTCTGTACTTGAAAATCTTGCGGGTGACTCGGTCATCAAAGTCACGGATTGTAACACCACGTCGAACATCTTCGATATCAATATCTGTATTTTCAAACATCTTCGCATGTTTGAAAAAGATTCTCTTCAAGTTGCCTCCCATTGCTGGTGAGTAAAGGTTGTGCCCCAAGAATCCGCGCTCCATGTTGTAGCATGTTCTAAAAATGGTGTGGCAAAAATTCGAGATTAGATCAGTCTTTTTCTCACAATCAGGGGAAGAGTTAAAAAGGATCTTAAATTTTGCTTACCCCATCAAATCATAAGGATTGCCAACAGAGATGGCTCCCATAAACTCGCATTGATCTCCTTCCTCACCCATGTAATTCATCAGAATGTTTGATCCTAAACTGAAACCAATACTCATGAGTTTAGCCTCGGGGAGAGTTTTGCGGATATGCTTGACAACCATTCGAAGATCATCTGTCCAGGAGCCACAGTAAAGTTGAGCAGAGGTCAGGTCTGTATCAGCACAAGCACGAGCATTGAAGACCACACAGCGGTAGCCATGCTCTTGTGTCAAGACTTCAATTAAGGACCGGATATATGACTCGTAGCTTCCTCCTGTGAGGCCATGCAAAATCACCAATGTTGGCGTATCATCTACAGGCTTCTTTTCAAATGAAGGTGCCCAGTCGATTGATACCGTTCCCCCATCCGGGGTTGACAGCAGCTCCCTAAACAGACCAGAAAAAAAATGCAAAGCCGGAGAAAAAGATGGAAGAACAGTAAAAAGCATAAGCCAAGGGGTTAGACTTTAGCGTGAATAAACATCTCAAATTTATGCAGATGCATGATAGCAAAAAAAAACGTAAGCATGTTTGGAAACTTAATTGCGCCAAATGTTGATGTGGTAAAAGATGTTCGTAAAAAGAAAAAAAAAAAAAAAAACAGAGGCCCAAATGATTCTAACAAGGCATTTTTTTTATCTTCGTTTTCGCTTCGAGTAATTATTGGCTCGATCAGATAAAAAAAAAAAAAAAAAAAAAGGGATATTCAAGATATTCAGGGCATTTGGCACTTTTTTTTTTGCAAACACCAAAATGTTGAAATGAAGCATACCTTTGGTAATCGATGAGGTAGCGAGTCGTGAAATTAATGTAAGCAGCATAAGCAGTCTGAAGATGTCCACTGGTCATCCAGAGTGTGGGCTTGAAAACAGCGCCCTTGGAACGGTCGACAAGTGAGGGACACTTGCGCTTGATGTAATCGATATAATTTTCTTGATACATCTTGCCTGTTTTTGGATCATAAAGGTTGATCGAAACAGGCTTCTTGTTGTAGGATAGGACCACGGGTGAGTTTGTATACATGCGGAAGAGAGCAATGAGTAAGAAGGGCAAGAGGATCAAGAGTGGGATCACAAGTGGCTTCTCTTGATGATAGACCAATATCTTTGCGCCCGTTTCTGTGTTGTTGAGAACCTCCCATGTGGGATGCTGACCCAGCACAAACTGCTGGACCGTTTCTAGGTCCATGTTAAACGACATGTCGAAATGAACAAACGAATGAACAGAGATCGTAAGTGGAATGAGGAACCAAGAAAAAGATAGGAGACAGCGGAAGGCGATGAGAAAAGAAAAAAAAGAAAAAAAAAGACAGTAAAGGAAAGATACTTTTTATACCATTCTGCTAGGAACACTTTGCCGGGAAGGGAAATTCTTCTACCGGAGAAAATATCTAAATAACGGTGGTGATCGAGAGGAATGCTCTCCCGTCTCCGATTGAAAGCAATGTTCACGTTGTTGTTGCCATTTTTGTCAACCCTTTCTTGGTCAGTGCGTATGTGTTCACAACTCTGTTCCGTTGCAAAAACATACACGTCTTTGTGAGATTAAAGGATGTAGGCTGTAGGATAGCCCTCGTTTTCTTCCCTTTTTACATTTTACATCCTTTTTCACTTTTTCTTCACCACGAAATATGTTGCCCACAGTAGTAGTTTTTTTTCTTTTATGATAAGGACCCACAGCAATATAGAAATGAGGCACAAAAGGCATCAAATATCAGTTATTACAAATATGTTTATTTATTTACAAAAGAAGTGTCAAAAGTAGAACAGATTGTGTTTGTTAAGCATGGAATAGCCAGCGCTTCAAGAACATTAAGTGATTCCTAATCGATAATACTCCGAACATCTCCTTTAAGGGATCGATCTTGAGGGCTTTAGACGGAGCGTTGGACGTTGCCGAGGGCATCGTTAGCATGGCCACGAGCCTTGAGGGAATGATCGTTAGTGAGGTTGCCCGTAGCCTTTTGAGTGTTACCCTCGACGTTGTGGGCAAGTCCTTCAGCATGACGCTCGTGGCTGGCTTGCTGCTTGGCGGCATGAGCTTGAGCGCTTTGGGCGGCACCGGATGCAGCCATGTTCTCGTTGTGAGTGGCGTGGCCGAGCTTCTCCTTGGTGTTGCCGACGGCCTCCTTGACAGTGTTGGTGATCTTGCTTGCCATGTTGGATAAAGTGTTGTTTCTTTTGTTAAGTGTTTGAGTGTGTATGAGTTGTGATAGAAGTTTTTGAGAGTTGAGTTGATGAACAAAAAAAATAGGAGAAGAGACGGTATTTATACTTTTGTTCCTTCGATGTCTCAAGGCCTCTTTATTGAACAAGCTAGACTTTAAAGTAAATGATGAAAGAATGACGGATATTGGATGATGATAGGTCATCTTAGCCATGTAAAGACAGTTGCTCATGTGGGGTAGGAATTGGAGTCCCAGTTCAATTTCATGTAATCATTACACTGCTTTAAACGTCCAATGATTTTGCTGCCTGCTGAGTGCTGACAAGGTTTGTATAATTAAGAACAATGTCAAATCGTCAGGATGACGCCCATCTCTTCAATGCTTTTTTTGTTACTCAAGTCAATTAAAAGGTGTTCTTTACAAGTGGAGTATCTGTAATTGACTCAAGACTAACCAAAAACCTCCTTTCAGTACACCACACCAACTCGTAGCGTCTGAACATTTACGTGTCTGACCAAACGGACTAAAGGGTTTGATTTCAACAGCCAGCAATGATGTCAGGGACAGCAAATAATGTCACATTACTCGCAAATAACTAATTTTCATACCAAGCTTATTCAACCTTTCTTTTCTTTCCGATTGCTGAAAATCAAGGGCCCATAAAGGCATGTAGAATTTCTACTGAGGATTTGCTCTACAAATGGGTTGCCTTCCTTATGGGGTCTTGTGCCTGGCTCAAATGGCCTAATCTAAAACATGTGTCATTTTGATATCTAAAAAGAAATGTCATATCTCTAATATACTATGAATTAATCTATTTGACAACCCGGGTTGTCACTCTTATTTGACAACCCCCCCCTTAATTATTTTTCTCAATTTTTTTTCTTTGCGTGACAACCCGGGTTGCCAAATAGTAAAATATCTAATTTGACAACCCCAAGCTCACTGTTATTTGACAACCCTTTTTTTATTGGCAAGATTATTATGTGAAAATCGTTTCTATTGCTATCCCTCAGCAACATGAAATCCCTCCAGCAATCTAAAAGCTTCCATCAAATAACAAACTTTTTTTTTTTGGTTACGAGGTGTTGTTTTTTTATTACAACTGATTTCTAAAACAAGGGTTTGCTTTTATAGAAAATGTGCCTATACGGGTAACATGCACTAAGGGGTTTTTTTGGATAGATAAGCATGCATAAATTCGGAGTGGTTATGCGACGCTTGATGGCGCATGCGTAAGACGCGGAAAGGAAAAAAAAGAGAGCTATAACCACAGTCATGATAATGGAGTGTTGCCACCATTTTAGAAATCCAGCTGAGAAAGGCCCTCCAAAAGTGCAAGATGGTGAAGACTTGTCATGTGACAGGTTGAAAAAGACAATTTTTCTTCTTTTTTTGACAACCCGGGTTGTCAAATAACAAAAAAGTGAAAATTGAAGACCTGGGTTGCCAAATAAGCCGATGTGATTGCTAAATTAGGGGGGGGCTGTCAAATAAGAGTGACAACCCGGGTTGTCAAATAGATTCACCCTTATTTCCTCCTCCTCCCCTTTCATTCCCTTATTCCCTTACTTCAACAATGGTTTGCAACCAATGCGTTAAAGAATATGCGCGTCGTGGAGAATTAGTTGAAGTTACGCATGAACGATCAAATAGTAATGAGTGTCTTTTCAACAGATGTAAGACATGTAGTCGTCCAAGAATACATGGACATTTGGAAAATTGTCCTGAGAATATTATCCCCGTCATTGATAAGTGAGTATAAGTGATAATTGGAAAATGCAGAACATATATGACAATATGACAAGACAACACGACAGAGCAACAGAGGAATGGATAAGTATATATAGGATGTAGGATACAAGTGTAGGAAAAGCTGAACTAATAATTAAATAAATATTTTTTTTCAATTTTTCAAAATCAAAGTGAGCGTGACATGGAGGTGCAAAATTCACGTAATGAGAACATTAACCTGAACAGAAGTAACCGCGAGGAAGAATATGAATTTGAGCCTTATCATCCCCCACCACGACCTCCACTTCCAGTACAAGTTCCTATTGCTAGGCGACCTTTCATTGCTAGGCGACCTTTTAATGAAAATCTAATCAGAGGCAACAGTATTAAAAATCACAGACATCACCTTGATCGGATGATAAAATGTCCAGATTGTCAGGCGAAAGTGTGGAAAGAGGAACGAAGTAATAAGAAGCAAAATCAGGACTTTAAATACTCCATCTGCTGTCAGAGAGGTCGAGTTGTATTGCCCATTATTGAGCCACTTCCATTCATCCTAGAGGTTTTAAGTGGTGTTATTCCAGAATTTAAGGAATTCTTGCACGATATCAAGAAATACAATGCGTCGCTATCGTTCACCTCCATTGGAGTCAATGTTGATCAGGCCCTTGCAAACGGACAAGATGGAGCGTATACATTCCGGATTCAGGGGACAGTTGTTCATAGAATTGGTTCTTTGACAACACGAGGGTTAAATATGTTTCAACTCGGGAATTCTATGCCTATCGCCTGCAAATCAGAGCAATTAGTGACACAGATCAGAGATGCTACTTTTGGCTATTTGGACGTCTTTGCCATCAATACGTTGTTGACCAGTATGCCAAAATCGAATCGGAGAGACTGAGGTTTGTCAAAGATCATCAAGAGGAAATTCGTGCCGATCTGTATCAAGGAATAGTTGATGCCATAAATGATGATGCAAATGTTGATTCTGCCAATACTGGAAAGCGGATAGTACTCCCTTCATCTTTCACTGGAGGTCCACGTCATATGCATCAACTATTCCAAGATTCCATGGCGATTGTACGACAGTATGGAAAACCAGATCTTTTCATTACATTTACCTGTAATCCGAAGTGGCAGGAAATATTGGATGAGCTGGATCCTGGAGAGTCATTACTGTAGCCTCTTCAGAAATTGCTGCTTTAATTTTGCGCGAAGGTCGCACTGCACATTCAGTTTTCAAGATTCCTCTCGCATGTAAAGCTGACACGGTGTGCAACATTGCCGCCAGGTCAGAATTGGCTCAAAAAATTTCTGATGCTAAAATTATCATTTGGGATGAGGCTCCAACACAGCATCGACATATTTTTGAAGCTGTCGATAGGACGCTAAAAGATGTTTTGAAGGTGGATGAGCCATTTGGTGGGAAGATTGTCGTTTTTGGTGGAGATTTCCGGCAGACCCTACCTGTTGTTGTACGAGGAACAGTGGAGCAAATTGTTAGGTCCTGTCTAAAGAACTCTCCAAACATCTGGAGCAAAGTAGAAGTCATGAAGCTTTCACAAAACATGAGGGTGGTGAATGATCCGAGCAATGGTCCATTTGTTCAGTTCTTGCTCCAGGTCGGAGAAGGCGCCTTACCGACTGTTGATCTAGCAAACCATTCCGACTATATCAGCATTCCCGAAGCCTACATCTTCAAGCCAGCAGCAGGTGGGGATTCGCATGTTAAACAGCTCATTAGTTACATGTATCCCAGCCTTGAGACTACTCCATTGCTCCCTGATGACATGATGAAAAGAGCCATATTGACTCCTCTCAACAAAAGTGTCAATGCGATTAAGGATATTGCAACCAAAATGCTTTATGGTGAAAACATTGGGACTTATCAAGCCCATGACTCAGTCACTGATGATGTGGAGGCTGGCCTATATCCAGTCGAGTACCTCAACACTTTGGAGCCATCAGGATTGCCACCATTTAAGCTGCTACTAAAGATCGGCCAGCCTATCATGTTGTTAAGGAATATGAACGCCAAGCGTGGATTGTGTAATGGTACCCGACTTATTGTGCGTGGTCTTTCCTCAAGATGCATGGAAGCAGAAGTTATCACAGGCGCTTTAAAAGGAAAAAGAGTGTTTATTCCGCGCATCCCCCTGACAACTGCTGATGATGACCAAACATCACCTGTGAAGTTTACACGGTATCAATTCCCCATCAAGCCAGCATTCGCTATGACAATTAACAAGTCGCAGGGGCAAACTCTTGAGAAGGTGGGTATTTATCTCCCTGCTCCCGTGTTTACTCATGGTCAACTGTATGTTGCACTATCACGCTGCTCCAATCCAAGAGATCTGAGGGTTTTAATAGACAATGGCATATTTCCTGGGTTTGAAGGTGTTTTATACAAGGAACATTGTATACAAGAGCGTTCTCCAATAAGTATAAAAATAAAAATAATAAATTATTTTGTTCAAAAATTCACACCTGTGCATCGCACGGGCTACTGCTAGTCATTTCTTAGGTGCTAGTATTTCACGTGACATAAAGCCAAGCTTCGATCACATGATGAATCTAGGAATATAATAATGTGTATGTACAAGAGTTTTCAACTTCCAGCCAATCAAGAGTCTCGGCAATTGATTATGGTTCTGGGCATATGGCGGAGTCTGGTCTAACGCGTTGTGCTTAAGACACAATGTTCCTGGAACGCGTGGGTTCGAATCCCACTGTGCCCAAGTTTTGCGCTTTTTCCCACATGATCTTTGTGTCACATAGTCTCATAACTTCCTGTTGATTACAAAGCCAACGACTTTTTCTTTTATGAAAGGGAGGCTAATTCAGTATTCAGGTTGATATGACAAGTAGTCATCACTTTATATCTCTTTAGTCCGATTTATTTTGTATTTGAACATTCGGAATAACTGTGAGTTACGGAAAAAAGGTTGGATGACAGCTTAGCTTGAGTGTGTGTCGTGGTGTGAGTAGGCAAAGCTCTCAGAAAACAAAATCTTAAATTTAGGCGGAATGGTTTGCGACCCGTTCAATAAGATATCTCTACAATCCCTCATCACTTTTTTCTCATCCATCCTAATCCACTCATCTAACTGTGCTTCACGTCTCGCATTCCGATTGTCTCTGTTATAGATCTTTTTCTGTCCGTCGTCACACTTTACGACTTTGCGATGCTAGCTCCTTGATCTAATTGAATTTTCACTGTGCATTTCATCACATTCAATCAATCTATTCCAGGGCTGTGATTTTATATACTTTTTCAGGAAATCCAAGCTTTGTCTCTCACTACAAGATATTCGTTGGCTTTTATCCAAAATGCGTGATTGCACTTGTTTACGGAGAGCCGTTTTAGCAAAAACCCGACGACTTTTCTTTGTCGCTTGTATAAGCATCTTGCTTATCTCAAGGGTTCGTGCGCAGGACACTGGCTCAACAACATTGACAACGATAGCAACAGAAGAGACAGCGCTACCAACAATGCCATCACCGCCTTTTAGTGGTGAACCTACGACCTCGTTTTCGCTTACAGACCTGCCCTCACCAACAACGACAGCAGAGCCGCTAATACCAGCCACTCCGACACCAGGACCGGCGAAAAACCCACATCCGCCCGGTACAATTGATTGTCTGACGATGCCTTACTGTGGTGACAATAAGGAGTGTTTTGTTCTCGAGGATGGCCTAGTGTGTTTAGATAAATCACTCAACTGGGGTTACATTCTTTCCAGAAACGACTCTGGTATTCCATCGGTTCCCGGCTGGTCCGGGCAACGCTCTCAATTAAATGCAAACTGCTCTCTTTTTCCCATTCCCAAGACTACCGGTCTAGCCATGATGGTATACGATCTCATCCAAGGAACACTGCCCAAGAACCTACTTTTATCCAGATATGATCAAACTAGGACCAACTGGTACACTGCATTCTCAAATTGTGAGCCACATCTGGCGTGCATGATGGGCAAGTGTTTGCTTAGACCCATCTTGGGCCAACAATGCACCTCTTCTTGGCAATGCAATCCATTAGCTTTGGGTCTCAATGAAAACAACTCACCGATCCCTGCAGCCAATGCGACAGCAGTTCGGTGTGAGTTTGAATCTGGAGACCTGTCCGAGAACAAGACCTGCCAATTGCTCCATCGTGAAGTCAATTCTGGAGGTGGATTTTCAGCATGGCAAGTGATTTTGCCGGTAGTAGGGCTTCTGGTCTTGATCTACTTTGGTGCTGTGATTTATCAGCGTCGTATGAGGAAGGAAAAGCTTCAGAAATGGAGCAGAGTTGTAGATGGTAAGTGATTTAAAAAAATGGGCATGAAAAAATACTGTCTTCTGGGCGAAGTAAAAAAAAAATCGCAGCTGATGTGACAAATTGAAGATACAATGTTTCTCTTGCTTTATTTAATCGTTTGATTAAGAAGTCCTAATTTTTTATTTTTACATCTGCATTCATCTATAAAGACAGGAACAACGACTTCCAGATGGAGGCCTATGATGACCAACCTGTCAGGAGTCATGGCTATAATAACATTTAAGATTGTAAAATACTAATATAAATAACCATAATAGTGCTGTCCTTGTCTCCTTTGTCTCATCATTTTGCCTTGCTCTTCCAAGTTCTCTTATTTTTTGCTGCTAAAATTCTAAGGGAGTAGGCTAGCTTTATTTAACTGATGTTTTACTTACATAGTTGGTGAATTAAGGAATGGTTGGCTTTTGACCCAAAAAATGAGAGACGAGAATAGGAGCACATGGTGCGACATGTAGAAGCTCTTTGTTGTTTTTAGTAGATGAAATGAGATAGTGTAAGAATAACAAGGAACGAAGCACACTAAAAAGATCAGGAACCTCTCTGGACTTTGACGTCATTCGCACCTCTATGTTCACACGGAAAAAAGTGGGGGAGTCATGATAAACTTTGTGTGTGTGCATGAGAGTGTGTACCTGTAAAAGAAAAGAAAAAAGTTGGCATGAATCGAATTGCCTTTGTGTCTCGTGCAGCCACGCGTCCTCACGCGTCCTCCACACTGTTTTGAACAAGAGACATGGCATGACGCGATTATCAAAAAGTGAGTTCAATGAGCATAATTTGTCTATCTTTGCACTGAAAAAAAAAAATAACATTGTAGGGTGTAAACATTATAAACATCATTGATTAAAAACTTTGCTATCTGACCTTCTATCAAAAGAGTGTGGGCGCAAGTCCGTGTTGAGTAGCATTCTTCAGCGTTTAGCCAGTTTGAATTTGCATTAGTTCTCTTACTATGCGCAGTTTTTTTTTTATTCTGCGCAGACCAAAGGTAGTGTAGCAATGTGCCATGAAGGACTTTAATCTGATGAACATGGTCAGGTCATGAATCAAATGACATGACATGCATCGATGAGAATGATCAAGTGAGTCTGCTTGAATTTGTATCTACTTGCATGTTATTTATTACATGCAAATCTCGGACTCAGTGAGTGTTTGTGTTGTCTCGCATCTCTGTGTCTGTGTCTCCTTGCGACTAGATTTCTCTTCGACTTTGTGCTCTTTGTCCATCTTTCTCTCCATGGTTCATGGTTGCACGAGGGACAAAAGGGGAGGTAAACAGGCGGAAAATCATGAGCTTTGGGCATGGTCCTTTGTGAACGGCACTGGATCAAAGCGATGATCGCTCATCATAGAGTGATATACTCTCATTATACTTTTAACGGAGTCAACTCTACTTGACTTTACATTCGTCCATGTATATATTTCATGTATTGAACATGTATTTACATCCATGCATGCATTTGCAAAAAAGAACATAGTAATTATGTATATATATAACTGCATATACATTTCATGAGTGTGCAATAAGAGTGAATGTTACATTATTAGCGTGAACGTTCTTTTTAGTCTGGCACCATGGTCTCCTTTCTCTCTCTCTCTCTCTCTCTCTCTTTTTTTTTTTTTTTTTTTTTTCCTCTTTCTCCCAACAATTCAAAACGCCATTCAATCTTGTTCTCTCATTGTCATTTAGCTTCTTCATTAGCTTCTTCTATTCTCAATAGCAGTGATAGACACAAAGCCAGGCACACACTAAACGCATGCTTCCTTTTTTATTTTTTATAAATGCAAAATAGAAGCTTTGTTGCACCCTAGTCTTTACTTGCTCCCACTTTTTTCTTTTTGCTACCACTCCTCTTCTCTTTCTCGTGAACTACCAAGCTCTCCATCTCTTCCTTCCTCTTCTTCTCACAATCTTTTAGCGAGCATCTTTTCATCCAATCTACTCGACTTCTTCTTTGATCGATATCATCATTCACTCCTACACCACTCTTACTGTTAAATCAAGCCTTTTTTTATACATTTTTTTTTTCTCTCGAACGCGTCCACGATTTACTTGTCCTTTATTCTTTCATTTTCTTTAAACCGTCATTGTTCATTCAGCTTTCGTTTTAACTACCAGTTTATTACGACACAACTTTACTGTTATAATCCACCAGCATCAAAAGATCAAAGCGACAAAAGATGATTGTCGATATACTTCCATTTCGTCTTAAACTGGCGTCAATCGAAAAAGCAGATATTCCGCGATGCACACATCAACTCATGAAGCTTGTCTTATTCCCAGCAGGGTAGCGTAGACTGATTTTTTTTTTTTTTTTTTTTTTTTTTGATTTCTAGCTTTTTTCAGTATATGTGATGCATCATCATCTTCGCTACCATAGACTAACTTGGAGACTTTTCTTTATTCCGTCTATTCCTTCCTCTTTTTCTGCATTCTGGATGACCTGCTCATCTCACTTGAACTGTTTACTCGAACAATTCATCTTTTTCTATCTTCACGACACCTACTCCGACAAACAACTACAACACCAACTACAACCACAATAACAAATACTAAAAAAAAAAGGCCACAACACTTTTTTTCGTACACAGAAACCGACAAAGAAGTCTCGCTCATCCTGGATGAGACACATCTCTCTGGATTTCCCGAGGACACACTCAGTATCTGTAATGTGATATGGCGGGCTGTACAGATCGAGCCTGGCGAGTCGGGCCTCGGTAAGATCTCATTACCATGTTTCTATCATGCCTATTATGCTTATAGCACGGTCTTTCTATAACACTAAAAAAAGACGGAAAGGCGCGGTTGAAAAATAAAATTACAAAGTTGGGTTATGGAAAGATCGGGGGACATTCAGAATAAGCGCTCAAATATAAAAAAAGAGATGCATTTGGATATGGGCAGGGTCCCCTACTCTGAACCGTTTGCTGCTACTGCTATTTTTTTTTTTTTTTCAGCTCTGTGCTCTTTACCCCCTTTGTCTATTTTTCTCGCCTCCTCTTCAATTTTTAACATTGCTCAAAGGAGACGGAGGAAAGGAAGTCGGTACCCATCATGATTGCCACTAAATTAGTCATTTCATTAACTTGTGCTTTTTGTAAATAGGCGCCTTGGAAGTGGTCTCTCAAGTCTCAAAGCCCTTGGCAGACATTAATGTCTCCATCATGTAAGTCTACATCATTCATCATTGACTGTGCAAGCCTGTAAACCCTTTTTTATGCTGCTTGTTCACTATGGAAAGTAAATAAGTGTGAAGAGCAAATGGTGACATGAATGACGCTTGCGTCAAGGAAAATGAGCGAATTTCGAAGTGGAATAATCCCCTGAAAGTATTCAGAAGAAGGCGATAGAATGAAGGGCAGTTTAATAGAATGATTGGGGGGCTGCAGATCAACAATCCAGAGCTGGGTCACCATCAAAAGAGAAATGCAAACGCGATCTGGAGTCTGTGTGTGTGCTTGTGTTCATGAGAATGCAATGCAAATAATGCAACAATGCGCGCAATACTGGGGAAATCTTTTCTTCCGACCCTTTCGCAAAACCTGTCTTGCCTCTTCATTTCATTTCATGCGACCAAACAATGAAGTTCTCCGACGCTTTTTTTTTTTCCTGTGTTGTCATCCTCTACCTCTTTTGTGAAGCAATCAGACACATCTCATTTTATCTAAACTCTCAAACATCTCTTCCCTCCTTTTTCCCTGCACAATTCCACAATTCGATGAGGTCATAAACTTTAAATCTTTTTTTCCATCAGGCGAAGCGGTGTGAATGTGCAAAAATTCTGTCTGAGCACAAGGAAAACCCAAAATATACACATCAACAATAGATTTGACAATGACCTTCATTGACAAAGACAACGATAAAAAAGAATCCACACTTGCATAATCTAACAATACAAATGAATCTGACCTCTTTATCTCCCTTTATTCTCGATGCTGACGTCTATATGCATACAGGCAAATATCTACCTATGACGCAGACTTTACGCTGTTACCTGAATGCGACCTTCTTCGAGCACTCGAGTGTCTCTCCAACACGTTTACCATAAGTAATAATCCATTAGAGGATGTTGGCTTACAACCATCAGACTTACAGTCTTGGGACGAAAGCTTTCCAACCTGTCCCTCCGAGATCACATCGCTTCAAGATGCACTTTTGGTTGGAGCAGCCATGACGCGAGGGCGTCAATCTAGTCTTTCAGTTGGATTGGATGGCCGCTGTGAAAATGGAGCAGATGATGCTCAAAGCAGCAGCGGGTGCGAAGACAGTGGTATTGGAAGTGAGGCAACGAGTGGGCCCAGTAGTGGGTTGGCAAGCGGCCATGGAAGCCATGTTCTTGATACGACCATTCAGGGACTAGACCCGTCATTGATCTCGTCATTATCTCTCAAGGACGGAGCAAGGGCTGCAAGAGCTAGGCAACCTTATCAAGCTAACTATCCACATCGACTGCATATTACAAGCATGGAGCATGGTCTGATGGATCAGTTAGCTATTCGATTGCTTGAATCCATCTTTTTTGATAATAGGTATGTACATCTCATGAGAAGACAACAGGAAAGCTTGTACTGGATAGGATTTTAAAATAACTTGTTTCTCAACTTGTGAAAACCCCTCCAAAAAAATAGAGAAAGTCGTTTTTTCTCGTTCACTCAGACTGATTCAACCCTCAGTATTATCATGGATGATGCCACCATGAGTTTGTTCCCAGACCACACCCTCAACACTCAAGCGGGAAATTGGCGTCCAATCTCGATCGGCGATGGCCCACTTGGGTTTGATGAATGTGGAACCGTATGTCAGTTCACTAGACCATTGAGTGATGATGGTATTGGGCTCTTCTATCTGAGCACATTTAGTTCGGATTACATCATGGTCAACGATCAAGACTTCGACAAGGCAGTTACATGTTTGGAGGAGACTGCTAAGGCTCTTGGTGTGTCATCATCGTCGTCGCAGGAACAGGGCGAAACAGAAACACAGTATGCCCAACAGCATCGCCATCAGCGTCGCCATCGTCATTGCCAACGGGACGCAAAGTCAATACAATCCATTGACACAGCTTCACTCTCAGACTCATTGTCGGAGATGGAAGCAGCAGAACTATCACCTGTATCAACAACTGCAGACGCTTCAGAAGTCTACAAGGCTGATACATGTGGAGACGGATCATCACTGGTTGAGGGCGTCTCGACTTGAATGGAGAAAAAAGCAAACATTTCTGTCGTTCGAGACATTTTATCATCCATTGATGTTACGAGAGAACCCTGATGTCATTTATTTTTTCCAGCACCTGCACATAAGCTAACATCAAATCAGCATCAGATTCATTTCACCTTTCAAAATCAACACTAGTTACAATATGTCCATGTACATCTTATATTCAGTGAAGAATCAAAACTGCAGTAACAAAATACCAAAATCAAACCGTCCATCTGTACACTAGAATGAAAGTATTTTATTCAGGGAATAAAATCATGAGGCGTAAATAAATAATAATAAAAGAAAATGCATATGTATGGCAAATGTCTTATAGAATGAAGTAGATAAAACTGTTTATGATAAAATGGTTTGGATTTTTTTTACTCGCGAAGCTCGCGCAAGAATTGATCATTTTGGACGTAATCGTCAGATCCATAGGCAGAGATGTTATGGCCTGCTGGTGGGAGCCCTCCCGTAGTGCCAGCACCATGGGACGGCGCTGCAGTTGTGCCGGCTGTGCTACCTGCATGACCCTGCCGGTACTGTCCATAATCTGTCACAGAATCTGGGTTATCCGACATGGTCAGATGAGCTTGATGGTGTTGAGGGTTCAGAGGAAGAGGATATTGTTGTTGTGAGTAGTCCTGAGTGTAATCTGGTTGATAGTCTTGTGAGTAACCTTGCATTTGTTGATGATAATCCTGTTGGTACTGATCATATTCTTGATGGTAAGCATATGGACTATGATGTTGGCTGTGTTCATGTTGATAAGCGACAGAGGGACTCGACATGGCAGAAGAAAGTTGCTGCTGGCCATGAAGATGATAGATGTTATCGTAGCTCTGTGTGTATTCTGTCATCTCCTCATGACTAGAGGCATAGGCTCCACCTGTGCCGCCTGTCCCGCCTGCGACATTTGTAGATGCAATACAGCTGCCGCTGCCCACTGTGGTCCCACCTGAAATCTTACTCTTGAACTGACGTGAAGGCTAAAAAAAAAAAAAAAAAAGGGCGAGCAAAAGAGCTAGTGAGCCAAGGGAGATGCAAGCGCTTATTTTTACATCAATGCATATACTTACCGATAACTTCCACTTGCGGAAGACCCAAACGCCAATAGCGCCTGCAATAGCAATCGCGCCAACAATTGCACCAATCATTACACCAACATTGCTTCCCCCTGCTTTTTCATTAGTCTTTGCATCGCTGCTGGATTTGTTATCACTGATGGAGTGGGTATTACTGTTATCGGATCCTTGGCCGTTATTCGGATCTGATACATTGTTTCCTGATCCTGAGCTAGCAGTGTTTCCAGAATTAGGATCGGGCAAGTCAGAGGATCCAGTCGGAGGCTCGGGTGCCGTAGCAGACAAATCAGAGGTGATAGTGGCAATTGGTGCAGGCGATGTCGGTGCAGGGACTGGCTCAGTGTCCTTGGTCGCCGAGGGCTGTGGCTCTGCGATAGGTGCAGAAGATGGTTCTGGTTCTGGTTCTGGTTCTGGCTCAGGTTCAGGTTCAGGTTCAGGAGTAGGTGAAGAAGGAGGTGGAGATGCTGAAGAAGGAGAGATAGGAGCTTCAGAGGGTGCTGGAACTAAAAGAAACGCATTAATATAAATGTAGATATAGATAGATATTTTTACGAGTTGTTGGCATTAGTAATTTGTATTTGGGTATTTGTGTAAAAGGTCCAACCACTTAATTAAATGAAATTAGTCCCGTCATTCTACATGTCTACATGATCATTATTATTTTGCTCGTGTTTACAACAGTGGCTCGTGCACAAGTTAGAGGACTCTTATTGTACAGTAGGAGAGTACGAACCATGAAAAACAGGCAGGTAAAAAGGAGGTGGGGAGGAAGTGATTCAAGAAGGGACGGAACAGTTCTTAAATAAAACCACTCTTGATTTAAAGAGTCAAATAGTTTCTCCTGACTTCTGATGAACTTTCAACCTACTTCCTCACTTTCTCGTATAAAAATAAAAAAAAAGGGCCTGCAGAAAGTATATGCAGACCTATACCATGCACATGCATGGATAAAAATAATAATAAAAATACGGATGCCTGATCCCATTCCTTCTCTCCTTTTTTTTTTTTTTTTTTTTTTCTTCGTGTTTCTATAATCGAAACATCTCTTACCATCATTATCGGAAGCAGAGGTACTCTGCTGTGGAGGAGCCGAATCGTCTGGCAGCTCATCCAAAAGGCTCTCATTGCCACTACCACTATCATCACTCTCTGTCGGAATAGCAGGGTCAGCTCGCCTTTCGCCCGCAAGCCGACGAGGACCTAGTCTCACTCTACGTCTTCTCCACTCATGTGTTCTCCTTTGATGTTGTCTGACCTGTTGTTGTTGTTGTTGTTGGATTCTGTGATAGGGCCGAGCATGATTAGGTGGGGAGTATTCAGGTACCACAGAATGAGCTATCAAAGCATTTCCGCTCTCATTATTCTTATGCTTTCCATCCTTGTTGTTACTGGCAAACTGTTGCACTGCTTCAGAACCAGGAACAAAGAAATGGATGGAGTTTGTTCTGGATTCCTTGCCATAAGCGATCCCTGGGTGATCCTTGCTGCCTGAAGGAGGAGATGATGATAAAGCAGACTGTCCATTGCAGATCATTGTCATTGTAGACAAGGTCACTGCTGCTGCTGTCAAGATCAGGGGTAGTGTTGTGGGTCGCATACTGTGCTTTTTTTTTTTTTTTTTTTTTTTACTTTTTGCTAAAATAGACAATAAGAAGTAAAGAGTAATTGACGAATAAGGATAAGGTAATAGGGATGGAGGTGAAGTGAATGAAATAGATAGAGGTGGAGAGACAAATGGAAGGGGAATTATGTCTGCAAAAGAAAGCAGAATTAGCAAAGGGTCATTAGGAAAATGGAAAAAAAAGAGGAGACTGGAAGTCAGAAAGTGGAAGAAGAGGAAGAGAGAAATAACCGAAAGCAATTAGGTCTCTAAAAGAAAATGCACCGAGTCCTGAATGATGGCCCCGTTGCTTGAGTTGCTCTCTATGGAGCATTTTGAACTAAAAATTGATCCACGACTGGTGAAAGCAAGTATTTATATAATACAAGTAGACAAAAATAAAGATATTAAAATATGTGCCGACCAGTTCTTCATATTTAAACTATCCAATTCTATCAATTGCTTTTTTTTTTTTTTTTTTTTTTTTTAACTAAAAGCTCAGTTGGTATTCGAATGGAGATTATTTTTTATTAATTCATTTATATTTTTCAAAGCATTTGCTTTCTATAGATCTGCAATCTTAATGATCACTTTGCCTGCGTACTTACCGCTAAGCATGTTGATAAAATGCTGAGGAGCAGTCTCGATACCGTTGAACACCTCCTCTCTGTAATTAATCTTGCCTTGTTCCAGCAAGGATCTGATTGTGGTGTCCAGTTCACCATTCTGGAAATATTGTAAATGATGCCAATAAATAAATCCATAGATCGTCACAGCTTTTCGAGCAATCGCATTCAGGTTGCGGATTGGATAGGGCTCCTTGCCATTCTCTTGTGAGATCATACCGATCGATAAAATCTTCCCATGTTCATTGATGATCTCTAACACAAGATCAAGGATTGCGCCTCCAACTGTGTCGTAAAAATAGTCAATGCCGTTGGGTGCCAGTCGAGTCAGGGCTTCTCGCGCGTCCTCGGTCTTGTAGTTGAAGGCTCCATCGAACTGCTGCTTCTCGATCAAATAGGCGGCCTTTTCATCCGACCCAGCTTTTTTTTTTAGGAAAAAAAAAAAAAAAAAAAGTGCAAGGGAAATTACCAGATGAGAGGTTAGTAAAGCAATAGATAAGACATATATCTCCTTCGTTACATTACATTCCTTAATAATTAATTGTTTTACCTGATCCGATGACTCGAAGACCTTGCTGCTTAGCAAGCTGTCCGACCAACTGACCTACACCTCCTGCAGCTGATCCGACGAAGATGATCTTTCCAGGCTTTACGTCCAAGACCTTTAGTCCTGCATAGGCTGTCAGCCCAGGCATACCCAATGCGCTGATATAGTACGAAAGCGGCACGCCTTTGGTTTCATCTCGAGCATGCGCAGGCAAGATGCGAAGGTCAGTCTGCGTTTTAGGATCATCCAGTCCAGAGATCCGTGTATATTGTTCATACCCTACGTTGCCCGAAACCAATGCTCCAACTGGATATTTCGTCGCTACAGCCTCTCCTGAGGCAATAATCTCTGAAATACCGAGACCATAGAATGGAACGTTAAGGAGGCGCCAGGAAGCGGGCGTATCACCGCCAGTTTCATTCAGAGTAAAGCGGACATCTATAGCAAGCAAAGAAAAAAAAAGCTGAGGCGGTTAGGATCGATGATATGGGAATAAGGAATGCCAATAATAATAATAATAATAAAAATACTTACAGGGATCCAAGGACAGGTAGAGGTTTCGAAGAATGATATCGCCAGGCGCGACCTTAGAGACGTCAATATCATTAGTCTCAATTCGGAACTGTGCCAGAGTGACATCGGAGTCATTGGCGTAGCTGGCACGGATGATGCTGGTGTTGCTGAAAATCTTGCTGGAGGTCATTGTGTAGATTATGGATTATGAGATATGAGTTGTACTTTGTGTAGTTTGTTTTGATGAAGGGAAGTGTGAGAGCGGATTGAAAGAAGCAAGTGAGAGATAAAGTTTAGGATTTATACTTTTTCTGGGCTGCGCACTAACAGCATCAACTGGATAACAACCACTTCTAAGTTCAATGCGTTCATACTGTGCGGCGGCGCATCAAACTTAATAATCAACTGTCAAACGAAATGGACGCTCTTTCCAATTTTGTAGGTTTTTTATGCGGAAACATTTTTATTGGTCTTGGTTTTTATCTTCCATCTGAGTATTACACAAACAACGGCGAAAGTTGAAGCTCTGCGCCTTCAATGCTTGCATGTTTAGTATCGATCATATCTCTCATCGTAGCGAGGACGGCGCTCATATCCACGGTCGTACATGGAGGATCTATCATCGTATCCTCTGTCCATTCCGTAAGGTGGGCGATAGTCACGCGGTGGACGGTCATCATACCTTGGTCTTGCACCCCCCATCCATCTTGATAATATAACGGTATAACGACAAAGTGCAAGAGATTGAGCGTATTAGTGGACATGAATCATAGCGTTATGGCATTGAAGAAAACGAAATCATAATAATATCACGAATATGACTTGAAAAGGCCCTGGCAAGGTACCAAGTGCACAAGAACAGTTGAGGCAGCCAAGCGCGTCTTTGTCCCTGTGCCATTGACAAATTGTTTCGAAGCCCCCTACCTGTCATAGTCTGCATAATGCATATACCTGTCATAGGGAGCGGGACGACCATAATCTCCACGTATGGGTCCACCTCTATAATCCCTTGGGTCTGGTCCTCGGGGGTCATAGCGAGGATCAAATCGGTCTCCCATGCGACGATCTACGTTAACAGGAAAAAGCCTGGCAACATCAGTTTCATGATTCGTCGACGAAAAAACAAATTTGTATGGTTATCATCAAATATAGTACCATAAGGGTAGTAAGGCATACTACCTATAGCCCTCTCTCGCTTTGGAGGCCCACGGTACTGGCCGGGTGTGGGGGTTCTAGCGCGGCCACGTTTCGCCTGAGTATAAAAACAGATAGTATTTTGTTGCGGTATGATGAGAAATATTAATTCATTGCGAAACCAATAGAAACCATTGCGAATGGATGCCATTGAACTATTGAATCGTTTACCATTTTGACAGCCATAGTACGGCCATGAAGCTCAAATCCATTTAGCACCTGCATGGCAGCCTCAGCATCTTCAGTTCGGACCATCGTTACAAAGGCGAAGCCGCGAGATTCACGTGTGTGAGGATCATACATTATTTGAACTTTCTCAACCTACAAGCATAATGCCAACGACATGATAAGTGTTAGGCTTGTGAATTTGAAGAGGATTGGTGATAGACAGAGAAAGTATCATAAAAAGAAGGGGTTCAGTAAAATGCGTGGACAACACTAATAACGAAAATCATCATGATATTGCTTAATGAAGCAAACAAAAAAAAAGTCGAGTTGATCACTCCTCATCAAGAAATCGGCCCTGTAGGTCGATGCAAGGATATAAAATTAATCAAAGAAAATGTAATACAAGGAAAGTAAAACAACGAAGCAGATCCGTAGAGTCTGAAGGTCAATTGAGGCCTGAAACTGCTCCCTTCTCTGTCGGCTTGAAATTGAAGAGGAAAAAGTCGAGACCAAAAAAAAAATGCCTTAGCTGCTCGCTGATTGGAAATCTCACATGCGTCGATATAATGCGGGTAGGCGCTTGTGGTGAGGGCGGCGAACATGTGTGGCACGTCCATCATTCTTTGGTTTTCTTCAGATTTGCTTATGCGTCTTGTTAAAGGGCCTTTGTGTTGTTTTTGCTATTCCCTCTCACCTTGCCGTATTTGCCGAACAAATCTTCGAGATCACTGGCTTCAGTCTTGGCGGCGAGGCTGTTTACAAAGAGGTTGTTTCCTGGGTTGACTGATTCGTCGTTGGTATTGTCACTGCTGCTGTGATGGTGGGGTTCAACGGAGGTGAATCAGTCAAATTAAAGTTTATACTATCGTTTATCTTTGGGGATATCGTGGGTCGGTTGGCTGTCGAACAAGGCGTGTGCGCGTGTTGCGAGAGCAAAAGCGAACAAAAGAAAAAATGTGCAGAAAACAGCTAAGACAAGAAAAGCATTCATGACAATCAACTTATTGTCTCTGCCTCTTTTGTCTGTATTTAACGCGCAAGGTGAAGAGGGGATAGTGTAAAAATGTACTAGAGGAAGGTGGATAGGATAAAAACAAAAACATAAAGAACAAAATTTTATATTGCTGGCGAAGTAAAAATAAAGACTAACCTTGGGCGTGCAGGAGAGCGACTTCTTGGACGTGGGGATCGTGATCGCGAGCTGGCAGGACTAGCATCGCGACCACGGTGTTCCGAATCAGTAAATGCCTGTTCGCTCATTATCAATGAACTGGAATTGTAATCAAAAAGAGGATGAGGTGCGTGATGTGATTGATGTGTGCAAAGGAGAAAAGATGTGTGGAAAAAAGGAAAAAACCTGTGAAAATAGTCGGATGCAGCGTATCACGTGATATCCCAAAAACTAGGGGGGAAGTATTCGTTTGGAACCAATAGGACTATGTCTTTCAACAAGGGCTGCGTGACAAACATCAACATTGTTGAGCACAACACAGCACCGGATATACTGCCCCCACATTCCACAACCATTTTTCTTTCTTTTTTTCTTTTCCTCCTGCTTATCTATCACCATCTGTTAGATATACTGTTGTCAATTGGCATCTGGTGCTATCCTTTCCTTTTATCGTTGGCCTTTTACCGCACCTCTGGATAGACAGCGCATTTCACTTTTATTTCTCAGGCTACAGGATCTACTCCGTTGTTTAATGGTCAGCAGCTTATCTCATGATCCACTCTCAAACCGCTTGCTCTACAGCAATGCTGAATCTATAAGCCAGGTGGAAGGGACACAAGGAGCACTATCCTCAGTTCCACGCACAAACCAGGGCAATCATCAATCACGCCAATTACGGCAGCTGAACTCGCATGATGGGTCTTTACACAACAGCAGCAACACTCTGACCAACTCTCGTCACTCGTGCGGGAATGCATCACCTCTTGCACTTGAGGTCCATGAGATTGATGAAGATGAATATGACGATGACGATGACGATGACGATGAGAATGAGGCAAGCGAAACTCAACCTGTGCTGATCAAGTCCTCACGATCAAAAGTAGGAAACAGAAAGCCTGTGCTAGAGGGTAAGAAATTTTTTTCTGTAGTGCTCTGTGACAAGGATATCCCTCCATACAAAAATGTAGAGCCTCTCCACATGTATAAAACACAGTAGAGACAACCTGATATTTATCTCCCATGCGAGGGAGAACACGAACTATCATAGCAGAACAATTAGAACAAAACAATCTGCCACTAACCTTCCTATCTTGTTGTATATGAATAGATTCTGTATATGATCGATGTGTACAGTGCCTTCATCTGGAAGAAGAAGACGTGGAACTGATGTTTACAGGATACAGATTTCTTCAAGTTCGGATCTACTTGTACTATATCATCTGTGTTCTGAGTGGTGGAGTCATTTTTCTACTTGGACGATGGATGCCTCAGTACTATATCTCTTTTGTGACAGAGAAATGTGCCATGAGCCTTGCAGAGATTGTGGTGATTGAAGTAGGTTAGATGCGGATCATTTTATTTGACAAAAATATCCGAGACCCTATCAATTATTCAACACATGTTTATCTGCAAGCATAAAAAAAAAGAGTTCATGATGGCCATTAATCAGAGCAGATGACCCTTCGACCTATCAATCTCATCATTGTCTATCATCCTATATGATTTCTTAGAACGAGTGGGGCCAAATGGTTATAGAGCGTGTATATACCAAATACTATGGTGGACTCATGAGCTCTGTCTTCAGTCCGGAACAAATGGAGAAACCGTTCGATAACGAGGAGCTCAATAATGACACAGAGGTAAGAAAAAAAGCCTGCCTGTTCATGGAATTACTGCGGCGCAATATTTAAGTTTACTAACTTGCCTATCATATCCTTGATTTTCATGCAGTCATCCGCAGTATTGCACGATATGCGATACTTTGACTACCAGTACATTCGATTTATTTACAATCCGCAGGCACATGTGTTCATGCAAAACTCGCACTGGAAGGATTCAGAGTGGAAGAGTATTGCTAGATGTGGGCGCGGACTTGAAAGAGAGATACATCAGGATAGATTATTGGTGTTTGGGCCTAATCTCATTGACGTTCAAGAAAAAACGGTTGGGCAGTTATTAGTTCAAGAAGTGCTTCACCCATTCTACATCTTTCAAGTGTTTTCTATGATACTTTGGTTCATAGATGATTACATTTACTATGCGGGATGTATTCTCGTCATATCAACCGTATCAGTCGTTACAGAGTTGATCGAGACCAAGAAGACAATGAGAAGGATGCGCAATATGTCCAAGTTTACCTGCAATGTCAAGGTGTTTCGAACAGGCATTTGTACGATAAGCTATCATGATTAGAAAAAAAGATATAAGATTTGACAAGATCACTGTCGTTACTTTTCAGCTTATGCCCGTTTTGATCGAACGCCCTTTCATCTCTTCTTTCGGAAACTATTAGGGCGGTATATTGGATCAGATGAATTAGTGCCAGGAGACGTTTTTGAGACTACGGATTCAGACCTTACAGTCTTCCCCTGTGATGCTGTTCTCCTTACAGGCGATTGTATCGTAAATGAGAGCATGTTGACTGGGGAATCAGTACCAGTATCTAAGATCCCAATCACAGAGCAAGCACTACAGCTTTTGGATTTATCAATGGCGAACATTCCTTCGGACCTTGCTCGCTACTTTCTATTCTCAGGGACAAAAATCGTACGTGCACGGCCTGGAACTGTAGCACCAGCCAAGGTCCTCCGCCCTGAAGACGCAGAGCATGGGATGAGTCAACCAGCACGGGGTTTAGCTATGGTGGTACGGACAGGGTTCAATACAACAAAGGGTACACTAATTCGGTCCATGTTGTTCCCTAAACCCAACGACTTCCAGTTCTATCGCGATTCTTTTCGTTTCATTGGTATTCTTGCTTGTATTGCTGTTTGTGGTTTTATGGTCTCGACAGTCAATTTCATCAGGATGGGTGTACCAATTAAACTCATGATCATCAAGGCATTGGATTTAATTACGATTGTTGTGCCACCTGCTCTCCCCGCAACAATGTCCATCGGCACAAGCTTTGCCATTGCGCGTTTAAGAAAATCCAATATTTTTTGTATCAGCCCTACGAGGGTGAATATTGGCGGCAAAATCAACTGCATGTGTTTCGACAAAACTGGAACCCTGACAGAGGATGGCTTGGATGTGCTCGGTGTTCAGTGTGTCGATATTGAGACCAATATGTTTGGAGCCATGTTTGTACAGGTCGAAGAGTTGAGGAGCGCGTCAGACTCCATGCAGGATTGGCCTACCTCCTTCCTACATGCAATGGCTACATGTCACTCTGTCAAATCGGTGGGAGGTGAGCTTATTGGCGATCCTTTAGATCTCAAGATGTTTGATTTCACTCGATGGGTTCTAGAAGAAGGTGGCCTCGGCACAAGGACGTCGAGTGTTTCAGAAACGGGTCAGCGTCCAGGAAAAAGTTCGAGCGGAATTGTGTCTACAGTCGTTCGGCCTCCAGGAGCAAAGCAGTTTGATCTCAACGAAGTCCTTTCCCATCGCCCAACTGAGATGAACGAAACCGTAAGACTATACAACGCCGCTATCTTTCTTTAACTATTACCAATCAAAATAAGCGCCAATCCTCTGACACTGAATATGCACTAATATGTTGACTAGGAAACTTTTCTGGAGTTGGGTATCATTCGTTGTTTTGAATTCGTCTCTTCTCTTCGCCGCATGAGTGTTATCGTAAAGAAGTTGCATAGCCCGGGCATGGATATATATGTCAAGGGCGCTCCAGAGGCGATGATTGATATATGCTTGAAAGATACGCTGCCATTTGACTATGCGGAGCGACTATCCTATTACACCCATCATGGCTATCGTGTTATCGCATGCGCTACTAAATCTATGCCAACATTAAACTTCATTCGCGCCCAACGTGTTAAGCGAGAGCAGATGGAAAGTGAATTGACGTTCCTTGGCTTCATTGTTTTTGAGAACAAGCTCAAGCCGACTACAGCATCAGTGATCACCACTCTAACCAACGCGTGCATCCGACAAGTAATGTGCACTGGAGACAATGTTTTAACTGCTATCAGTGTCTCGAGAGAATGTGGCCTAATTAGTAGGACAAAGCAGGTTTATGCGCCAAGATTCATGTCTGGGGAGCCGACTGCAGAGAACCCCAAGGTTATATGGGAGAACATCGATGACAGTCGCAAAACACTAGATTCATTAACACTCAAAGTATGTTGAGCTACAAAGACATGGTTATATACTGGAATCGCAGCATTTTTGTATTGAATCTTTAACAATTCTTATTACGCTGTGTCCCTATCGCACAACTTGTGCAGCCGGCCTTTAGTAACGTAGATGAAGCTGTTGTTGGGTATGAATACCCAGTGTATCCTGAAATGATGGATGACTACGTCTTAGCAGTGACTGGTGAGTGTTTCCGTTGGATGGTTGACTATGCTTCAACCATGACCTTAAACAGGATGCTTGTTAAAGGTCAGATATTCGCGCGTATGTCTCCGGATGAGAAACACGAGCTTGTCGAATGCCTTCAAGCAATTGGTTACTGTGTGGGGTTCTGTGGCGATGGAGCAAATGATTGCGGGGCTCTCAAGGCGGCGGATGTTGGTATCAGTCTGAGTGAGGCTGAAGCATCGGTTGCAGCGCCATTCACGAGTCGATCGAACGATATTGAATGTGTTGTGAAAGTAATCCAGTAAGTGATTGCTTTTCCCTAAATGAACTTACTTTTATTCGATATTATAAAAAAAAAAAAAAAAACAACTTTAGTTAACCTTTTTTTTTTTTTTTTAGAGAGGGTCGTGCTGCTTTGGTGACAAGCTTTAGCTGCTTCAAATTTATGGCACTTTATAGTATTATTCAATTCACGACCGTCAGCTTTCTATATGCGTTTGCTTCCAACTTGGGTGACTTCCAGTTCCTTTATATCGATTTAGCGCTCATCCTTCCCGTCGCTGTGTTTATGGGTCGCACGGAAGCCTTCCCGATGTTGAGTCCAAAGCGGCCCACTGCCAACTTGGTGTCAAAGAAGGTCTTGACATCTCTAATTGGACAGATTCTCATTCAAGGACTCTTTCAAACGATGCTTTTTTGTATTGTTCGTCAGCAGCCCTGGTACAAGCCGCCTAAATATGAGCGTGGAGCGAAGAACATCGAAGGCTTTGAGAATACCAGTCTGTTTTTCCTGTCGATCTTTCAATATCTACTTATCGCGGTTGTATTCAGTGTGGGCCCCCCATATCGCAAGCCTATGAACTCTAATCGTATGCTGCTTGATCATTATGCATTCGATCTAGATATAAATGTGAAATATCACAATAATACTCAAATCCTGTTTTTCATACTTTCTTTAGGTCCATTTCTTGTTATCTTGGTTGGACTGACTGTCCTTTCACAAATGATAGTTCTTCTTCCTCCACAATGGCTGTCGAGCATTTTGCAACTGGTCGACATCCCCTTGAGCTTTCGATACTTTATCGTGTTTATGGCCGCCGTCAACCTAGGTATTGCAATGGTCTGTGAACGCACTTTCTTCCCTTTGATTGCCTCTGCGATCGGAAGCTTGCTTGCTCGTCGGAATTCGAATGCGAAGCAACAGCAGCCTCCATACCAGCCTCATCGACAAATTGAAATTGAGCCTGCATATTCTTCGTTGAATACTCCGCCTTTGTCCTCATGCTCAATCTCGGGTTTTGCAGAGCCAGAAACGGCAGTGGGACGGGCAAGTGGTGGTGCTAAGTCTAAGCCTGTAAAGACATCGGAGCAGACGACTAAAATATACAAGCAGGTAGAGCGAGAGATGAATCAGATTTGACGAATATACAGACTGTGGACGTCTTCCTCTAGAGTGAGCAAAGAAGGTTTTGCGACAGTTGTAGTAAATCCAATATAGCAGTTATTGTACATGTTAGTTTTTTTTCTTGGTCTCATGCGGATATCGCTTTCCCTCTTTAATGAGGCAATGATGAGTTAGTTGGCCTTCATCTATAAAGTTTGTTAATGGCAATATCCGTGCGCCATCATTTAAGCGATCTTACTCCGCCGTTGAATGTCGTACAGATTCAAATTGACTTGACCATTTATGTATTTCATCTCGTTATTTCGTCCTATGGCGCTTACCTGACTTTTTCTCATGACTTTTAATACAGTGAATTAAGTAGAGCTAGTTAGCAGACAAATACAGTTTGAATATGCAGGTTCACGTCAATGCTTCTGGTCGAGAGCTTGGCGATTTTTTTTTTAAATAAAAGGTTACAGTTAGTGTAAAAGGGTCATCGCGTATTGGGCGCTAAACCGACTTTCCTGGACTTGAAAAAAACGAGCACAGGTCATGGTCAATGTAATAAAAGATGGGGGGTTTTTTTTTTACACATGCGCCATAAAATGAATATTGTTTTTGTGCTCAAACAACAAAGTGTGAGTAAAATAGAAACATTTATTGTTTTGAGATGTTGAACCCGAACCTTTCAAAAGCTCTTTTGGGCCGGTAAGAAAGGCAAATACTCAATTCAACAATTTCAGTCCCAATACCTATTCATTGTGGTTCCTTTCGTTTTGTCTCCGTTCTTTTTCTTTTTTTTTTTTTTTTTTTTTGCTCGACTAAACAATTTTTTTAAAATAAACAAAGATAAATGAAAGAATGCGCGCTTCCATGCGATAGCATGCTCATTGTGAAGCGCTGTGTGCCATTTTGATATTATACATATATTTACTAACTCTTTTATCCTTTGTGTTCTGTATTTGTACTTGCTTGGGGGTATACAAACCCAAGGCGCTCATTACATTCACTTGGCATCATTGGTGCGGCTGTATGCCTTATAGTATAAATATATTATGTACTATTCAATTGAGTAAACACAGACAAGCTCTTTGTTGCCTCTTAAGAATCAAGCATCTTTATGGAATTATTGTGCATTATTTGGTGTATGGGAGATAGAACACATATCTCTCTTTTGTATAATGAAATAAATAACAAAAGGCACTTCTCCGATGTAAACTGTTTACGACTAGCCTAGATCAGAGCGGCTCTTCCATGTTACTGGAACATTTGTTGCATTACAGTTGATAATGCCGTTGTCTTCAATCCCACTTTTTTGCTTTGGCCCTTTTTACAACGTTGATCTCGAATGACGTTGAAAAAAAGGCGATTGGAAAGCCTTGTCTCATTCACTGAACATTGCCACCCGGAACTCCAATGATCTGTCCTTTTTCTCGTCAGGTCTGGGCTACCCCTATTTACTGTTGATTCGGCCGTCTCGTTTTCCTTATCCTTTGACTAGAGCTTTATATACCTTTGGTGAGATGTTCTAGATGCGAAATAGTTCAACGACTTTTAATTGTAATGTAACCTATTGCATTTATTATGTCTTTAAACCCTCCCCCTTTCGCCGCTCAAAAAGAAGCCTTCTATGGCTTTTCAAGCTTAAGAGAAGAAAGGAGCAGCACTCGAAGGATAGGAAGGAAAAGAAAAATTAATAAAGCCTTTCATAAGCTGCTGGTATCAAAAAGAAAGAGTTTATCTCTTTTTCTTTCAAAGTGCTCATCAACAAAGTTCGAAAAGGTTGGGCAGTTTACTCACCCCGAACATTTTACCCCGCTTTTTGCGTCGTATCAGAGAACAGACAGAGTAGACTGGGCGGCAGGCAAAAAGAGGTAACAAATACACACTTTTTTTTTTTTTTTTTTTTTTTTTTTTTTTTATCAAAGTGTAAGTACAGGCAAGGCAAAAAAAAAAAAAAGATTGCCTTAATCACTCCTCCCATTCGTGCCCGCTACTTGTCAACCTCTTTTTCCTTTGCCTAGTGTTTATTAGGCACAACCGGGTCAAAGCTTTGCTTCCTAGTTATTCCTTTGCACTTATCCCCCCCTTTTTTTTTCCTCCGACGACTGAAAAAAGACATGATATGAAGGGTCTGGGTGCAAAAAGGTACTAAAAGAGTGGAGCAAGAAGGGCAGAAGGACACGCAAGGAGGGGAATGATTTCACCTTGTAGAACCGTAAAAAAATTAATGCAGTCTTTGTCTTTCCGATTTGTTGTCTAGTCAATCCGTAAACAGTCGAATACAGGTAGTTCAATTAATGGAATGTTGATTCATTCACTTAATTTAATTTTTTTTTATTTTTTTTTTATTTTATTTTTTTTTTTGCTTTAAAGGCGCTGCCACTTTATCTTCCCTTTTCTCTCTCTTACTTTCTCTTTTCTTTTTCCCCTTCTTCCCCTTCTTCCCTTTCTCTCTTACTCTCTCCTCCTCTTGGATTTGTATCTTGCACCTTTATATATACTATTCTCCTCTCTCAATCTTCAATAGTTGAATATTTCCTCTCTTATCCTATCAGCTCGCAACTTGACTTATTTATTTCATAACACATCCTCTCCAATCCCATTGTAATATTTGCGGATATTAGTTAATTGTCCCAACTTTTTTGGAATATCTTCGACCCTGGAAGGAAACGACTATTGTGTAGATAACCAACCAACTGAGCGTTCAGCTTCATTATTTCGACTTTCATAATTGTTTAACCAGCGGTTCTAAATAACCCATCAAGTAAAAAGAAAACTACTTACAAAGCACAATTCGACCTTGATCGCGAGCTGAGACTCTTTCTCTTCGATTTTCGATCGCTTTTCTGCCAAACACTCTATTTCCTCATACATATCTCACCCTTATTAAAGGCAATATTGATATTTCCAAAACGACGTTGTCTAATATCCCTGCGCAACAGCTCCCTACTCCTTCAGCGACCGGGAATCTGAAACATTCCTCACTACCATTGAGTCGATCACCCCAATATCATTCCTCAACCCCGACTCAACGGCAGGGGCTTTCGGCCGCACATCTCTCCCCGATCGACTCCGCAATGCAGCAATCCCATGATATCACACTTACAACCGGCCTGGCCCATCTCCAATTGAACCCATCTCATCATTACCATGCCTCCGCTGCTTTTGCTCCGCAGCCTCCTGTTAGGCAAGATAGTTTTCAATATCAATCCTTGGACACCCAACTAAATGGATCCCAGCAACAACAGCAAACACGGCATGGGATGACGGGAGAGGAACTCGAAGAGATGGAGGATCGAAGACGTATGCAACAACAGATCCTACAAGACAAGCTAACCCGAGAAGAACGTAAGCAGAGTCCAAATACAAGTGCCAAGATGACAACTAACGAAGGGTTTGGAATGGGTACGTTTGATATGTCTGATTCGTTGGCAATTGTGGAAGATCTGCTGGATTACTTTGGAGAAGATGATTTAACATTTGAAGGTGGAGGTAAGTCAATATTAAAAAGTTTTTATTTATATATTTTTTTTCTGGATCGCAAAAGACAAATGAACATTTTGGGCTAAGTGTTTTTTTATTACTTTCTTCATTAATAATATATATATAAAAAGAGCTATTCAACGAATCGCAACTCATTGAGGCGGAGCGGACACATCTGCGGCGTGAATCGCTTGTGCGTCACTTGTATGATTCTGAAGAAGACTATCTACGATCGCTGCAAGAGATTCAATCTTGTTATCGCAAACCTCTGCTACGAAATTTACAGCAGATTGAGGACAATAAGAAGTCAGGAGGCTTGTTATCTTCGTCCTTAAGCAAGATTGTGGCGACGAAGCAGGAAATCGACACCATGTTTGGCAATTTAGGCAGCCTGATTGAGTTTCATGAAGAGATTCGCTCCTTACTGGAGGAACGATCCAGAATCTGGGGGCCAACTCAGATCATAGGTGATTTATTGATCAGCGTGGTAGGTTTATTTCCTGTATTGCCAAGGCATTTTCTGAAAAATGAGTAACGTATATGTAAAAAACAAAGAGTACTCTCTGCATTTGTGTTTAACTTTATCACCCATATGCGCATAGATCCCGAAATTTAAGATTTATAGCATGTATTTCCTGAATTTTCATCATGCCTTGACAGTCCTTGATCGCATCTCACGGGGAGCACAGTATAAAAAATTTATGGAGGTGAGTCCTGGCAAGTCAAAGTGTGTGAGCGTAAACTCGGACATTTTTGGATAATCGAATTGACCAAACCTTTGTTCTGATCCTTTTTGTGTTATTTATTAGCAATGTGTCTCTGATAACCCATCAGGCACAGCTAGTCTTCATCTAATGCTCGCGACCCCATTGCGACGTCTTTCAACATTCAGAGATATGATTAACGCACTCTGCCAGGCAACCTCGGCATGCCATCCGGACTATTTGAATTTAATCCGGGCATCTGATATGATCAACGTTGTGGCAAATGAGCTCCAGAATGAGCAATATATGGCTCAGGATCAATTGGCATTATGGGACATTCAATCGACCATGGTAAATTTACCAGAGCCTATCATGATTCCAGCTCGACGACTCATTCTGAGAGCAGATCTGCATAAAGTTGACTCGTCGTTAGCACTTGAGCCTAGGACGTATTACTTGATGAACGATGTTCTATTGTATGCGCGTTTTGATCCCAAAAAGAATATTTATACATTCAAGGGCATGTTTGACCTAGCAAAGACACAAATCAATAATCCTGAAGATAATGTCACCCTTCCTCAGCTGCCCAATTGTATTCAGATCGCTAATGCAGGACGCAAACAAATGATGCGTTGCAGGAGCCGAGATGAGCGTGACTATTGGATGGAAACGATGCGCAGGGTCGTCGAGATTATTAACAAGAACATAGATAATCCCTCCATGGCTGTAGGTGATCTCCTTCCTCTGCGCAAGTACGCCAACTCAATTGCTTCTGACTCATCACTGTCGTTGGGCTATTACCCTGGCGTGACATCGGGATCGACCAAAAGTGTAGGCAACAGCAGCAACGGAAATACTTTTATGGATTCAAGATCTATCACGTCGAAATCATCAAATGAAACTGCATCAACAGGTGCATCCAAACCAAGGAAGCCGAACCCACAGGCCGACTTTTATGGGTGTTCATTTGGCAAGGATGTCACAGTATCGACCAACGAGGATAATTACAAACCAAGCCCTTTAGCGCTGAACAAGGCCATGGCTAACAACCAGTCGTCCTCGACTGTTTCATCGGGGGCAAGCAGCACTACAGCGACTAGTACGAATGGCCAATCTTTGGGAGCCATGTTAGCAGCCATCCCTCAGGAAGAATTAACGCCCAAGCAGGCGAAGGCTAAGGCAGCATTGGCAGCGGCAGTGGAGGCTAGGCGGCAGGCTCGTTTGAAACAAGAAATGAAAAATGGAGGGTCTACAGCCAAGAAAGAGATGGACAAAAATGTCAGTCTGGATTTCTCAAGTTCTTTTATCCCAGCCAAAGCACGACTTGGAAAGTCATGAAGGATTGTACAAAGCAAAAAAAAAAAAAAAAAAAAAAAAAAAAAAACCGCTTCTTTTCAATCTATGTAAATGTATCAACTATTTCGAACACAAGCTAATAATGTAAACATTCACGCATATGCATTGCATTTAGTTCCTTTTTTTTCCTGTTCCATAGCTTATTATAACATGCTTCTTATTGATGAATCAAATTGCATCTTATATAGAATAAAAAAGTAATAATAATAAAAGCTGAAGCTTTTCTGTGTATTCTTTCCTCTTTATGCACTGCATCAACCAAACTACTAAGTATGGGCTGAATATGCAAAAAGACTTTTTTTTTTTTTTTTTTCCTGATACGACGCGTTGGGCTATTGTTAATTTTTTCTTCTTTATCTCGTAATTGTTTAATGCATGAGAGGAGAAGAGATTGATTTCCAACACCATTTGTTCAGACCAAGATATTGCAGACCGATATACAGGAATATTTATGAAAAAAAAAACCCCCCCATTTTATAAGGATAAAAGTATGCGTGTTGCTATAGATGTGAACACTACAATCCAGTAGTTCACGGCCACGATGGATATAAATTGATGTTGTTGGACTTCACCATGAGAGTAAGAAAGAAGCCAAAGAAGGTATTGCATGATTTGATGTCATTGCTTGAGCAGGCGGTGGTGGCAAGACACTATCAACAAAGCCTTCGCCACATTCCTTCTGCACGCTTGCATAAAGGGAACGGGTAACTGAATATCGGTCGATGGCCTCAGTCAAGAGAGTGATATAGAAGGTAACATTCGTTGAATTGAGGGGATCATGATCCTGAACTCGCTTACGCATCCCTTGTTTGAAGGGTGCATAAAGTCACCGGTTCTTTCCAACTTCTTCAGAGGTAGCAGCACAGTTCTGATTCAGAGTGTTTTCCATCAATGCAACAGTCGCAGCATTACAGAAGGACATGGCACAGAAAGTAGTTGATGTATGCCCCGGTACCATTTATGAGCTGTGTAATTGGTGCAAAAGGAATACAGGCACTGACTCGAGAATCCACGAAAAGTACTGTTAGAGAGACAGCACATTGGTCAAGAAGTGCTGCATGAGCATATAAAGAAGTAGAAGCTATTGAAGAGAAGGAGGAGAGTAAGTATAGTAGAAGGGAATAAAAATAAAGAGATTGAGCAAGAGGCCAAGGAAGTGAAGCTCGACCCCATGGCTTTAATCCTTATTGTTGTTTTCTAGGTTCTTTTCAGATATTTTATGAAGGAATAGATTGGTGATGGAACTACTTTTAGTCGTCGACTTTGCTTCTTTTTAACCTACTAAAGGTTCGGAGATCAAGGAAGTAGACGGATCCAGGGAAAAGAAGAAAGGAAGGGAAGCGAGGGAGTGATTGAGTGCTTGGACAGATGGGTGGATGGAATAGATAACTTCCGTGCCTGAAAGTAAAAGGGGTTTAAATGCAGTGGGGCTGACTGGGTCGTCTCTCGCCACTAATTTGAGATCTACATACACAATTTTTGCTCAAAAGGTGCAGCTTTTACGACCCAATTATGTTCGGTTACTATGCTCCTCAGAAAACGCGGAGAACACGCTTCCCAACACACACGAGGGACACGAAGAAAAAAGAGACGCGTATGTGGGCTAACGTCTGCTTTTTTCATGACTTTGAAAATTGGAATCAGTCAGTGTATTGCATGCTCAAACACACACTCTTTTATCTTTCTTTTCTCTCTTTTTCTTCTCCATTAACTCCATTCTTTATTGTTCAGCAATAGATATTCACGATATATAATTTTCTTTTATATATATTTTATCTTGCACAGGATACTTTGCTCAGGAACTCCTCTCGCCTCAATACATTCACATTTCAGACAACGAGGAAGGGGCCACATACAAACATCACACAGACAACAGCTTCGCATTCATACACATAAATAATGGCTGACAGATACTCATTCTCTCTCACCACTTTCTCACCCTCAGGAAAGTTGGTTCAGATTGAATATGCACTCAATGCTGTCAACTCTGGCGTCACTTCCATTGGTATCAAAGGTAAGGGAAAAACAAAGAAAAAAAAGAAATTACTTAGCCTGACTTGGACTGAAATATTTATCCACAAACTTGTAGTGCTGCAACCTCTCTACTTTCATTCTTTCATTCTTTTTTTTTTTTTTTTTTTTTTTGAAGTTTCTTAACATTTGTATTCGATATCTTGACTAATTTTTTTTTTTTTTTTTTTTTTTTTTTAAAAAAAAAATAATATTTTAACAATAGCTACGAACGGAATTGTGATCGCGACAGAGAAAAAGGCCGTGTCGACACTGATTGACGACTCGTCGTTGGAAAAGGTAGCAATTATTTGCTCTAACATCGGGATGGTTTACTCCGGTATGGGCCCTGACTACCGTGTGCTCGTTAACAAGGCAAGGAAGGCTGCTCAGGCCTACAAACGCGTCTACATGGAGGAACCACCTACTGCTATCCTCGTCAAGGAGATTGCTAGCGTCATGCAGGAATTTACACAGTCTGGGTAAGTCATATTACTACAATTACAATAAGGAAGAAATAAGGACGACGAAAGAACGAAAGTCAAAAAGGAGAAAAGAAAAGAAAGAAAAAAAATATTCGAAGCGGATCAACGATCAGTTTTCTAGTCTCTATTCTTTTTACTGGTTCTAATGCCAAAAAAAAAAAAAAAAAAAAAAAAAAAAAAAACGACTCTTTTTTACACATATACTTTTATTCCTAAATAGTGGTGTGCGTCCATTCGGAGTATCATTGCTGATTGCAGGATTTGATGAGAGTGGTCCGATGTTGTATCAGGTGGATCCCTCGGGCTCATACTGGCCCTGGAAGGCAACAGCCATTGGCAAGAACATGGTCAATGCAAAGACATTCTTAGAGAAGCGATATAATGAGGATATTGAGCTCGAAGATGCAGTCCATACAGCTATTTTGACATTGAAGGAAGGATTTGAGGGCCAGATGACGGAGAACACCATCGAAATCGGTGTCATTACAGGCATTGTTGCTACAAAAGATGATGGATCTGTTGTTTTGCCCGAGTTTAGGAAATTGTCTCCAAGTGAAGTGAAGGATTATTTGGCCAATATCGCTTAAATAGCCATGATAAAAGAGAAAATACAAATAAAATCCAAGGACATCAGCTTTCAATTATATCAACATCAAAAAGGAGATTCGAATCCAAGTAGTTTTGACTTCTCAAGCCATGGAAATGTGATATGCTCCAACAAATAAAGGATTTCTAAGAAGTTTTTCCTTTTTCTAATGTTTTATGTGAAGTATTGTATACAAAGAAAAAAAAAAATGCTATTTTGATTCATTTCTATTATATTTTTTTTTTTTTTTTTTTTTTTTTTTTTAGAGACGCTCGATCACCATGGCGGAAGCAGCACCGCCTCCGTTACAGATAGCAGCACCTCCCTTCTGGCCCTGCTTCAACAAGTGAACCAAAGTGACAAGGATACGGGAGCCTGAGGAGCCAATGGGGTGTCCGAGGCCGACAGCACCTCCTGCGATGTTAACCTTCTTGGGATCCAACTTCAAAAGTTGGTTGTTGGCCAATGCAACGACTGAGAAAGCTTCATTGAACTCGAACAAATCAATGTCATCAATCTTGAGGTTGGCCTTCTCCAAAGCCTTAGGGAAGGCAGCCGCAGGGGCTACAGGGAAATCGATGGGGGCCATGGCTGCATCTGCAAAGGATAAGATCTTAGCAAGGGGCTTCAATCCGAGCTCTTCAGCCTTAGCACGGGTCATCAAGACCAAAGCTGAGGCACCATCGTTCAAGGATGAGGCATTAGCAGCTGTGACAGTACCACCCTCCTTCTGGAATACAGGCTTCAGAGAAGGGATCTTGTCAAATTTGACGTTCTTGTACTCCTCGTCTTCTGAAACAGTCTTATCACCCTTCTTATCTTTGATTACTACAGGGATCACCTCCTCGGCAAAGACACCATCTTTCCAGGCCTTGGCTGCACGGCTGTAGGATTCGACAGCATGAGCATCCTGCTGTTCACGAGTAATCTTGAGTTTTTCAGCTGTGTTCTCGGCGCAGTTACCCATGCTATAATGGAAAGTAGATTGCAATGTTTTGTTTTAGTCATTATATAGTAATAATAGTAAAAAGCACTAGTTTGTCTTTCAAATGCCATCAATTATTAAATATGTCGCAACTTACTGGAACTGATTGTAGACATCCCAAAGACCATCCTTGATAATTCCATCAAATTGAGTCTGGTGTCCATAGCCTGCATTACGGGGAGCGTAGTATCTATTTGTTTTTTGTTTTGTTTTATAAATAAATATTGTAGGTAATAGTCATCATCGGCAAAGACATAAAAAGAAAGTTGATGTCAATAATTAATGTTTTCTTTTTTGCAGTGTCACATGTCAGGAACCATAAATAGTTTAAATTCCCTAAAAGAAAAAGAAAAAAGGCTTCGAGAAAAAAAAAAAAAAAAAAAAAAAAAAAAAGTATGTACTAGAGTACTTACGGGACGTTAGACATGGACTCCATACCGCCAGCAACCATGATGCTACGATCGCCGGTTTGAAGGCCTTGGGCAGCCAACATGACGGCCTTCAAGCCCGAGGCACAGACCTTATTGATAGTTGTAGCCTCAGTTGAGAGAGGACATCCAGCGCCAAGAGCAGCTTGGCGAGCAGGGGATTGGCCCACATTAGCCTGAAGGACATTACCCATGTAGACTTCCTCAACCTGATCAGCCTTGATGCCTATGACATATTATATATTAAGGTGTTTAAGCAAACTATAAATTTAATAAAACAAGAAAGAAAAAAAAAAGAAAGCAATAGAACTTCAAATATAAAGCATGCAGCAGCATATTGTAATAAAAAAAAAAAGAAAGGGAAAGGAAAGGGTGAGAAAAACATACCAGCCTTCTCAATAGCACCACGGATGGCGATAGAGCCAAGCTGAGGGGCAGTGAATTTCTTCAAGGCACCATTGAAGCAGCCAACGGGGGTACGGACAGCAGAGACAATGACAACCTCCTATAACAATTAACAATGAACGACAGAGTTGGCGGAAGCATGCGGCATTAGTATGTCTTGAAGCATATAAAAAGTGAATCAGATGGTTTTCATGAAAGTTGATGAATGTGTTGTCCATCTCTTTTCCCTTCCCCCTGAATTTTCCCACGCTTACATTGAGGCCCTTTGCAGTGCTGTAAGTGCGAATCTAATAAAAAAAAAAAAAAAAAAAAAAAAAAAAATCAGAAAAGAAAATTAGTTCATTAATATCTCTCATCTTTGCTTCTTTAGGCTCAGCAACTTGCACGAAAGCAACTTGTATAAAAGCATAAGCGGTACCTGACGGAAGATAGGGGTGGCCTTGGTAGCGAACATGGTTACTATGCAATGAGGAGAGAGGAGAGAAAAGGATGTGGAGAAAAAAAAAATCAGATCGGTGTCTTTAATAAATATCCACCCACGGACGCAGAAAAAAAAATCACGTGAAACTGGGGAATGTCCAAATCTGGACCACCGAAAAAAGAAAAAACTAAACATATCCATCTAAGTTTACACCATCAGGGTTAGTTGCTTTAGTTGCCGTCTTTTTTGCTACATTGGGAGATGAAAGCTTGTTTATTGAAGTTTATACTATGGCTATGATACTTGAATCTCTCCTGAGACTCTTGATCAGTGCCTATCAAATATGTTACCCAACCTCTTCTACCCTGCTCTTCAATATGGGTGTCCCGAGTTTTTGAGCATAAGGATAGAAAAAAAGTACAAGAGCAAAAAATATGTCTATTAAGCCTTGAGTGGCCCTTCTGGTAATCCAAACTCATCCAGGCGCTAAATCAAAGTAAAGAATAAACGTTAATAAGTGTCTTTTTTTTTTTTTTTTTTTTTTTTTTTCTTGCTAATGTTCTTTTGTTTATTATCATTGCTCATCCCATTACCTCCCGCTGTGGCTCCGTGGTTGTGGTTTCTGTTGTAGGTAGTTCTGGCACTTCATCTTCAAGATAAGAGGGTTCTGCCTCTTCATATAGCTCGTCTCCTAGAGCGTCCAATTCAGCTTCTAGGTCTTGCTCGTCAATATCATCCGGTACACCATATGAACGACCTAATGTCTCCTGAATTTCATTTGCTTGGTCCATGATATCTTCCATTTCATCTTGCATCTTCTATCGTTATTTTGTGGATCATCATAAAAATCAGTACCTTGTTGAGTAAAGCTCTTAGTCGTGAACCATGAAAAAAGAAAAAGGCAAATCCCACATTCGATGCCAGGATCACGCTTTTCAACATGGTTTTAATCTAGTACCTCAATCTGGTCAATGTTGACCTTCTTGTATTGCTGCCTCATTGTTTGGTTAGCTGTTCTCATGGCATCTACAGTCGTCATGACATTCCTCAGGTTTTCTGTTGTGAACGCTGCCTGCTCCATGTTGAAGGACTGCTGTTGAAGTTGTTCCCGCTGACTTTCATATAATTTTCTCTCCTTAAGAATGCGCATTGCCTTGGCCTTTACAGAATTCTAAAAGATAGGCGAGATGACGGGAAAGAGAGAAAAAAAGGCTCATACATGTATTAGAGCGTCCTGGCCGAATCCAGCAAGCCTACTACAAATAGTTGCAGTTTTAGACACTTCTCGTTTATTTGTATATCCATGCATGCTATCAATTTTACCTTGGCAGGACCATCACGCATCTTCTTCATTTGATCTTTATACTTGATAAGTTCTGCATCCAGCTTTCGAATCTTAACCTCAACTGCATCTACTCGGAGGTCTGTCTACGATCGACAAAAAGAATGGCAAAAGTAACGCGTGAACGGTGAATAAAACATGTAAGTTATCTGCAACACAAAGGTGCTCATTGCCATCATCTCCATGGCCATGATACCGTCTCTCTCTTTTTTTTTTTTTTTTTTTTTTTTTTTTCCCTTTTCACTTCTATGCCGATGCTTTTATGGCATAAGACTATTGAATTGTTATTGGCTTGACTTTTTTTTTTTTTTTTTTTTCCCTACTCATTTAATTCATTGCGTTCCTGACAAGCATCGTGTCCCTGAAATATGCCAGACTTACAGCTGTAATAGCGTCTGTGAGAGTGGGCTTTGGTGTCCTCTTCCCTGTACCGAAAAGGCGATGCATGGTGTTATCAAAGTACCGGGCAGCAATGGAGTGAAGTGTAATGAAATGTTTTAAAAAGAGAATCCTTTGTCATCGTGAAGAAGACACCTGTGACCGTCTTTGTACCACATGTCTTTGAATTAAAATGTGGCCAATTTCTTGGCATTCAAGATCATAAATAATTAGAGTAAAATAATACATATTTGGCTTCGAATACCGTTGTGATACAACTCTTTATGGGGGTTTGCGTGCGATGAATGAAAAGGAAAAGCAAGATAGTAAAGGAAAAGAAACGCAATCATACAGCTTCTAGCTACAATGTCAGGACACGTGGCTATATGGTCCCCATGCATGACTATTTTCAGGTCCCGCTAAATGCCCATTTACGCAGAGATGGTATTGTCATAGTCAATAGTAGGTACTACAGACGACATGAACTTCAAGAAGATGATGAGGTACCTAAAAAGCAAAAGAGAATAAAAACAATTAGTATTCCATCTGTAGAAACATGTTAATCCGATCATACTGCTCAATAACCTCCTCCCTTTTGACTTACTGGTCAACACGGACTGGCTCCTCCTTCCCTTCGTCATTTGCAACCTTCTCAATAATCTTCTTCATCACAGCTCCATGTCTGCAGGGATGAATACTGGCCAATGACATATTGAGATGTGGATGAGTCTCGATGGTGACAGTTTTCTTGGCATAGTCCTGAGAAACATCCTCAAAGATCTGTGAAGATACCAGAGGTCGACGATGCTATTCAAGTTGTAGCATATGCAAAGAATGGAAACAACTATCAGTTTATGTGATCCTGGAATAAATGATGACAAATGTCGCCATTAGTTCCACGTCTGTACCTCATCATAACCAAAGAGCCACATTCTGGGTGTTTGATAATATTTATCGTATGTAATGAATACATCGTACGTTCGGACGTTCAAGATCTTGTCGCTGTGTACCACAAGCCAAAACAGAAAGTTGGATCAGTCAAACAACACCATGAATTGCTGATGTTGTAACATTGAGTGTCGTACGCTATGCAAATATGTACAAAAAAAACATACCCAGGATCGACTGCTGTAGGAACAGTTGGAGCGAGTGTAGCCTATTTCCGTCATCAAGGTTTAGTATTAGCGTGATGCACCAATGGGCCTTTTTCTTTAAATGAAAAAAAAAAAAAAAAAAAAAAAAAAAAGGATAGCCGTATCAAACAAGGCTTACAGGGTCCGCTTCTTCTTCCAGGTCTTCATAGTCATCCATGTCGGGGATGTCGTCCATATCGGGAAGATCTTCGTCGTCATCATCCTGTTCTGCAGCATCATGGAGTTGCTGTTCCTGCAAGTTAAGTCGACCCATGGCTTTAATGGCTGCTTGTGCTTCAGCTTCAGCTTCAGCTTCGGCCTCCTCGTCTTCGTCTTCATCCATACTTCCAGCAATTTCTTCGATGGGGCCTCCTGCTACACGCGAACTGTGGGACATCACCCAAGCATCGGCGCCATCACTTTCGATCTGTGTTTCAGCGTCCTCGTCCGTATATTCCATTTGCTTGACACGACGCAGGCATGGTACTATATCATATATACACAACCACAACCATAAAAAGGAGATACCATTGAAAGTGAAAAATGAAAAGTTAGTATTGACAATGTTGCACATGCAAGCGGAGCTCGTTTCATTTGTCTTCCGTCAGCATCCTCCACTCCCATTTTTTCCTCTGAATTAGTCAGGCTCCTTGAAATTCGTCTCCTGTTGGACGATGGTCACGAGTTTATTCTTTTTTTTTTTTTTTTTTTTTTTTTTTTTTATGCTCAACGAAATAATAACGCATGGGTCCCAGGGCATACACACGGTGGGGTTGCATTGCCGGAATGGCAAAATTACAAAGGCAAACTAGAACACATACCATTGCGAGTAATCAAGAATTGCTTATCCGGATGTAAGTAGTCGCGCTTCTTGCTGGGTTCACCGCCTTCCCTATGAATAATTGAATATGTCGCAAAATAATATGTAAAGACCGTTAGAGTTACAGCATCAGCCTACAACAATGCAGCCCTTTTACAAACGTTGTCAAAGTCAACACAAGTATCAATGTATTACCAGCTCCACGTTGGACACTTGTACACCAAAAAATCACCTGCAGCTTCAAACTAAAAACAGAACAAAAGGGAAATCAACGAGTAATCAACAGGGTTAGTTGACGACGCGTATGGCTTTTTTTTTTTTTATGACATGTTTCTTTATGACTATTGAAACTAATATGGATTAATGTGCCGCAGCATTGCCGGCAGTCTTCTTCTAAGGAGACTTTTTTTTGCATGTTTTGCCAGCCAATGCAAGAAAAGAGCGTACACCTGCTTTTGCAAAAGAGAGAGATGACAAAAAAAACATAAAAAAGAACTTGCCTCCTCAGGTGTGATGCAACCGGTCTCTTTGAATTTTGAATTTTTGAGGACAGGACTCAAGTACTCGCGGAGGCCGAAGAAGATGTTTTGTACGGAGTTCATTAGAAAGTGAAAAGGGAATGAGGAAGCGTGAATAGAATGTCTTTATATTTGTCGTTATTATTTTGGTGTGCAATTGAAGCAAATTATGCGCGTTGACTGGTGTTGGTGATATTGACTGTTGGTGTGAGGTGTATTTGTATTTGTGTGAAAGTAAGATGGGACTGGGAAAAAAAAAAAGAGAGAGAGCAGAAAGGAGAGGTAAAAGCAATTGTGTGCTTTCCAGGTGAAGCTTTTTTGCTTTGGGATATGGAGGATGTTGTGCCTGTCTTTTTTTGTTTCTTTCTAAATTCTAATGCCATTCTTACTCTCGAGAGGACACCTGACCAAGTGATTGAAAAAACGGAGGTCTTCTTGGAGTCGGTGCATACCAGCTGTTGGCATTTGTTGAATATCTTTCATTCAGGAGACGATTGATATTTAGACGTGTGGAGGACCGACTTCACCTCTGCATGCAGTCTACCTGGCGAAAATGATCCCAGTGGCCCAGTGCCATAACGGTCTATATCCTGCCCGTTAAGCGATAGAAGAAGACACCTTCGCCACCAACACAATTTTACCTCCTATCTCCCACACAAATTATGGTAGTGGTAGAGCTGTCCGGCTATGATCGGATGTCGCGCGGTACGGAGAAATAGTTGGCGTATTAATAGCTGTCACTCAGAGTTTCGTCCGGCCGAATTTTCTCTGGTTTTGCGGTTGTTGTGATACTTCTCGATCGAGCCATCGATTGCTCTATCCAACACTCCACACATTCACACATTCAAGGTTTATGTTGGAGGTGAAGACCTTCAGTCAACTCCGGTTCCTCTTCTTTCTTCTACTTCCTCTTTCTTCTCTCCTTCTTTCTTTCTTCTTTCCTTGCTCATCCTGCCTTATTGCTTCATTCATTTCTTACCCATTCCTCTCCATCGCTCCATTCCTTCTGTTCTCAAACAATGCCTCCATTCATTCCCCCACTTTCTGACCGCTCCAAGACAGTGTCTAGTCTAAACTCAGAGCGTGCACTTGTCTCGTTCAATGTTGAGTCACTCTCTCAATTCTTGTATGGCGAGAACTTTGAGAAACGACGCCATACTCGGGATCTGGTTGAACAACACCCCGTCTTCTCTAACGCGGATAAACCCTTTTTGAGCCGTGAACGTCAATACGTCCGATCTTTGGAAAAGGCAGCAAAATTAGTTGAGATGCGCAAGCAGAACAATTGGTCCGATGATGATATGATGATGGCCATGATGGTGATCGGCGACTCGACTCCTCAATTCTTGGTAATAATATCTCTTGAATTGATAGGAAAACTGAGACCAGGACCTGAAAATACTTATAACTCTTCTTAATATCTGCACCTTAGCATGAGGCACTTTTCATCCCTACCCTCAAAACCCAGCTCACGGACGAGCAGCAAAAGATTTGGCTTCCCAAGTAAGAAAAAAGTACTACTTTTCCAACTCCCTGCCATTCCGTACTTTGTAAAGTTATAAGTCTAAGGATTTTTTTTTTTATCACATAGGGCTCAAAATTATGAGATTTTTGGATGGTAAAGCGTTATTATTTCTGCAATATCTTTTGACATTCCCATTGCACTATTTTTGATCTCAACGTTACTAAACGCTTTCCTCCATACCTCCATACCTTCTTTCTTCCTTTCCAGTTATGTTCAGACCGAGATGGCTCACGGAAGCAATCTTCGCAAGCTTGAAACAACCGCCACCTTCATCCCCGAGACAGACGAATTTGAGATTGATACACCAACGCTCAATTCTATGAAATGGTGGCCTGGTGCTCTCGCCCAGACCAGTACCCATTGTGCCATCTACGCTCGTTTGACCCTTCATGGCAAGGATTATGGTGTCCATCCCTTCTTATTACAGATCCGTGCTGCCGGAACCCATGCTGAAATGCCCGGCATTGAATTGGGTAATTTAGGTCCCAAAATCGGATTCAACACCATCGATAATGGTTTCTTACGAATCAATAAGGTCCGAATCCCACGCGAACAAATGATGATGCGCAACTCCAGAGTCACTCGTGATGGCAAGTACGAACCTGCCAAGAACGCAAAGATGAATTATTCAACCATGGTGGCCATCCGTGCCAACATTGTCAAGAACGCAGGTTTCGCACTAGGTCAGTCTTTGACGGTCGCCATCCGATATTCCATGATCCGTCTTCAAGGCGGAGACCGCATCCCATCTCAAAAGGGTGAAGAGGTCAAGGTTATTGATCACGGTATGCAACGCTTCCGCTTAACGACCTCATTGGCCTTGAGCTATGCAATGTTGATGACCGGTCGAGTTATGACGGATATGCATCAGCGGAACTTGAAGAACGTGATCCAAGGAGAAGTAGGTCTAATGGCTGAGGTCCATGCAACTTCTTCAGGCTTGAAGGCCTTGATCTCGGACTTGGCTACTGCTCATATGGAGGACGTACGTCGTTCCTGCGGTGGACATGGTTATGCTTGGTGCGGAGGAATGGTTGAAGTCTTGACCACAACCCTACAGGATGTTACCGTGGAAGGTAAAAGACTCTTTATTCTTTATCGCTTTTCTATCATTTATTAACTCTATCCATTTGAAGCTGACTTTTTTTTTTTTTTTTTCTTTCTACTCTTCTCATATTCGCAAATGTTTGTTTAGGTGAAAATACAATCTTACACCTTCAAACTTCGCGTTGGTTACTCAAGACAATCCTTCAAGCCCTCAAAACCAAAGATCTGTCTTCAGTCCCTGCTGGCTTGCAACCTACTCTTCAAAAGGGTGGCGAAAACATTTTAGATCAAGAGAAATCCATCATTGTCCCAGGACAGCCCATCAGTGGCGAGGCTTTAATTGCTGCATTCTGGCATCGTGAGGCCCGTGTTCTTCAAGAAGTCCTGGCCCGTATTGTCAAGGACGGTGCTGGAGAGGAGGCTATGGCTAAATCTCAAGTTCGAATGGTCGAGTTATCCAGAACTCATGGTGAAGGCATGCTAGTCCGTAACTTTTACGAGGCTATTCAAAAAGAGGAACAGGCTATTCATCAAAAGGGTGGTGATGTGACCAAAGGTTACTTGCCTGTTCTCAAGATGCTCTTTGAATTGCACAGTATTCATCGTCTGTTGGAACAAGCCGGCGATTTCATGGAAGATGGATATGTCTCCAGGCAGCAAAAGGTCTGGTGCAAAGACCGCCGTGAACAGTTGATTGACCTGTTGAGATACGAGTTGATCGGACTCGTAGATGCGTATGATTTCTCGGACAACCAACTCAATTCTGCCATTGGACGGTATGATGGACGTGTCTACGAATCGCTTTATGAGTGGGCCAAATACGGAATGACCCTTGTTGATAAGGGCAAGAATGGAGGTGTCTTGGGCTTTGATGAAGTTTTGAAGGATCTTTTTGCAGAGGGCCGTCGTTTGAATGGCGCTGCAGTCCCAAAGCTTTAGAAAGAAAGAAAAAAAAAGAAAAAAAAAAGCCCGTTCTAGATATAATAATATATTATAATATACAAAGACACCAACAGACAAATGGAGATTTGCTTTTATTATTAGTGTTGGATGCTATTGCGGTGTTGTATAAAAAAACTCAATCAAGGTAGCATGGTCTCGGGTAATTTGGCAGGCAGAACACTCTCGCCACCGCTTTCTACTGCACGGATTAAATGCAATGCCACTGCGAACTCGTCTTCACTCAAGTGTCCATCAGATGTCCAATCTGCTAATGCCCAGATCTTGGCTAGCACCTCAACTGATAAGCCTGTGCTCATCAGGTAGGGCTTTGCAGTTAAACCATTGATCTTGCCTTCTCTGGGGTTCAGCGACAGGAAGATTGGCCGGGCAGCTGCCTTATCTACGGATGAAAAGTGCCAGTAGCTCGGTGGGACAGTATCACCTCCGTTGAGGTTACTGTTATGCCCTTCAGCTCCGGGTGGCCCTAAGAACGGGTTCTTTTGCGTAGATTCGATTAATAAATTATTCATATGGTGTGGGAATCGAGTCATGATTTTGGGCAGATCTACTGAAAGGGCCTCTTCAGCAGAGGCGAGGACTGGTTGGCTGATCTTTGCAAAATTTTCAAACTTATAGGCTTCCAAGCACTGTCGGAATGCTGCTACATTCGGGAAATCGCCTGCAGGGACACTGTAAATTTGCTGAACCTTCAAAAACTCGCCTTCCAGGTTTTGGGTCAACTCTCGTTGACGATTTCTTTTGCCCAAGACTGCAGGCATCTCCTTACGCAAATGTCCAATGATATATGCATGTACACGTGCCAGTCGGGCACGTTTCACGATTTCATTCACTTTACGAATCGCTGCATTGCGGGGTAATTCTCGAAGGTCCTTCAAAAGATCTGTTTGTTCCTTTTCTAGCAAGGCTCGGCAATCTTCATACACATTCACTGGGCGATGTAACCAGAACGAGCACAGATATACCCTCATGACCTCTGGCGTTTGAATAACCTTCCCAAGAGACCACATCAACGCGCCATAGACTCGCATCAATTGCTGTTGATCCACCATGTCACTCTTATTCAGAATCACACGCACTTTTTCTTCCTGACCCTTGAGCGCCACAATTGAACTCTTAAACTCGTCCGAAATATCCAGCTTATGGGAATCAAAGAATAAAAGGATCAGATCCGACCGCTGTGCAAACCACTCAATGGTCTTTGTGAAATCATATCCGCGTTCTACACGCTGTTTGTCGCCTGCTAGAATTCCTGGGGTGTCAATTAGGGTCATGTTCTCGAGCAGAGAATTGGGGCATTGTGAGACTTGGAATCGTGTCAAAAATGCTTGTCCAAATCGATCAAGCCCACGGAAAGGCAGGTCTGCAGAGACTGCTGCAGCATTTCCTGGAATCACCCTTGGTTCCGGACCATTCATCACAGCTACAAAGCGATCCGTCTGTATATTTTTATTTTTTGTCCAGAAAATAAAAATTAGATTTAGTTAAATACAAAAAGACCCAAAAATAAAGTTACTCCTTTTTAAAGTCAGTTTTATCTTACCGTTGGTTCTACACCAATGTGTGATCCAGGATAGTCAGACTCAATCAAGTGTTTGATAAAAGTCGTTTTGCCCTATTCACAAAATGCAGGTTATGATCATTAGCGACTAACCTTTTTTTTTTTTTTTTTTTTTGTTATTTTTTGTTATTTTTCTATTTTCGCTCAGAAAATATGCACGACGCATTGCTCTCATGCATCTCTTTTTACTGCCTTACTCCCTCTATCTCTTTTTTTTTTTTTTTTTTTTTTTCTTCGTTTCCTTTATCAATGAACAATAATGTATGGACCTTACAGTGCTGTATTGTCCTAACAGGAGAACCATCGGCTTCGCCAGAATATCGCTTTCCGTGAGAGGCGCAGAGTGAAACCCTTCAAAATTATATGTTGTCTCCAATGGCCGGATCTTGCGCTTATAAATTTGAGTCAAATCTCGATACACCTCTCGGTAATCGTCCTTGATGGTCGAAAGTCGGGAGCTACTATGACTACCGCTTTTATTCCCCATGTTAACACTCGCATTTGTGCCATTACGATGTAGCGTCGAAGGTTGTCGGGAAGGCAATGGTGGTGGCGCTGCAGCACTCGACGACGATATTGACATTCTGTTGAGGGATGATGACGATGGACCAGCAACAATTCCATTTGAGTAGGATTCTGAGCTCCTTTTCCTATCTCCTGGGTGTCCCATGCTTTCTTACTCTGTCTTTTTATGTGTATGTGAATAGGGTGAGAGACTGATAATATTAATGTGGCGAAGATGGGTATGCGGTGCTGTAATGCTGAACAGTTCTCCTTGCTTTTTCTCACTCGACTCAAGAAGTATAATTAACCTCAGGCTTTTAATGATTTATTCTTGTTCCTGAAATTGAGTATGATAACAACAGCCAAGAAGTATGACAATATAATCAGCGAGGATATGTCGTGGAAGAGATCGATGAGGTGTGGATGAAAGAGAAGCAAAGGGAGAAAAGAAAGAAAAGAGGGAAAAGAAGAGAGAGACGGGCCAAGAAACTACAAAAATTCTAAAAAAACTTGAGAGCATCATTTAATCGAGAAGAAATTATTGCCACCTGCAGCCACTTTTGGACATCGATCAGTCCACTCATGCTAGACATTGCCAAACAACATTGCGCATTGTGCTTTAATTATTTTTATTTTTTCATGTGTACCATACAGCGATATTTTTTTTTTATTTTTTTATTTTTTTATTTTTTTTTTGTTTTCCTGGACAGTACAAAACAGATAGCATATTCAAGCTATTAGTGACTTAGTCGTCAAACTCTACAAAGTGTCGCAGACGGTCTGCATATGTATTTGCCAGTACAAACTCTCCGAGTTGCTCTCGAAATGTAATGACGATCTGGTAAATCGCTGTCTTGAGAGCTAATAGATGCATGTTATCATGGGAAAATCCAATAAACACTTCAGTAAGGAAAACCTGCAATTACAGAAAAAGGAAAAGAAAGAAAAAAGAACTATACCTTGAACAAGTGCCAGAGAGCGGCTATTGACAACAGTTTGAGCATTAACATGGGCAGAATATGGTGTAGTTACAAATCGCTCAAGTCGACCTTCATATGTAAGGAAATATTCCAGGGACATGAGCAAACCGAGCATGCTCTCTAGAATCTTGGGAATATCCTTCTGAACAACACCATACTGATCTTCGTGATATGAAGCCACTACTAACCTGGCCAAGCCTATAAAAAAATTAACAAAAGAGCGTCGCATTGTTGGTCTCTCATACGAGTATGCCCCGTTTTCCCATCATTAAAAGAAAGACTAAAGGATACAAAGTTTTTACTCTGAAAAGACCAAACGGTCAATTGAAAGTCCTCAGTCGCATGGAAAATAGCTGGATTAGGGATGTTGCTGAGTTGCTTCTGCAGCTCTGGATACTTGAACACTAACTCACGGAGATTTTTACTGACCCAACGGAAAGCCACCAGCTCTAGACGATCTCTCGATCCTCCCAAGTAAGGCCTTTTACCCGACTTTGGATCTGCCAGTGATTTGTCTGCCTCGATCCTTGTCTGTGCCAGAATTTCTTCCGTACTAGGACCCTTGAGACTATCAAAGAAATTCTGACGTTTGCCAGGTCGGAAAATATCAGCCTCGAATGCCCCTCCTTGTTCTGGTGGAAGTCTCCGTCGCACAGTTGTGTTGAGTCGAGCATGTGAATCGTCTGTTGGTGTAACAGCTGCAGCGAAAGTTGGGACTTTAGAGGCTGCGTCAATGCGATTGGCTGCCTTGTTCAAAAGTTCTATACAGTGCCCTGAAATTTGTTTCCAGCTCGATGGTACGCACGTTGCTTCTTTGAAAATATCTACTCTGCGACCAGGCACATGTCCTGCTAAATATGTCAACTCCTGGAAGGCATGGTAAGTTAGCAACGATTCCGGTGTCGTATTGGACCCGTCTACTTTCAGCCCTGATGCCATGCATGCATTTGGATCCACGGACCTTGCGGTGACATTCATTTTCTATAATTAATGATAAGTGAGTTCGCCATATTCATGTCAGAGGCAATACTTTGAGACGCCTGGATTATTTTAATCAACCTAATAGTAACTTTTATTATTATCATTATTATTATTATTATTATTATTATAAATACCTTTGACAAGAACTGATCACACAAAAGATGTACAGATTCCATGAATGCTGCAATAGAGAAAGCTGTGAAGAAAAGGCGCAATGCTAAACCGATACTATACCAGCGGGGACCGTATTGTGGAGCATGGTAAAGGATATCTTCGGCAGCTAATCGCATAGCCATGTTCACCAAAAATCGACTTAAAAGTATGTTGTAACTGAACCAAAAGATGAGTGTAAGACGGTATGCGAATCGTGCAGACTTTTTAATAACACCTTTCCTGTAGTTGTTGAAAATATGATCAACAGCGCTCAGCTGAACGTCGGTGAAAGAAAGCCAATCACGTTGGTACAGCAGATGGTTCATTCCATAAGCGATTCCAATGACGAGAGAAAATGTTCGTGTCAAAATGTATCGTTCATTGACTTGTAAGATACCCTTTTCGCTACAACAATGACAATAAATGTGTCATATATTAATACTAACATTAGGGGATCAGCCCATAAATTTCAGAAGCGTCTATGAATAAGCTGGGAAAATTCATACCTGATGTACACAATAAGCTCGCGGTAATTTGTTAATCCTGTACTAGATGGCACCAAGATCAAGGCGTGAAGAGCACTTGCCATGATCGCATAAAAGCATATTAATACCCATGAGGAGGGATCGCAAGCTATTGACATCAAGTCGTGGAAATATGTAGGGGACATCCTGGGATTTACTGTGAACGTTTGGAAAAAAAAAAAAAAAAAAAAAAAAAAAAGATTCCATAGTTCAAGTCGTATTGTTAGTCCAATGTTAATTAGCCTTGTTCTCTGGGCACTTTTTTTTTTTTTTTTTTTTTTTTTTGAAGTGCCGTCAATTGTATGGTTGCTATCGATGTCGATCTCGTGAGGATGACTCCAAGTTTTTGTTGTTTAAATCATAGACCTGCCTTGTACTCGTGCATTCCTGACTCCAACCAGAGCTGCTCCAAAGAAAAAAAATGTACCCGTCAAGGCGAGCGTGTATAGAGAAAACAGCCCCTTATATAGCCCTATCATCATTGATTATTCCGTCAAAAACGTACGATCAGTAAGTTGCAGACTATACGTGTGTCCTCTTTTTTAAGGTAGAAAGTAGCGAAATCATCAATTGTAGTTAAAAATCCTTTACCAAAGAGTCCTAAATGCACATACTGTGAAGACAAGGCTGCGACATAAGAGAATCCAAGGACGAGCAAAAGATTCGCAATACTTCGCTCATGAAGAACTCTACGCGCAGCGAGCCTATAGGTGAGAGAGTGCAGTGGCCGTTGATCGCGCCTCTTCCGTGAGATCTCTATTGAAGACAACATGATATCGAACTACTATCCCACAACAATGGGCTTGTATCCAATATGGAATCGCGAAATGAATGAGAATAGACTGTACAATCCAGAGGAAAATCCGTGTGGTTTCCTGCAATGCCGTCGCTCTATACAAGGAGGAACGGTGTGATGCTGAAGCTTTTTCTTTTTTCACAATGCAAAGCCACATTGCTTCGAAAGGGCAGGCATGATGAACACAGGGTCTTATTACATGGGAGCACAAGGTCTATCTATGATGGCCATTATTACATTTGTCTTTCTTTTCATGTTCTTCTTTTCTCACACACATGGCGTCTAATTCTAATTTGAATGGCGACAGGATGGTTTACTTTGCCGCGGGAGTATCGCTAGTATTCATGGTATATTCTGTCCTGCGTCATGCCTCTGCTCTCTTTGAAAGCGAAGCACCCAAACCCCGCAATATCCTTGGCATGGTTGAGGATAGTATGTAAAAAAGAAATTTGACTGCAATCTCTAAAATTGCTGATAGACAAGGCAATAATAAAAATAATTAAAACATTAAATATGGATAGAAATCAAAATGGAATCGTTGGCAAAACTTGCACGGTCAGACAGCATTGTGCTACAGGGGAGGTATGAAGTGATAAAGATGTCTCTCTTATATTGTATTGCCATTTAAGTGTTCTGGGTGTAGATGTTTATGCGTTTACTGCTTCAATAGTTCTGTCCGCATCCTTCTTAGCCGAGCAATGCGTGGTATGATAGTAGTCGATATAACGATGCATTTTATAAATTGACTGAACCAAAATAAAAGACAATCCAAATTGAAGGTATTTTGGTATACGGTATATGCTTCCATCAACTAGAGCCAAATCTACGGTTTATCCTTGATACCGTTGCAGAATCCGATATTGAAGAAGAGCGATGGAAGGCTATTACAACTCTTCAATTACTAACAAGAAATGGTAAGCATGAAAGCTTCACTTTCCCTTTCAAGTACTACCAAGCTTTCTTCTCTTTTTTTTTCTTCAGTAGCCCTACGATCAATTTTCCTTGTATTACTTTAATTGACCGAAAGCAACCTTTTAGAAAGCAATCGTCAAACTCTAGTTGATGCTGGAGCACTTTTGATTCTGGTCAATTCATTAAAGGATCCCAAGAATAGAGAGAAATCACACCGCTACGCTGCAGTATCAATATGCGAATTGATTTCGGGATCAGGTAAGCGCTGTTCTCCCTTTTATTTTTTAATGGAAACAAGAAAAAGTAAAACACTTCGATTTTATCTTAACCTTCTTTAAACTATGAATACTTAGAGGATCGGCGGAAACAAGTCGTGCAGTATGGGATTTTAGAGCCTCTATCACGGTTCTTGATCAAGGTTGAACCAGCTAACGAACTTCAATACTGGTCACTCATGGTTGTTCATCAACTAGCGGCAAGCGGTAATACCTTTTTTTTATTTTTTATTTTTTATTTTTTTATTTTTTATTAATTATATATATTTATTTTGTTATTTCCTTTTTTTTTTTTTTTCTTTTTTTTTTCTTTGTAGATGCGCTACATCCCCAGTTGATTAATGCTGGAATGATCAGGATATTAGCAGAGATGTCGCGGTTATCATTCGGAAATGCGAATATGCCCAAGATCTGTCTTCAATCGCTGGTCCGATTGATAGTGACCATTGAATATGAATCTGTAGTTCGGTGGTATCTTTCAGATCTGTTGGAATATGATATCGTACCTCTGATCGCCAACTACATCCGTAGTGGTAAGGATCGCAAGTATAAGAGACTTATTTTTAGTCCTCTATCTATATTTTTCTTGATGCTTTTAATTGACCTTGTCTACTTGGATAATAGATGATTTTGAATTAGTATACTGGGCTTTGGCGCTTATGTATGAATTTGCTATCAAAGGTACTATATATAGTCGATTTAAAGCTTTTACTTTTGCTATTTTATTAATCGGATACTAAATTTTGTTCCTTACCATCATGTCCAGGGGTAGCACTAGATGAGTTCAAGGAGATGCGAGGCATATGTAGATCCATTAATGCGTTGCTAGCTGCAGACGAGGCATATATCTCTAGGATTGTGCTACGGACTCTCAAGTTCATGATGCTACAGGATGGTACGCGGAATATGCGTATAAGAGTGTAATAAAAGATAATTAGGAAAAAAAAGAAAAGAAAAGAAAAAACAAACAGAAAGATGCTGACAAAAAAAACTCTTTTTTTATATTTCTCAAGATGCGTTTCAGCTTCAAGCTTTGAATGCAGGGATCGGCTTCAGACTAGGAAAATGTCTAGCGTCCAAGGACGACGATGTCAAGTACTGGGCACTCAGTATCGCTCACGAATTTGTTCTACACTCCCAATGGCGACAGCAGTTTATAGAGACTGGCGCATTTGGACAAGTCATCAACATCGGACTCTCATCTGTTTCGAGGAAACCACTTAAAGCTGCAAGTGAGATTTTGCCAGCCAAAGAGTATATCATGGATATTCTCGTGATAATTTGGGGATCCAGTATGTCTAGCTATGCTACCTACTATGTGCAGCATTACATCAAGGCATCATTTAGCCGGCTCTATTTCGCTTCAAGATACACATCTAATGCCTATGCTATTTTCTTTCTATTTTTCCTTCTTTATATATTGCGCGGAACGACAGGAAACCATCTGGAACTACTTTTAGGCATGCGGGGGCTCGCCGAGGCTACCTGTGTATTTTTGCAGATGGAGAAGCGGACAAGCGACTTGTCACAAAGTCGGCTAGCAGCAGTGATGGCAGAAATCGCCAGATTCACGCGTAAGTGATAATATACCTTTTTACTTTTTTATACATTAATCAAAGAATCATCAGTACACTAAGCAGCCTATATTCGCTCTCTTTGTTGTCTACACTATTAGCCACGTTGGACCGCAAGTTGACTCGATATGGCGTTAATCTTAATGTGCTTGATAGATCACCCAATAGTTCTGGAGTTTTGATTACTTAGAATAAAAACCATACCAAAAGAGCGTGCTTGTGTGATATGAAGCACCGCTCCTATATATTTTGACCTAAAACACGATATTTTTCTCCCCTGGTTGGATAGGCTAGGCTCGTCATTATCCTGAGGACGAAACTCGTGTGCATACGTAGACTCGTCATCATCCTAAATAGTGGAGCTATGATTCAGATCCAAAGATACGATGTTTTCGTTTAACTTTATTTTGTCATTAACCTCTTTTGTATGACAAACTTTGACCGCGCGACAGAAACGTAACAAAAAAGGTCGAATCATTTATTTATGGCTCAATTTAGACAAAGGTGGAAGCGACTCTGATTGTTTCGTTAATGTGTATAGCCACTATAAGGCTGTATTATAAAGCCATTGTGATCCCGAAGAAGAGTGCAGCAAAGTTTGAAGGTCATTTACTTGCGCAACAATGGTAACCTCGGCCTCCATGGTATATTTAAAACATGAGATTAACAATGTAATATTGCTATTATCAGCACTCGAATTATTCAACTACAAACTCAGGAGTTTCCACCTTAGATTGCAACAGAGGATAGTGGCGGAAGAGGAGGAGGAAAAGGAAGAGATGTAATTATCATTTGCAGTTGTATTCCATCCGAGTTGATCTCAGACTGGAAGGTACAACTGTAGGATGAGGTTTTCTACATAGTTCGCATGTGTGGGAGCTAGGGTGCCTCCGCCCCTACATATGTATGATGGAGAGCATAGACGCATAGGTACTGTGTACTGCTTTTTGATCCAATATGTCTGCTACACTTCGATTCTTTGTTTGGCAGACTATTAGAGAGGTTCAAACACTGCTTCAAGGTATGCTCTCAGTGGTCATTGTCTACTTTTGGATAAAGCATTATCGTCAATGGCTTTGTGTTGTCAAAGCTATAGCATATCCTAGGTTTTCTAGCCTATTAATGAGTGGCGTACTCAGCTACGACAAACCAGCTGTGCCTTTACTTAAGCCTCTAAGCCTGCAACATCGTACCATAGTTAATGAAGCATATAGATAGGGTTTGGGATACCGTCCCAAACCCTACTCAGGACATATTGAACTATAGTGGAATGGATCCTTGACCGGATTGACAATGAAGATTGGGATTGGAGAGCAATGAGTACCCTATCATAAATGTGATCTATTGAACAGGGTTTCAATGGTACACCAACATCAAATATCAGGTTTCTTGAACGTGTATGTTAACAGCGGCATGACACTTTAAAAAACTATATAAACTGTTCTCTTTGAATGAAAGGAAGAAGAAGAATCAGATGGTATATACTTATTTTTATGACCTGGTAGATGTATGGCACGACTGGTTCGAGATGTGACAAGAGGTATGATTCATAATTGCACGCACGCATCTAGATATATACCTCAATCATCTCAACTGCGCCTTCGGGGCGATGCCCTTTGATAAGATGGATATTGAAGATAGACGACCAATGGAGATAGAAGCCTCATTTATTGATATATATGTTTGCAAAGAGTACGCCCTTGAAGTCATTGAGGCCTACATGTGCCACATCAGCTAACTCTCTAACGAGGCGATTGTACTTCGCTAGTCCGATATCTCTTCCTTAAATGTAAACAATCTGGAATCCAAGAACAACTTCAACAACGCCTGTGGCAGGATCTTTTTGATGATAACAAATCTACCATCTATAATGTCGGCTCTATGATTTGCATTCAACGACGATAACGCTGAATCATGCATTTTGTCATCAGGATTTTGACCTTGGACGCGTTTCAACTAAAACAATAATCCACTGTGTGTCAAAATGGCTTTTTTTCCTCTGCGTAAAATACTTTATACAGGCGTTACTCCAAGATTTTAAACGGATTCTTTTAATAGTTATTTTAAACCAAAGTCAATAAGCTTCTCTTTTGGCCACTCTGAGAGTGCTTACTTTCTAGCATTGCACTCTTCGATTGTATATTGAACGGTTTATTTCCATTCATTTTTATGTGGTACGTATTAATGTCAATTTGATATGGCAGGTATAAACATTGCTTATTGGCAGGAGTTCTTAGTTTTTTTTTTTAGGATCGTCCCATAGTGATTCTGCTAGTTCTCGTGCCTTAATCTTTTTATCTCTTCACCTCCACTTTCTTTCTCCTTCATCTTCTCTCAGATGTGTATAAAGGCCTCTCCAAAAAAAAAAAAAAAAAAAAAAAAAAAAGCTATTAAATTTTATTGGTATTGCTTTTTGCGTTACTTTGGGTAGGGAGAGAGGAAGTGGAAGTGGAGCTGCAGAGATTAAAAGTCGATGTTTGTACCTAGACTGAGAAAAAAAAGATTCGCCGTCACAACGTCGGCGGCTTTGGATACGGGTCTATGGCAAGAATTCATATTGAGCACAAGTTCCCCCTCTGAGTCAAGCCTCTTTCAACAAAATCAGCCAAAATGGTATTGTGTAGTGAAAAATAGGATTGCATTCATCCAATGGTGAACAGGAGAGGTCAAGGCAATCCATCAATTTATTAATGCATCCATCAGCAACTACCATATATCATGATAAAAAAAGAAGGAAGCTGCAAAGGACATTTCTTACATCGATGACTTTGCTTATTGGCAACAGGCGGAACCTCTGTTCATTGTCACCAACTGCAAACATGAACCAACCTAAACTTTTTGCAAACAGTGAATGAAGCATAATCATCTGACTCTTTTTCAGAGCTATTTCGAAATGATGTGTTAAGGACAAAAGCGTTACAGGATACAACGTTCCAGCTTCTTTACTCTTGTTGAACAAAGACTATGAGTCCAACACTTATTTTACAGCATCAAGGAGGATAGGAAAAAGAAAAAAAAAAAAAAAAAAAAAAAAAAAAAAAAACGTAAAAACATTAACCAATGAACATTAAAAACCTCTACATCGCCAACTTTTGCAAGGCATGGACATTACAACCTTTGAAGGATACATGCAAGGTTTATGATTGAGCGATTTTAGACGACAAGAAATCTACTTCAATCAGCTTTTGTAAACGATTTTGACATGATGTACAGATGGATGATCTTAACAGGAAAAGTCGGGATTTCATTATTACTTCTCTTCCTCAGCCATCACTAAACATTTCCTACGACCTCCTCCCTTTTTTTTTTTTTTTTATCATATCATGGTACTTTTGGTCGAATCTTGATACTTTTCAGGTTAACGTTCCTAAGACCAGAAACACCTACTGCAAGGGCAAGACCTGCAAGAAGCACACTGCCCACAAGGTCTCTCAGTACAAGACCGGCAAGGCTTCTCTCTTCGCTCAGGGTAACGTCTTTTTTTTTTTTTTTTTTTTTTTTTTTTGGAATAAGAACAATAGAAATAAGCAGCAATAACAACTCAAAGAAAAAAGAGGATATAACGAAATGCGAAGTCGCAACAAAAAAAAAACAGGCAGCTGAAACCCCCATGTCTTCTATGGTCTTTTTCTTTTCTTTTTTTTTTTCCCCTCTTTAAACAGGAAAGCGTCGTTACGATAGAAAGCAGTCTGGTTATGGTGGTCAGACCAAGCCCGTCTTCCACAAGAAGGCCAAGACCACCAAGAAGGTTGTCCTTCGTCTTGAGTGCCAGGTCTGCAAGTACAAGCACCAGATCGCTTTGAAGCGCTGCAAGCACTTCGAGCTCGGTGGTGACAAGAAGCAGAAGGGTAAAACTAATACTTACAAAAAAAAAAAAGGTTAATATTTTAATAATAGTTCTTGTCTTCTAACTACTTTTTTTTTTTTCCTTCATTCTTTTAGGCCAGGCTCTTACCTTCTAAATGCCATAAAAAAAATACATTATTGCGATCATGTTCAGCCTGTGTTTTATTTTTTAATAAAAAAATCCACCAGATTGGGCACGTCTCCTCCTCCCTTTTCTCTCTTTCTTTCTCATTCGTTCATGTGCGAAGTGTATTTTAAGTTTTCTTTACTTTATATGAAGTAAAAAAAAAAAAAAAAAAAAAAGTGGTACTAGTAAATAGAAATGCATTTATTTATATGTAGATATTTACAGCTTCTTCATGTCTGAATGAATTCAAACCGATACTTCGCTTCCCCTTCTGCGCCAAAGATATGTTGTCGTGCAATTAACCCTCGTTTTTGACTTTGCACAAGTGTCTCGCCCTCTGCAGGGGCGCTAGAATAACTCTCTACCTCTAATGGTACGTGTGTTCCTGTGGTCCCGCTGCCTCCAGAAGAGGTATTGCTGCTCCTAATACTGCCACTTTCTCTTAAAGTGTGTGAGAGTGAAGAAGAAGGGAGAATAGCTTGTTGCTCTTCCTGAGTCATCATCATCTCTTTAAACTCCTCTTCGATCTGCTTCATCATCTGTACATCTTCTTCCACAGGCCAATCGCGAATTGTGAGTGGATATGGTAATAATGCCAGTCGCTTGAATAGATCAGACCCCATTTTGAACCCAGCCTTGGCCTCTTCTCGTGCCGGACTAGAGTTGCTATTCAGCTTTGCATTCAAACACGAGACACGCAAGGCGGCCGTGATCGCATGATTGACCTTGGCTTGAATTGAACACCAGTTTGGATATGAATCCAACATCAACTCCAAATGGTGAAGGAGTACATTCGAGAGTTGCGTGCAGATTTGATGGGCTGTATTAAAAAACTCTGGATCGTGAGTGCACTGACGTTGTGTTGATGGGTTTGGTTGTGTACCAAATGAGATAAACGGTCCAGCTGCAGAAAAAGACGGCGATGACGATGCAGTTATAGGTTCTTCGGTTGCAGGCTGTGGGCTATGGCTCTTGACATTGGTGCTACTATTACCACTACCATCTCTTGATGTGCTGGCCTTGACGGGCGATGCATGAGATGAAGTATTGCTGCGAGATGAAATGTATTGTTGAATAGGCAGATACGATGATTGTAACATAATGGTAATAGTATAATAGGACATGATCATGGTGCCTAGATAGAAAAAGATAATGCAAGGAGATACTTAATCTCTTGAACATTCAGGTATTTCTTTCTGCTTTTTGCTTTTTGCTTTTGCCCTCTCTTCATCCTTTGGACAACTTACCCATCTTGCCATTCACCTTGTGGTTAACGTCCTCACTATCTACGTCTTGCCGGAATCTCATATAATCCGGCAACGCCTTCTCCCAGGCAATCAAGTCTGCCTGTAAACTCTGTAGTTCTCCATCCTTACGCCATGCTTGTTCAGACCATTGACTTTGAACTCCCAGATTATTGTTACTCTCGTCTCCATTACCTACAGGGGTTGGTGTCGCTGCTGTTGCCTCCGCATCTGCTTCGTATCGAGGTGAAGAAGTTGTGGAGCTATTCGTAGCTATAGGTGTCTGGCATGCTGAACCTGATGCTGGGACGCCTATGAGATTTACGCGACCCGCGAGGTAGTATGCGACACGGCGGCCTAATGTCCATAGTCGAATCTCTTCCAAAAATAGTAAGCGAGCGTATGAGCCACCGTCCGTGGTATCTTCTTCTGCATCTAACAGTTTTTGCATACGTTCCATGTGAATGCTGAGCTCTTGCTCCTCCGGAGCGACTAATGATGATGTGGATCCTGTGTTGCCAGCAGGATAACGTAAATGGTTAAGATGACCACCACGCTGGCACTGCTGCTCTAAAATTTTGGGTGAGAGTACTTGGAACTGTTGATGAGGTCCGCCGATACTTTCTCGGATTCTGCCTGGAAGACTATATCCACTGGCAACGCTTCTAGGCCCACCCACTCCAGACAGTAACGGAACCCGCGCACTCTGCTCTCGATTTTGGTCAACCGGATCATCGTCGGTGTCATCAAGAATGTATCCGAAAGTACCTCTCTTATTGTCCCAATGGCTTCCTTGAGCATCCTCTTCATTATCTTCATCGTCTTCTTCATCGCTATCAGGTGCTGTGTTACGATAACCTGGTGGCGGGTTTGCTGCATTGTGTCTCTTCTCCGGTGGCTGTTTCCAGTCTCGTCTGTAAGATAAATCCCTTCGCTTTCCGATGACATGCTGTTGATGCTGCTGCTGTTGTTGTTGTTGTTGTTGTTGCTGCTGCTGGTGATGGCTTGGTTTTGGCTTTCCACCAAACCCAATGCAGCCCTCAATCTTCGGTAGCTCAGCCGTGATGGCCATCGAGTCGATTCCATGTGGCCATCCGAAGTAGAGCCTAGAAATCGAATCACGCACATAGAGGCCCCAAAATGCCCAGAGCCTTGCTTGATATGCGGCCTCAGGAATGATACCCTTGTTAGACTGGATAGCTTGACTCTCTGCCTGAAGATTTGGGATGATATTTTTTGGTGATACAGATGCTTGAGGGAACGGCTGAAATCTCTCACTTTCTTCCTGCTGTTGGTCCTCTTCTCCTGGTGTGCCAGCATGTCTGGTGGTTAGTGTATGGTAGGCACCACAGACTTGTACTAGACCTACGACTGCTTTGAATACACCATAAATAACTAAAGAGCCGAGGAGAAGGCCCTGCATCCTACTTAGACGGACCTTGGCGTCAATATAGAATTGCAGCTCTAAATTGGCCGTGTATTTGACGGGCGACAAAAATAGTAGAATACTTTAGAGTTTGTCCTACGGTCGCGTCGATTGAGGATTGAAAGTTTTTTTTTTTTTTTTTTTTTTTTTTTTTCTTGACATTGTATTTACCTCTTGCTCGTTCTCTAAACTGAATGGCGCGCTTGATGTCGCTTGTCCTTGCCAGATGCTTACAAGCCGTCATAAAAACAATGTTCAACAAAAACAATGCCTGAGGAGTTTGCGGCTCCATCAGATGCAACTCTACAATTGCACGGTTCACCACTGGATAATAGAAATGAGCATGCTGGAGGTCGGAATAAAAAATAAAAATAAAAAAAATAAAAACACGCACTCGTGTTGTCAGCATAATAAGGGAAAATATATTGGACATATGATTCATATTTTCTCACATACCTCAAAGAACGCGTCAACCAGATAGTTGGCATCCCTTGGCAACAACGTTAAATGACTGGGTATTTCTTTCAGGCCATCGCCGCCGTTTGTTAGAGTTGCTGTTGACTGCAATATATCACTGGCAATAAAAAACTCGTCCTGCTCCTGTGAAATGTGGCGTGGGAGCAAAATGCTAAAATCATACTTTTTGATTGCAAGCATATCTCGTGCGATCTTTTGCATCCTCAATGCTTGTTTGATCTCCTCCTCTGTCGGTGGAGGCATGACCACCTCCTCTTCTAGTGAAGTAAAAGGCGGTTGCATGGAAGGATGACTGTGATGGGAGCGGTAAAAACGATGGACTCCTGGATATAGCGCAGGAATCTCATTGGTGCCCTCCAGGTTTGCAGCACCTTCTAAAGAAGTTGATGATCCAACGACAGAAGGTGGGGCTGCAGACGCATAGATAGCGTTATGGCGCGAATCATCGACTCCTTCAGGCATCAGTTGTTGGAATGCATCCTCAAATGCTGGATCATACCCATTCTGACGCGAGTGCCGGTGATAATGTTGTATATCAGGGTCGCGACGCGGGTGCTGTTGCTGCTGCTGTTGCTGTTGTTGCTGTTGTTGCTGCTGGGTATAGTGTGGTGTTGTGGCGACATGATTTGATGCCCCCCCTGCGCTGGCGCCGGTCGAAATGAGGAGCCTAGTTGACTCAGAAGCGGCGGAAGCTGGCGTAGTGGATGAATTGATTACCCCGCTTGAAGAATATCCAGAAGATAACCCGAGAGCAAGACCATCGTAACTGGGGTACGTGGCTTGAAATAGATTGGGGCTCTTGGGCTGTGAATCCGGAGGAGATTTGGTGTAACATGATTGCTCAGAGCTTCTCTCGTTGTGCTGATATTCACATTCATTCTGCAGCCCTCGCCTACTCTCTTTATCCAAGACCTCATAAGATTGATGCTGCTGCTGCTGCTGTTGCTGTTGCTGTCGCTGTTGTTCCTGCTGCATCAGTCTTTGTGTTTCTTGAGATTGTGAATGCATAACTGATGATGAGATTGAGTGATTCGCCGAATCCTGTTGCCAAGATGTTCGAGGCTGCTGTTCTGGAGGTGCAGAATGCTGTTGCGATCCACTTGTAGAACTGCTGCCGCCAAGGATCCATGAATTTCTAATGGAGGATATGAAACTCAATTGACTAGATCCTCTTCCTCGGGACTGACCAGAGCGTTCGCTGTTCCCATCTGCAGCAGCTGTAGATTGTGCTTGCTTCGGAAAGAGCCGTACAGTGCTTCGGGGGCCAGGATGAGCAACACGCAATGCTTTAGAGACCTGTCTTGATTGTGATGACAAGACCTGCTGAGCTCTCTGGAAACCCATCTGCTCAGCTGAATTATAGCCAAAAAACAATGGATGAGGACCAGAAGAAGCTAATGCATAGGAAGGCAAGATTGCACCTCCTTTGGATGCACTGGGTCTATTGGCAGGGACACCCAAGAGCTTTTCTTGACTAAGAGGCGAGTCACCCCATATGGTACGTGAGAGCTGCGCATCTGTGTATAAGCAGTCGACATTGTTTTTTTTACAGTTGGAGCAGGGTATCCCACTATCACATTTGCGCTAGCCATCATAAAAAAATAAAAAAAATAAAACGATGAAATAAAGGGCAACAGGTAAAAGAGTGAAGTAAGAAACACAGTATGAAGGTGGACAGCCTATAAAATAGCAGAAATAGCTCATTGCTTCGTTATTCGCTTACCTTGTTTTGACGACATCGATTGCAAGATGTCGCGACCTTGTGTCTCTTGCGAGCCTTGCCTGGGAGATGTGGAAGAGAAAATTCCACCTGTGTCCGAGGTGCCCCGCGAGCGCCTTCGAGGTGTACAGCAGAAGAATGGTCCATACGGTCCATATGAAACATCGTTTCTGGACCTATGACACCAGATGTGGCTGCAGATCGAGCATTAAAACCGAGGGTTCCCGAATCAGCAACCGGGGAAACACCAGGAAGTCCTTTATCCAACCGTGCATTAGTACCAGTCTTATCTATAGGGAGCTCATGCTGCTGGTAGGACACTTGTTGGGGATGCTGTTGCTGATAATGCTGCTGTGGTTGCTGTTGTTGGTGATGATGCTGCTGTTGCTGCTGCTGTTGTTGTTGTTGCTGGGCTGCTTGCGTATTTAATGCAGGAGTTGTCCAGGTTGCCGAGGATAGAGGCCCGGATGCCGACATAGAAAATGTTGTAGAGCTGAATATTGGGAAAGACATTGAGATAAAGCCAAGCAACACTTGATGAGGAGATAATTGAGTATGAGCAAGCAGAAAGTGAGGTGGCTGAGATATATAGGAGATATGAATAAACGTCTACAATCAATGATCCAACTGTTTATGAAAACTCAAATGTCTGATAACACCTGCAAGAAAAGATCGGCGTGTGCGTGGTGGAAGCTTGTAAAAAATCTCCATGCCAATCGCTTTAGTGAGAGAGATTAATATTTAAACGGGGACATCGTAAGAACAGATGCAGGCGATAAGGCAAGATGTTGAAATGCGAGCGATAATAATAAAATAACACTAACCTGTAATAATATATAATAATATTGTGACAAATACAAAGATTGCCACAGTTGTATTAAATGATCGGAGTAGAAGAAATAGAGGATGCAGGTGGGGGAAGAAAGGATGCCAATATCAGCAATGTTAGTGGATAGAGTGAAAGGGAGTTGAAGGGAAAGGAAGAAAGGGAGGAGGAAAAGAGGAATAAAACAGCCTTTTTGCCATGCGGTCCATCGGTGTCAATCCTTAATTAAAAGGATTAGGTTAGGATTAGGATATTAAGATGCATTTTTATCGACTCAAATTAAACAAGAGCATAGTTTTACTTGCATTCCCGCATATAATTCCATGCAACAAAAACGACAACAAAAAAAAAAAAAAAAAAAGTAAAAAAAAAAGGCGCCCCATATACAAAATACACAGCTATGTCCCAGGGATATGAGATAGAGTACTGTCTATAACACAACATGGTCAACTGCTATTGGAGCTGGTACTGGATAACTTAGAGTGCTTCATCGGGTTCGAGATGTACACCCTTATACTTTATTCCTCTAATACTAAAAATGAGCCCATAGATCGTTTTACTTTTTCGAATTTTATTATTGTTATTTGCAATGGAGTACTCTGTATACACTTTGCCAATCCATCAGTCGAACTACATAAAGGAAAAAGAAAGGGTTGAGTGGGTTATCACCTCCTTTGGGTGCTGCACTAGAATAGATCCCTATCCTCTAGATAACACTCTAAAACAAGCGCCTTTACATCGCATTGTTATGTACAAACATCAATCATCAATGTATACAACAGCCCAATTGTATTAATCGATTCAAACTTGAGAGACACATCCATATGCCTTTACACAGAAAATACAGCTCTCTTACCATCAGCCTAGATGATTGATTCTATAATAAAGTATATACTGTAGTCTATATTGCCTCTCAAACGAACTACATCGTTGCCTGCATTTTCTAATGAACAAAAAATATCAGATGTGGATATTTCTTTCGTACGCAATTGAACGGTGCATTGAATTTGTAGTTGACCACTCTGCAAAAGCATGAAACATTTTCTGCTCCAAAATGCGGGCTCGTTTCCTCTCCTGTGCCTGAATATGTTAGAATAGAGAATGATCGATAAGAAAATTAAGGACAAAGAATGTCAACTTGTTTGTGCACAATGACGTTTACGATTGGCTACCATCCAATTGGCTGTCTTTGTGCACGTCTCTTTTTGTTTCTTTCTTCATGACCCTTGATAGAAAGACGTGCGTGCCGTCTTCTGTCCGAACGCGCTCCTTTCCCTTTTTTTTTTTTTTTTTTTTTTTTTTTTTTTTTCATATTACATTTTATTTTTATATTATGCAAGTAAGTTAACAATAGTATTTGTGTATGGAAGGGCTGGCGCGAAAAAGAGAAGCAGCTTACACGCGACAGAATGGCGGGAGAGGAGGGAATTGATGCCCCGAAGGAGACGAAAGTTACAATGTAGAGTGCTTTATTAGTACCCTCCACCATTGTAATATCCACCACCCCCTCCACCTTGGTAAGGAGGTCCTTGATTGGGATAGTGTGGGCTAGGCTGGGGTGGGTAATCAGCAACGTTGTTATAGCCGGCCTGGCCCCAGCCGTTAGGGGGTGCAATGGAACTCATGCGTTTGTTAGCTGCAGCTTTGAAGCTTGGGCTGGGTGGATAGTGAGGGCCTCCTGGAGCTCCATGCTGGGATCCTTCATACCGTCCCATCTCCACGCAGTGTCTTGGGAAGACTCCTTTGATATCACCTCTCGTGTTGTTAATTCCCATGCACCAGCCGTCATCAAACTCTTGCAAAATGGTTACTGAGTCGCCCATGCACATTTCAATTTCATCATCCAACGTGGGTGTGTATATATCAATGACTGTATAGGTCCCAAGCGGCTTAGTTGGGGTCATCGGTAGGCTCTCTTTTGGAGAGGCAACAGGCTCTGGCAATTTAGCATATGGATTATTGTTATTGAACTGAGCTGTCTGCTGAAGCAAGGCAGACGCCAAGTTCTTCTTTTTACGATGGCGACAGAAAGCAAGTCCTCCAAGAGCAAAGACGAAGAACCCTCCGACGGTTCCTAGACCAATAAGGACCTTGGTAGAGACCGTAGTAGGGACACTGTCATCATTCGATCCTGCAGCAGGTGATGTGGTTGAAGGAGCAGCTCCAGAAGTATTTGTAGGATTTGAAGCGCCTCCACTCGACTGTGAGCGATTAGTGCCTCCGCCTGCCGTAGTGTGAGAAGGGCGTGGTGCAGCCGCGGTGGTAGTTCTGGCTCTGGTAGCGCTAGTTTCCCTTGGGGGAGGAGGAATAGGTTCAGGGTCAGTAGGACGTGGAGTCGGAGTTGGTTTTGGTCTGTCCGGCGAAGGTGTTGTTCTGGGATTGTTTGGGGAGTGAGTGGGTGAAGATTCCTGGCGCTTTTGGATATTATGTATTTCTCCAATGATAACATCACCCATATCTTCAATAGTATTCGCACTGATTACATTGACAGGCGCTGCTTCTGTGGTAAAAACGGAGGCGGTGCTAATCATCGCCACGATCGCAGCAATGGCGAACATCGCCTTTGTTGATGTATTGGCTTTCATTCTTGTTCTAATAAATGTGAGACAATTAATAGAATGAGGTTAGTGGTTAGTGATGTTAGGGCAAGGCGCTATAGAGAAAGAGAACGCTCAGCCCCTTTTGTGTACCTTTTTTCTGTCTAGAATATAAATGCGGTTTTACAACGCAGTCAGGGCCAGCTGAGCTGTCAAAGAAGGAGACTCTTGGGTATTCTGATAAAGAGAAGTATCAAGAAAAAGAGCAAACTGTGGCTGTCGATGTGTCCAAAGTTAGATAAGAGTGAAGGAAAGGACCTAGATGGAGTATGTAGGGTGAGAGAGTGTGAGGGTGAGAGAGAGAGAGAGAGAGAATACGGAAGGGAAAGCCTAAATGGAAGGCCACAGGAAGGGATGGTGAGTAAGAATACACCACGAATCGGAAGAGGGAGGAGGGATGGCAGCGGAGAAGAAGGATAGAAAAGAAACTCCAAGTAAAAAGAAGAGAAAAGAAGAAAGAAAGAAAAAAGAGGGGAAAGGTAAGAATGAAATGAGAATGAGGAATAGAAGGTCATGATGGCGACTAAAGAGTTCTGTCCCCAACCCTCTGTTTCTCCAGACAGAAATCGAGACTAAAGTCTGTTTTACCTATTGCGATTTGTTGAATGCTCTTTTTTTTTGCTCAATTTTTCCAGCGCTCCTCTCTGCCGCTTACAGTGCATGTGGACTTGCAGTAGCGCTTGTCACCCTATCAATTGAACTCGACTAAAGACAACCAATGCAGCACATGTCTCTCTATTTCTCTTTTCTCCCATTCTCTTGTCTTGTTCTGTATTAAAATCCATGTCCGGGAATGGGTTGGTTGTATAAATATGTCTGGCTGCTGGCTCCTGGCTTTTTAGCTCTCATGCCCAACCGAAAATAAAATTTCATGACCCTTTTTCATGTTGATGCGGTCCATCTCCAGTTGCAGGACACATGAACCATCCCTTCCCGCTCTCAGTCGCACCCTCTTTTCTCTTCTCTGTTTTTGCTTTCTTTTTTGGTCTCTCTCTCTCACTCTCTCCAATCTCTCTCACGCTATCACTTCCTCGTTGTGCTTTTTTTTTTTTTTTTTTTTTTTGTTGTTGCTTTACTCGTCTCTTTCTTGTTCTCTTTGATAGCTTACGAAAGAAACGTATGTGATCAAGGTAAAAAGATGTCCTCTTTCCGAGGAAATGTCTGCTTAAACATTTATAATTACCAAACCAGAAGTATTTTGTAAATGGAAAAGTCATTCTTCGGTATTTTTTTTTTTATAGAGTGTGAATTGTGCCAATAGTCAACAGTAGCAAGGTTTACCTAAACCGAGCAAGGTTTAAAATGAGATTAAAGTTTTTATTGCATTATTTTTGCACAACCAAGTTAGCATGGAGACACGAAAATAAAATCCATGTTTACCCTTGAGAAAAAGCTCTCAAGTCGCATATCTCTCTTTTTGACAGTCTAACATGATGAGAGCTTAAATAACTTGGTTTCTTAAGGCCCTTCGAGTGCATCTTCTAGATTGTGAGATTGTAGATAAAAAGTTAAATGGTGGATACCTTCTCATAACCAGTGGTTAATCAACATGATGACGTAGGATAATGACTGTGGATCAACTTGTAAATTTGGTCCCAACATCACGTTTGCAGTATTCTTCAAGACCGTATCTACAAAACACGACCATCCTGGAGTATAAGAATGTAAGTGGTTGTAAGAGGGACTCCTTTTTGAAACACTCAAACTATTGACGAACCTGGGGAGGCAACGTATTTGACGAACATAAAATACCGGTGATTAATATCGAGACCGGATGTTAGAGGACCGATAAATGAAGAGATCCCAGATTCAGAGGTATGAGAGATGAGAGAGATAGCTCTTCTATTAAAACACAAATCAGTGTTGCTGTTACCAATGCAAAGATGTGCACACATTCAGACTTTGGTGAACGAAGGTTGAGGGGGCAGATATGCATTTACTTTTCTCCTGTTTTCGTGGTTTCTTTTTTTACAAAGTCGTTTATATATATATAATTCGGCAGGATCATAAAGAACCCATTCCTTGTTTCTCCACACAGGAAACATACCAGCAGTTATAAATATTATTTATACTAAACAATGAACAATGAACTAGTCTAGTAGGCTATTTGGCTTTTCTGATCGCCCATCAAGTCTATCTCCAACCAACATGTTCACATTTCTGATGGTGTAATAAGGATAAAAAAAGAGTGCATGGGCTGCCTAGAAGCCGTTTCTATTAATATCTACAAAAAAAATAATACGGAGTAACAAATGCATTACACGTGCGTAAAAGATAAAGTTCTTTGTACCGGAAATAGACAGGAATTGATTGGAGAACCGCAAGTGGATTTGATCATTTCATTCGCTTTGTGTGTAAACTCCTAATCCAATAACAGGTGTATCATACTAAACTAGTACGTAGAACAACAAAGATAACGGGGCCGATATACACTGTTGTCTCAACTCACGAAATCGTGATTTCAAAAAAGCTACTATAAGAGAAACTAGGTCAAGTGGGCTCTTCTTTTTCAGAACAGACCTCTATCTTCAGAACTTTTTTTGTTTTTTTTTTTTTTTTATCCAACAACAATAAAAAAAACCCTTACCTTACTTCTAACTTGAAGTCAAGCATGAAGTGATAGGCATATTTTTGAATCTTGCCTTTCCTTTTATTAACAGGATATGAATGTTCTGAGAGTGTTAGGTATGTATTGAATATAGTAAACCTATTCAATAACATATTAATAAGTTGATAATAAACCAATGCTCAATAGCAGGTACATGTACCGAAGATAGAATATTTTTTTTTCGTTTCTACAAATATAATATATATGTATATATATAATTTGTTTTATTTACATTATTTACAGATAAAGTAAAAACAAAGAGAGCTGGAATGGATTTGAGCTCTCTGCAATACATCCCAGCTTGCTCTCAAAAAATAATTTTAGTTACTGGGGAAAAGATATGGAGAACAGATCATACATGCTGCATGTGTAACTTTTTTTTTTTACTTTTCAAGGGCCCCATTTTTGTCAGTTCATCTCATTTCTTCTTTTTTTTAAAAAAATAAATAAATAAAATAAACAGGTGCTTATTCGTCTGCTTTTGCTACTGCCACAAAAGAGAGGATGACAAAGAGACAAAGAGAGGAGAGAGAAAGAGAGACCAAGTGAGTGGATGAGTAAAAGTGAGAATAAGATAGGGGGAGAGCTGTGGGCGTCAGTGCTGCCCAAAAGCGTGTTGGAAGAAGGTTTGGGCCGAATGGTAAGCAAACAGACAGACAGATTTCTATTACTATTATTATCACGATGAACGATTTTATTTTGACAAGCGCTGCAGTTTTGGAAATGAATTTGAACTGCTCCAATGGCGTGTTAAGCTGTAAAATTTATTAGAGTTCTGGTTTGCCTGAGACATGTAAACAAATCACATACTTGCCGGTCTCGCCCCCTGCCCCTCTCGAACCGTTTATTAACCAGCTCCTTTCGCTTTTTTTTTTTTTTTCTTTTTTTTTTCTTCTTCTTCTTTGTCTTTCATCGTACCTCCAGTCTCTCTTCATACTTTAAACACTCCTAATACCTATATCCCCCCTTCACCATGTTCATCAAGTCCGCTGTCGCTGCTTTGGCCCTCGTCGCCGCCGTCTCTGCCCAGACCTACAACCGCACCTACTTCACCAACCCCGTCGGTGAGGGTATCAGCTACCCAATTGGCAGCAAACAGGTCTTCTCCTGGCAATTGCCCTGCGTTGCTCCCTCTTCCTGGGTTGCCAAGGAGCCCACCAAGGTTCCCGTTCAGTTCTTGAACGCCAACAACGCCGACAACGCTTTCTTCCTCAAGGAAATCACCACTATCGACTGCACCAAGAACTCTGGCAACGTCGAGTGGAACGTTCCCACCGACTACCCTGCCAACGGCAAATACTCCCTCAGAATCGTCGTTGACACTGCCGCTGGTCCTCAGAACGCTTACTCTGGTGTCTTCACCATCACTGACCCCAACACCCCCCCAAGCAACAACAACCCTCCTTCCAACGACAAGCCTGCTGACAACAACAAGCCTAGCAGTGCCAGCACTGTTGCTCCCGCCTTTGCTGGAGCTGTTGCTGTTGCTGTTGCTGCCGCTATGTTCTAAATTAGAGATGAACATACAAGTAGAGTTTAAGAGTGAGATCCGTTTGTAACGAAAAGGATGTCTTTTTGTTCTCTGGAAGAATTTCCTACCTCCTTTTGTGTCCCACCCGGGGTTCACTTTCAAGCTCTGCTTCTCCCATTTTTATTTCATCAAGTCATTGTCATCCCTATTCTCACTTGCCATTAATATCCGTAACCAGTTTTTATAAAACCAAGTTATTAAAGACAATTTATTGTAACATTAAGTATTTCATATGAATATCCATGCACTTTTTGTTGTTTTCATGCAAGAAAGACGGTGAGGCCATTTCTGTTGAATGTCGTGAAGATGATGAAAGGGTACCCCCCAAAAGTAAGCTTAGTCTCATTACTCTTGGTTGCACAAATGAAAAAAGAAAAAAAAAAACAAATGGATTCATTATTAACGGTAAATTGAACAGTTTGGCTGCAACCGGAGGAGACTGTGTATCGTCCAAAAGTATATAAAAATAGATCGATGAACTCATCAGCCATGCTTCCCAAGGAATAACAATCATTTCAAAAACCCCTAATTACATTTCAAGATCATTGACATCTTTATTTTTTAGATGAAGTAGCAATCAGGTTGAAAGCACAAATGGCAACATCGATAATCTACTACATATAAATAATACTATAGTAATCTAAAAAAAAAAAAAAAAAAAAAAAGCAGGCGGCGAATTACCAGGCTTTTTCTTTTGTTGCTCTCATAGTTTATTATCCTACAGGAAAAAAAATGATACCAGATGAAAGGGCTCTTCATGATAAATACAATATAAAATTTCAAGGTACATTTTCCACTCCTCATCTTCCAAAAAAATAAAAAAATAAAAAAACCTTCTTGGCTCCCTATGGAAACTGGCCTTTGCAACCGCACAGTTACGCTTGAGAGAAAGAACTCACGCGAGAAAAAAAGGAAAGCCCAAGTCAATCAAAGTTGTACTACAAAGTGAGCCGTTCCTGAGGAATTTCAAGATGTGTAACAAATATACATGTTACGCCTCATGTTATATATATATATATTATCTACCATTCCGAAACTGTAAAAATACCTCAGTAGTTCTGCTTCACTTCTTTTATTATTATTGGTAATATTAGTAACGGGAAGTGATCCACATACAAGGAAAATTGTTCAATTAAAAAAAGATAAAAAGGGTCATCTCCTATGAAAAATTTTGAAAAAATAAATAAAGGGGCTTCATTTGCATAATCGAAAATTGTGCAGTAAACCCATGCAAAACAATCTCCTGAAATTTAAAAGTTTGTGATTAATCAAATCTACAAAATCACTGTATGATGTGCAAAAGACGTCTCTCATCTTCACTAACAGATACAACTTTCCTGCCCAGGGCAACTTTTGGCGATTTGAGAACGGACGATGGTTAGGTGTGTAGCAGTGGGTAGTCAGGGAAATGAAGGCACTCTTTATCAACTGCATACCAGTTTAACTTTACGCTTTTCTACAGGAAATCCTGTTTTTGACCAGGCATTTGAGGACTACATGGTTTCTCTAAAGAAACGTGATGGGCGAAACGGTCAAAGCAAGCAAAGCCTCGCCATGAGCTACAAGGACTTGACAAAGCTAATGGAACACCTCCAAGAACCAGATGTCATAGCAAAGCACGGCGAAGGGTTGTGCTTGTTTTTTCAAGCATTTGCTGCAACAGGCTTCACTTTGTGGACAAGGTGATATTTCTCGTCAATCTATGTTGTTACAATCCTACCACTCGTCAATAATCTCATTTGATGATGATTGATGCTTTCCCCTATCAATCTAGAAACGAGGAACTACTGAGGCTTAAAGGAAAAGACCTTGATCTTGGTCTTGAGACGGATTGTGGGCGACCATACTTTAAAATCACTCCAACTTTTCGTAAAACAAACCAAGCGAATGCTGAAAAAGGTATTTCATGTCCTCCTGGCTACCATTTCTTTTTATCTGGGACGTATTTTCTGTATGCTTTACTCATCCTTCCTGCATATCCAATACTTATTCCTCTATCCACTTCTTTTAATTTGTGATGATCCGAATGTTTATTAATTTGATAGCCAATATATATGAAATCCATCCACTGCCCGAAGAGCCTCATGCTTGCTGCTATACTAAGCTGCTAACCTGGATCAAATGACTAGAGAAAAATAGCCGAGCGCTCCATCCTGAAGACTTCGTGTTCCCGTCGATGGATAATAAAGGTCGCGTCAAGCTCAAAGAGGCGTTCTCACATCCAAAAATCCAGTCTCTGTTGGATGAATTTACCGATGCTGCAAACCTGCTTACTGAGCGCAGTGGCCGGTACACAGCTCATTGTTTCCGCCGGGGTGGAGCGCAGCATCGCTTCATGTTTGCAAAGGAAAAGTGGTCTCTCAAGGCAGTAAAGTGGTGGGGTGGCTGGTCTGAAGGCGAAGGAGTTGATACAGTTATGCGGTACCTATTAGATGAGTTTGTGCACTATGAGACCGGTTACGGTGACATGCTCTCTCCAATAAAGAATACTAGTCGACACACTAGGTTTATGGGAGAGTCCAGCGCCACAGAACCAGCAACTCTGCAAGCAATGGATACTGCGCTTGACACCCTACGGATTGCTATTAATGCAGATATAAATAAGATACAGCAAGAGATGAAGAAAGAAGTAGCTGATCTTGGAACGGCTATCACTCAGCAGATTCAGTCACTCCTCCGGGGATCTTCACCACCTATAGCTAATCCCATCAATGTTCGACATCTGATGCCGCTACCATCACCGGTGCAGCTTCCCCAAGAAGACATCGATCCGCCGGCAGCATCTAGAAGCCCTGATATCATACATTGAAGAGAGGCGGTTCTGCAATGGGGAGAAGGCGATCCAAAAAAAGGCTTAGTCTTGGCGCTTCGTCACTGGACTCCAAGAATGCGTGCCACGGATCCTTCTGGATACTCTCAGAGGAAGCTAATTGCTACTGAGTTCGCTTTACTAGGCAGAAACCTTGATAATATGAAAGATGCCCATGGTGGAGCTCTCGATTCTGTCAGCAATCTTATTGCCTCTATTCGTGCAAAGAATAAACAGAGAGCACAAGAGATGAAAGGCGCTCCAGCAACTAAAAAAAGACAGAAAAGCGAAGCGCAAGAGACGGAGAAAGAAGAGGAAGAAGAGGAAGAAGAGGAAGAAGAGGAAGAAGAGGAAGAAGAGGCTTTGAAAAGAAAGAAACACCATAAAAGAGCGTAGAATGGTTATATATAATCTTACTGTCGTTCTAAAGATTGCCTAGCAACGTGGCAATAAATATATGTATATATGATAAACATTTTTTTACTTTTTTATAATCTGTCTTTTAAACGAACAATGAAGAACCATCTCGTAAGGGGGGCGACCCATTTATAGAGCTAACATCTAAATAAACCCTACATGACCTATGGGCCCTTGCTGTCAAAAAAAAAAAAAAAAAAAAAGTACTATCCATTCCAGAATATACTTGATGTTCCATTCTCCGGAGAGGATCGCTTTACAGCTGCCATATGTCCATTCTTTTTTTTTTTTTTTTTTGCTATCGAGGACCCACGAGGTTTTTTTTTTTTTTTTTTTTTTTTTGATAACAAGGAACCACGAGGTCAGAGTCCTCAATCATCAAACGTTCCCTTGGAATTCCCTTCGGGTACTGCATGACTATTGCCACAGCAAATAACTGTGTTTAACGTCAGTTTGCCCTTGAGGAATTTTGTGCACTTAAAGGGTGCTGCATTTATAGAGCTTGCTTCTGTAGAATATTAGGTGAGAATATATAATATACAAAGTGTTAAAATGTAGTGACGTGGAAAGATCTGTCAATGATCCCAAAGATTGACAGAAAATGAACAAAATGATAATAAAAAATTGGACGAAGTGCCAAAAGACAAATTCATAAATGGAGAAAGTGCCAAAGGAGGATAATCTGACAAATAGATCACTAAAGGATCATAAATCAACAATGATAGTCCTGGAGAATGCTGCAAAATAGCATCAAAAGTGAAAAGAGGATCTTTAATAAATACTGATAAGAACGAGCTTGACTTAGTAAAACTACAAATAATAATAAAAGTCGCTCACCTGCAAAATAGCATCAAAAGTGAAAAGAGGGATGCTATTTTGCAAAGAAGCCAAAGTGATTTAAATACTAGGATTGATAAAGGAAATAATGATAAAAGTACTGAATGATGATGGAAATAATGAAGAAGAGGATACGTAAATATCAGATTTACGACAAGTAGTGAAAAAATCACTGTCTTAAGAACCGGGGGGTTATACTGAGATGCCCTTAAAAACCGCAACGAGACGCAAATACATAGAACACACTGAAGTGTTGTACCAAGATAAAGGTCTTTATTAGTTTATGATACATATAATACTATACAAGTAACTAGTGCTGAGATGAATGAGGTTGCATACCTGAAGTGTTGTACCAAGATAAAGGTAAGGAACACTTCAGGGACGGAGAGTCCACTATTTATTATAGCGGGGAGGATCGGGTGGCTGAGCTCACGTCCAGGCAGGACGGGGTGGGTTTGAGGGTACCACTATAGGTATACCTCTGGTCCTACCTACCATGACGTCACTTGCTATAGGACGTGAGCTTAAGTTGCCTCGATTTAGGACACAGTAGATGGAAAATCGCCATTGTAGTATAATGGTTAGTATATCTCGTTGTGGCCGAGACGATCCTGGTTCGATTCCAGGCAATGGCATCTTGTGATTTTTAATGTTCTTTTTTTTTTTTTTTTTGAAAGGATTAATCTATTTGGCAGCCCAGTTGCCAAATAACATTCATTATTTACTTGGCAGCCTACCCAGCGTTATTTGGCCTCTAACTATTTTTTTTTTTTTTTTTTTCATTCCTAGGAACCGTACATGTTTATAACGCTCATACTTCAAATTAATAAAGCTCCCGTCTTCTACGTCATAGTTATGTGTAGTGACATTGTCTTGTCTCATTTAGAAAACTAATGACTTTTTTTTTTTTTTTTTTTTTTTTTCAAGTAGGTCGCTCATACAGTTTTGGAGGTGCCATTTGGAGATCAATGCCTATGAGAGGTTTTCGCTCGGAGCAAACGCGTCTCACCTACTACCTAGACGTCTTCAATAAATCATTCCCTAACCGGGTACATTGAAGGCTGTTTTGTGAAGATGTCATCGCCGCTGCCCTTAGTACCTCCGACGGCATTAGCTGTGCAAGGCAATGTATCCACAGAACGCTGCTTGTTTTACCACTGATGTTATGACCCTGTTATCAAAAAAAAAAAAAAAAAAAAAAAAAAAGTCTGTATTTGGCAGCCCAGCTGCCACCCAAGAGTGCGAAGTTAAGTGGCAGCCCCTAGGCTCGTTCCCATCCCTCTTCACTTTATAAAGGTGACAGAAATTCCATTTCCTTTTTGAGTCACCTAAAGTGAAGGGGCTGGGAAAAAATCTTCGCTTATTAGCTGGTAGCTCAAAAAGGAAAAAAATTGTGCACTTGAAGGAATATTTTTCCGTATATGCACTCGATAAAGTGTTTTTTATAGGAAAAAGTACAGTTATTAACTTTATTCTGTGTATATACTGAGTAAATTTCCCTCAAGTGCACAATTTTTTTCCTTTTTGAGCTACCAGCTAATAAGCGAAGATTTTTTCCCAGCCCCTTCACTTTAGGTGACTCAAAAAGGAAATGGAATTTCTGTCACCTTTATAAAGTGAAGAGGGATGGGTACGAGCCTAGGCAGCCCCCAGAAGTAGGCTGCCAAATAGAGGCAAAAATTACTATATTTGGTATGGGCTGCCAAATAATATTTAGCAACTGGGCTGCCAAATTGATTAATCCTTTTGAAAAGGCAGACGTGATCAGTTCTCATTGCCTCGCCACTACTCTTCTGTGTCTTCCTTATTACCCAAAGTTTGATCGTAGCTTCCATTAAATGAACTTTCATTATCCTAATGTCACTCAACATGTATTCCTGCCAAAGCTGGTTACTCCAACAGCCATTTCTTCCTTCCTTGCTTTCCCTCTCTTCTCTCCTTTGTTATTAATGTCTATCTTTTTCCTCTTCTGTTTTATGGGAATGGTAAGAGAAAAAATATCCAATCAAAAAAATAAAATAAAGAAAGGAAATGCATATTATTGATTAAGGTTTCATTAGTCAACGACCGCCTGAAGAAGAAAAGACAGTAAATGGATCAAAAAGGAAAACGTATCGTAACCCTGAGCTTTCAAATGGCATAAGTTCCTGATTGATTACAAGTAAAATCCATTGATGTGTGTAGCTGGGTTTAGTTTTAATTTTTTCAAGATTAATTAACCGCATCAACAAAAAACATTACTCATGGGAATTTTCTGAGACATGTATTTTATTTATTTTAATTATATGTGTTGTATATGTTATTAGAGTATAGTTGTACACGGTGATGAGTCGGATCGAACAATGAGATTTTTGGGGAAGAAGAGTAGCATAAATAGGCAATTATAGTAATAGAATAATATCTCAATTAAATGAATTCATCGTCATCTTGGTTGTGCAAAATCGAGTGTTTTCCACGGTCCTGACCGATTCTAGGTAAAAACATCATCGGTGTTGCATCCGATCCTGAGCTCATAGTGCCACTGACCATATGCGAAGGAAGATCGTAGCGGTGAATCAACGATTGAGCATATGACCACACGACTAGGGCAAAATAAAGCTGTATTGTAGGGAAGTTGGGAAGAAGATAGAAAAAAAAAGAGATTAAATACACTGAATTGCCTGCTTCATGAAATCAATTAGGTATATCCAATGAGGTTCTCTTTTAGTTAAACATTACATGAAGACACCATAGGCCTAGGAGGATAATGATGGAGATACCACCCTCAAACTCAAAGCCCTTTCGAACGTCGTCGCTAATGGGTGTCGAATCTCCGTCCCCATCTGGTTGCGCTTCTCCCAAAAGATGATTTCTTGACATGAACCAAGTCACTGCTAATGCAGTCGTCTGTACTGCATTAATGATTAAGTCCACCACATACGCCAATGCATAACGTCCAACAATTTTTGTGTTGTCCTAGAAAGATAAATAAGTTTTGTTGATATCAAAAGCAATAAATAAAAAAAAAAACTATTTGATTGTTTCGAACAATGATAAAGACATACAAGCAAGACACCATAAAGTCCCCAAGCGAAAGCAAAGGTCGCAAAGACAGAATACAGGTACATGATAACCTTGGCAAGTCCACCATTGGCGAATATCCCAAAGAACCCTGATACTTTGTTTAACTAGTTGCAAGAGAATAAAACAGCGGTCAATAGAAAAATCAAGTGAATACATTGTTTTTTTTGGTTCCATCTTTGTGCGTGAAATGGGTGCATTTGCTGCGCTGCGCTGCGCTTGTTTTGATTTTAGACTTACGATGGCAAATACAGTGATAATAGTCACCCCTGTAGTGTTATTGTGTAAATGAGAGGAAAGAGAAAAGTGCGGAAATTGCAAGGAAAAAAAAAGTGTTAGGTCAGACGGTCGGACGAGAACTCTATTGCTTCGCCCAAAGATGGAATGAAATGAATGGTAACTTGCCTGTCTTGAGTTCTAAGACGCCAAGACACTTGCGAAGGCGAATCATTATGTAAACGTTAGGAGAGGTGTAATTAATATGTCCAGTTGTCAGGGAATCAGGAGCAAGGGCGTTTAGAAAAAAAAAGAGGCTAATGCTAGGGTTTCTTGATGTGAAAATGAGACGAGCGATTAAAAAATGAAGAACAAGATGAAGCAACAAGGAATAGTTGTTGAGAATTAGGTGGGAGACATTTACAGTGACAAGAAGTGAACAGAATGAGAGAAGCTGATGGACGAATCAAGAAAAAAAAAAAGAAAACTAGTTTTGAGGAGTTTGACGATTCGTTTCTCTTATCCCTCGGTCTAATGTCTACACCTAAACATCAGTTGAAAAAGAGTCACGATGTTCTCCTCTCGGCACAACGCTTTTCCCGCATGGTATGCTGAGCACTGAAAATAAAAAATGCGTCACTTGAAAACTCGTTTTTGAGTTTTGGATAAATGCATCCTTCTTCCTCAGCAATAGCCTACATGTACAACCTTTGGATTGGTCCGTCGGATCGGACAAATGGAACAAATAGATAAACAGACAGCATAGGGATGGCCTTAGTAACAAAAAAGACAATGTTCACAACGTCTAAATGCTCTACTTGATTAACTGAGCATACAAGTCTTGTCGAGCTACTTCAGAGGAAGAGAGAGAAGGGAGAAAAGAGAACTTTAATGTAATAGCGTTTCTTTCTATGTAGACTCGTGAAAAGGAAGGAAGGGAAGGAGCAAGCAAAGTGCAAGTGCAAAGTGCAAAGCGCTAGAGCCACTTCACTTCACCTGCATGATTTGGCATCCAATTTCCAAATCGAGCCAGCAATTGGCTTACTGTCTATTGTTAACGACGTAAACGATTTATGAGTTGCATCTTGCTTCTAGGCATGCGTGTCCAGACCGCAAAGAACACCATCAAACAATAAAGAATGTTAAAAAGAAGACTCAATCTTTGGGCAAGCAGTGTGTTTGTTTGTCTTGGTCTATTTCTGTATTAGACTACTGTACTCTCAAGAGGGACATTGAGTTTAAGATGAGATGGATTTTATAATTACACAGCAAAGGAAAAAAACATTACAGAGCCATGTCCATGTAAACCCCTTTTCCAAAAAGATGAGATGACCTTGACGCATGCATTTCGTCTATTTTTCTTTTTTTTTTTTTGCACTACAGAATACAGTCCAGGTGTCCAAACTTCTAAAATACATGTTGACGTGTACTACAAGCAAACCATTCTTGCTTCTAACCTTGACGCGTCAGTGCTGCCTATCTCTTTCAGGCATATTCCTCTTCAAGATCCCATATCAGTTAATGTGCTCGTTACTCTGTTTAAATATTGTAAAAATAAAATAAAATAAAAAACCACTGTACACATGTGTGTACTAGTGAGGAGATGTACGAATCTCTCTTACATCAATAGAAATGCTAAAATAGGATTTGCTTTGCATTGCTCAGGGATTATTGCGCTATGCATCTTTTCCTATTGAAGCTTTTGTTTTTTATTTTTTTCTGTTTACACAAACATCCCATTCATCTGATCCCTGCCACCTTTCTTTCGCTCTCGGCACATGCTCTCGGAGCAATTGCAGGAGTGCTTGGACGCACAGTCAATGCTCTTCTTTCCCTTGCCCCATATCCCCCTGTCCTTTTTGTTCGTTTTGTTTCTTTCTCCCGCTCGATTACTTTTTCTCTTTTTTTCAAGGTCATCCACTCACATTCCTTCTGTAATAAAAAGGTCCAAATAGTTGATTGCCTACTGCTGTTACTATTACTATGGATAGATACAAAAAAAAAGAAAAGAAAAGAGAAAAGTAGACGAGTGAGAGCACCATGACAATACGGCTCATCCAGTGAGATGACTTTCTCAATTGTTACGTCTCCTTGCTCTCTCTGTTTTATACGTTCACCTCCTTCCTCAAATACCTTCACTGTTCTGTTCTTTTCTCTTTCATCCTCTGTCTCTCCTTCTCGTGCTTACTTTCCTCATCTTACTGCCTTGTTTATTGTGTCTCCATATTTCACCCTCTTCTGCTTCATCCTTCTCCCTCGCACCCTTGTTCGTTCACATTTATTCCCATTCTTAACTCTTTCCGCGTTCCCACTCTTACTCCTAACCTTTTCGTAATCGTTTTTACTGCCCTACATCACCTCATAGTTGCGCCAAAATCTTTACTCCTTTCATTATATACGCTTTCTGCGATATAGACTAGCCCTGAACACAGATATTTGTCTCCAAAACCACCTTTCCTGTGGATTCGAAGACCCTTGTCGCACATCTTTACGGCCTGCACAAATCCACACTGTGGTTACACCGATTTTTGCAAGAATCCTCAGGATCCTATTCTTCTAAACCACCTCTTTGAAGCTAAGAAAAAAAAAATGTCTCTACATCATGTGTGCCGATCTCTTTATCGTCATCTTCTCTTGGACCAGTATTTCTCTTCTCATGATTCTGGTTGTTGCTTCCCAAGCTATTTCTATTCCGTAAATCACACAGGACCTTCTTTGTCTTGTTCCATTTGCACATACACTCCTTCTCCATCTTCTATTGGCTCTTTATCCTCTCCCTGTTCATGTTTATCAGACTCCACAGTACAAAAGGACAACACAACTACTAGCGAAAGAGCCACCTACATCTCTAAAAGTATGGACGTCATTGGAATGAATGATTACTTTAGTAGCGGAGTCAGATCGACTCTCAACATGTCCAAGATACAAAACTCAGAAGCTACAGAAACCAAATCAATGGTTGAATCACTTCAATGGAATCCAAAGACACCAATATTGTTTTCTCCTTTATCTATTTCTACTTCCTTGCCTATCTTAACGCATGCAGCCATCAGACCATCATCACCATCATCATTGTCATCATTATCATCATCATCATCATCATCATCATCATCAAGATCATCCTTATCTTCGTTGCCTTCACGAAGCTCTGTAACAAAAGCACTAGTGCGATCTAAACGCCATAGCCACAGCAAGAAAAACAACTCTATACCTTATTACGCGTGTTGCTTTTCGCCTCTCAGTTTGCCCTCCGATATCTTTGTGTATTTACTGGAGTTCCTTAGTCCAGTGGATTTATGGAGACTATGTCAAGTATCCCGCGCCATGCAAATGGAGGTAGTTGGTTTCATGAGTAAGGTACAACGACTTAAATATGAGGCAGTCAGGATCCTTCACCAGGAAAATTCAGAGACAGACCCAGAGCTACAGGCTCAGAGACAGTATACGTTTTATGAGCGTATGACATTTGGTGCAGCCAGGCGGCCTTCGTCATCGTCATTGAGGATGTCATTCTCGACGCGATCTAAAACCCCAGGCAAAGCATTGACCCGTAGTTCGTATTGGCTAGCCCAAGCTCGACTCTTGGTTGCGGCCATCACAGCAGATACGAAATATGAGCCAAAGTCCGAAAGCTCTCCGGCAAAGCAAGAGGTGTGTACCCAAATAAATCGGGAGATGGAAAGATTTAGTGTCGAGTCACTCTCCTCATCACCTTCCTCTGGCTCCACGTCATCCTTCTTGTCGACGTCCCCGGTGAGTCTCTCAGATAGCACCCAAAGCGACACACAAGAGCCTAGCTCGATTTCAGGAACATGGTCATCATTCACAGGATTACATTCGCCATCACAAGAGGCGGCGACGTCAGTTGGGGCACAGTCAAGCGCAGCACCTACAAGTTATCAAGGAGTACACCATGCGCCATCCGCTTCTCTAATTTCACATCGCTTCTCAGCTGTTGATATTCCTTCATTAAAAGGGGATCTGGAAACAATTCCAATGGACCGATTCGAGACTATGGTTGATTTGATATTTGACCCCAACATTGTGCAGCTTAACCATCGTCGGGCCATCATTAACTGTGCGCGCTACGTCTCTGCTAGTATTGACGAAACCTTCTCGAAAGCTGTCAATACTCAAACACCTCAGAACCCAACCTTCCATACAGCTTTCCTATCCCAGCATACTGTTTACACAGGCCCATATCTGACCATATTCACACCGGTTCTGTACGACGGCGAAGGGCATGAGCTTTCGCCGACGCAAAGGGCATTGACAGGCGGTACAAAATCATTAACGATAGCACCACCACGGAGGCTTCACAACTATTTCCAAATGATGTTGTGGTATCGTTGTCTAAGTGATCTGATCTCTCTTTACAATCGCATTCAGGACAGGCATATCGATCACGTGCTCAACAGCCAGCAAAGCTCCACTGATACGATAGAGGCCGGGAGTTATCTAACATCCAATGCTGTTTGCTGTCAGGAATCAACATTGCTCAGGGAGAATAACTCGCTGCCATCTGATTTAAGTGCAGTATACCCATTTTGCTGCAAGGCTCACTCCCTAATCTTTACAACGCAGTACCCCTCCAGTATTGTATCGTATTCTATCCGCACGCAGCTTCGTCGAATCGTTCGGAAGGTGCAGGCTGTATCGCAAAAGGGCTCTTGGAGTAGTGCCTTCAGCGGACTCGTTTTTACTCAAGATGAGCGCAGTCTCGCCACGACCCCCTCTACTCCACGACGAAGCATCCAGTACACAGGGCCCACTAAAAAACTGCATCTCTGTGATAGGTTGTATGGGTATCAACGACAACAGCAAGAACAACAACAAAATAGAAGGGGTTCAAGGCGAGAAGAGGAAGAGCGAGAGCTGGAGCAAAGGAGATATCGGGTTGAAGAGACGGCTCGCCAGGATAACTTGACCAGGCAAGAGCTCCTGGCTTTATGTCACATGGCATGTGGGCTCTTCTTGGCCAACGAACAATCCGTTGACGCGCCTCCTACGATCATGTCGTTATTAAGACAGGGTAGCCCATGGGTCAAAGGCGTTTGGCGAGATGGGGAGTGGAAGCATGATTCAATTGACTTGCAGCAGCCAGGGAGTAACCAGCAGAAGACAAACTCCAGCAACAGTAACAGCAATAATGATCAATCCTTCGTGTCGGTGGGATCGGACAAGGACATGGGAAAGTGGCAAAAACTTTGTCTTTCAACGATTCAATTCTTGGCGCACGAAGAGCTTTCGTGGGGTGGGAATAGGACTAATTCTGAGCTGAGCCGGCTTCGCGCCACTAGCAACCCGACCACATGGGTTTATCATGAATAAAAAACATTTCTCCATACTTCATAAAATGATAATAAAAGTCCTCCATGCTCATGATGAACGCGTCCTTTTCTGTATCCCAACTAGCGCTTTCCACAGTATCATTTCGTCTCATCATGTAATAACCTCCTCACTGATGGGATCGGTCCGACTGATGATCATTAGACATATTACTATTTATACCGCTTCCTTCCGAAATATCAGTTTCTCGCCCTCTGTGATTGATCTTGTCGGATGACAGAATGTACGCACTGAATTCAAATAAAACAACTACCATCCGTGCTTAGGTAGTGAGGCAATGGAGTGGAGAGAGTGAAGGGAGCTTTATCGTGGGCTGGTGAGCATGTGGGTATGCTCATTTAGAAATCTTAGGAGTAGAAGGTATATTTTCACTGGGTTAATAAGGGTGTCATTTTGGGTTGACACTCTTCAGGGTGTATGCCCAAGGTGTCAAAAAAAAAAAAAAAAAAAAAAAAAAAAGAGAGGCAGAATAGTAAAGAGTATTAAATATTGATTAGGTCTCCGGCTCCTCATAAATGGCGAACAATCCCCACCTTTTTATTTTATTTTATTTTATTTTTTCCTTCCAAGAAACTATTCTTGACTCGACTTTCAACAAGGAAATCAAAGTATAAGCGTGCGACGCCTTCCTAAGCTTGCTTACTTGTTTAGTACAGTTCTCAACATATGTAAGTTGTCCCCGTGTCTCTTTGTCTCTCTTTTGATTATCATATTATAAAACAATCATTCCCAGAATCAACTGCTTGGTCGTAGTTGATGGCAGTAATCGTCTATCATGTCCCTCTATGCTATTAAATGTTTGTGTGACCAAGACCCTGAAGATCCGAAGGCTGTGATTTGGAGCCCTTTGATAGTTGATAGTGCTTGTCTATCCATGCTTTTACTCATGGATGTACTATTGATCACCTCTTCCAATCCTTTCATTTCCTTTCTTCATAGTGACCACTGTTGATCCTATTGTTTGTTAATAGCTCTGGATAGCCATCTACTACACGTTGCGTCCCCTCTTTACCGCAAGCCGCAGCCTAACTCTTTCTCATCAAAGGCATATACAACTTAAACAAGCACAACAAGCAAGCATGGAAAATGATCCATCAAAATACTTGTTGCAGTCATCGGAAGGAATACCTGATCTTACGTATAGTCCGAGAAGAGATGTAAAGAAAAGCAATCGGCTGTTGGAAGAGCCGTTTGATGGATCCATCCACGACATTGCACAACAAAACCTTCAAAGGGCCAACCACAGCAGCGAGGGCGGCTCGACAAATAGTAAGAGAGCTCAAGAAGGCCAAGATGGGCTTGCGGAAGAGCGAGAAAGGAAGCGCCGCAGTGTGCCGCCTTCCACACACTTTTCGGTATCACCAACACCACGTATCTCGCCGCAGTGCCAGCCCCAATCCCTTGGCTCCACGGCATCATTAGGGTTTGTCCCTTGCCCAGATTTGGATCCTGATGTGGATGACGATAATGACTTCACGCCAAGTCAGGGTATCCATGACGCATACCCTGCGCATTCAAAAATCAGGCCGTTGACGGAACGTCAGCTTTCTGTAAACAGCAACCAAACCCAGTGCACACCTCCCACATCTATTCAAACAGCTTACATTTTACGTGCCGATACAACGTGGGATTTCCTCCCTGTCCCTCAAAGTCAGCCAACAAACCTTGCAACTCCGGAGTTGATATCAAGTGCAAGCCCCAGTAGAACTGAAATTGGTGGCGCCCCAGCGGATCTATTGGCTGTATCTGCGGCCCCCTCCGCGTATTCCCCTGCCTGTGAGGTTTCAAGCAAATACCCCTATCGCATGGGCTATCCAGCTATAACTGGCCTATCTTCTAGACTCGGAGTTGTTCCTCAACGGGATGTAGGCCCTTCACCCTCACCATTGCAATTGGAAGGAGGGCAATCCGATAGCGAAAGCAATGTACAGGAGCAGCCAGTAAGCCCTGGCCAAAGAGCCCAAGATGCTGTCACATCCTTAACAACTGGAGAGCATAATCAAGCAGGGATTGAAGAGTTGCCATTCCAAGCCTTGAACGAAAGTATGTCTTCTGACTTGATGACCACGAGTGCCTCTTACTGGGGCCCAACCGAGGCTTCTATTCGCCAACTCACCATGAATAATGGCAGTAACGGCGGTCATGGCTCAAATTCATCCTGTAGCCGTTATAGCCAATACCAACATCGCCAAGTACAACAGCAGCCTCATTTTCATCAGCTGTCTAATACCGACTTCCCTTCGTCTCCGCAATACCAAGCTCATCAGCAACCTTTTTTAACAGCAGATTCACCAATGTGCTTACCAAGGCTTCGGGACTTGACTATTCACTTCTCAAACAATAACTTGGGCGGCTATGCTGAGGTGCCCAAATGGGTGGACCCGCAAGCCTGCTCTTCTCCCTACCCCTCCTCAACACCATCCTCGATGCAGCAATATTCAAACTTTATGGACTTTATGTTTGGATCTGGGTCTGTAGCTCCTTTCTCTACTGTCCATGGCTCTGGCCAACATAGCCTGTTGGTTACGGGGCCCTCCACCACACTTGGGATGAGTAGCAATGAAAGTGGTGGCTACCATAACAGTAATAATGGTGTCGGCAGTAGTAGTAGTTGCAGTAGTGACGCAAGGTATCGTGAATATGATGAACAAGCCCAGGCACCGTCAAGGTATGAAACTTTTTTCACTGAGAGCAAAGACGACGATTTTTCACAGCATATCTCAGCTATTGCTACAGATATGTCTGAGACTCAGAAAACGGCATCGATGAAAGGACTCAACGACCAACTGCTGGTCCTTGACTTCGATTCTGGCCCAGAAGCTCAATTGACTATTCAAAACACTGATCAATATAGTACTAGTGAAACAACTTCCAACATTAGAAGCAGTACAGAAATTAATGTGTCATCCCATCCAGCTGGTTCTGACCAACATGACAGTGCCCATGACCCGGATCCAAAGCATTGTACCAATTGTCATACAACTACTACTCCCAGCTGGCGACGCTGCTCACAAGGCCGATTCTTATTATGCAACGCTTGCGGTTTATTCCAAAAGTTACATGGTAGAGCTCGGCCTTTCCAAAAGACTAAAGATGGGCACATCAAAATTGTTCGCACTCCTGCAAGTCATGCCCCCTGTGCTCACTGCGGGACAACTTCGTCTGCGATCTGGAGGAAAGGTGCTAACAAGGAAGCGTTGTGTAATGCGTGCAGTACAATGGCCAAGCGACATCAACAACAGCAATCTCGTCGAGGGCAGTTGGCTGTGTCAGGGAGAGGCAGAGAGAATGACAGTGATGATAGAGCATTGATATCACGACAGTGGACGGAAGTGTCAGAAGGTAACGCTGTTTCAGATGGAGTAGCTGTGCCACGTGCCCGTAGCGGTCGTTCCAAAGGCCGTGCCATGAAATCCATGAGCAACTTTGACTCTACCCGTCAAGATAGCTCTTCGAACCAAATATCTGGTGCAAGATCAACTATTCATCGTATGCGCAGCCGTGATCGATCGTCGAATGCAGATCCGAATCACATTACAGCACCCCATTATTCAACTGCAATACCCTACGGCCCTGGAGATGCGTTCATAGCCCAGTCCTCTATGGATATGGCGCATGAGCTCCCTAATAGCACGCCTTCATCTACCTTATCATCGGGTCTGACAGCCACTGCATGGAAAAGCAATGAGAGCTTGAGCTCCGCAGGTGCCACAGGGGGCGGTTTATGGCAGTATATAGCCGCTCATTCACAAGAACAACAGCAGGTTTGCGAAGTCGACACTGGCGCCACATCTTCAGCAACAAAAGATTCATCACTTGATGCACCTCAATCGCTTTCGCTTCCTTCTGGTCCAGGTGGGCTACATTCACGCATTCTGGAAGCAGGTTCGATGATACCGATAACAGCTATGGGGGCATCCTCACATCATTACCATCAACATCAGCGGGAACAAGCATCAGTCGGAAGACGGCTACAAGCACATCAACAGCCATACTCCTCATCATCTTTAGGCTTCCCACAGAGCCCAACAAGTCAAGGGCAACAGTTTCAGCCATTGCCAAATCAACAGCGATACACCCGATCGATATATAGCCCCTATCAGCTGCAACAACAAACATGCCAGCCCTATCAACCCTATCAGCCTTATCAACAGTTCGGGACACGTTATCCACTTCATACACAACATTCAGTTCAGACACATCGATTTGCGAGCGAACAACTTCGCCAGCATCTGTATCAGAGACGCATCCGACAGCAAGGAAATCCTCAACAACTCAAAGATTTCTATTTCAATCAACAAGAAGATCCTTCAACTCAACATTATAGTGGAAATTTTCAAAATCAACATCCTCTTCTACCACCACTAGCCCCACAAACACATGATCATTACCTCTATTCCAGCCAGCATCAACAACAACACCTGCAACGCGCCTTTCAGCATGCTTCTCATTCACAGCCGAAACCTCAGCCTCAATCAGATAAAGCAGATATCATGGATGCATTCCTTGAAATCTCAAAAGAGGACGAAGAAGAAATTGAAGTGGAGAACGCACCTCCACACCAGTTGTCGCCATCGTTGGCAGCTGTAGCAGCAGTGCCAGCAGAGCACTTTCCGGCTACTACCACTATACAGCCTTGTACAGAGATCCTCGGGAACAATAGTGCCATTCACGGAGGTAGTGGGTCCAATATTAACTCTGGAGACATACTTTCTTCATCAACATCCCCTCCACTCGCGGCAGAATCGACCGCAAATGTATCTGAGTCTTTGGTTGTACAAGACAGCCTTTTTTCATCACCACTACAGAATAACAATTCCCCACTGATAACGGCGCTGCCGATCGCAGCCGCGGAGGAGCAACCGAAACAAAAAGAAGAAAGGGAAAAACAACAGGCCCCTTTGCTCGCGCTTTTGCGAGAGGAGGATGACGATAGAGCGGAATACCATCATGATCATGGATACCCGAAGCTTCACCCCATAGCTCCATTTTTATTCGCTACAGCGGCTTCGGATTCCCATAGGTTGACAGCACATCGTGAACAGACTCAAGAGCCATCTGATACGGTTGATGACAATAATCAGGATCATCGACGTTTCAACATTGAAGCGGCTTTCAAACTTCAAAACACGACCACCATCACTACAGGCTTACCTCGTGATGGCCTCGCTGATACATCTAGGACATCCTTACCAAGTACCGCTATGCCAATCGAAAGCAACCCCAAGGCTCATGAGTACCATGATAGGTTTGAAGGTGGGCCTTCTACTACTACTATTCCAACTACTACTACGCCTACTACTACTATAGCGGTAACAGCGACAAATACCGTCACACAAACGACTGAATCAAATGGTTCCACCGATGCGGCTCTTACGGCAGAGGTGAGATCGATTCCATCATATCTTCTGCGTCGAAGCGAGCGGCGACGAAACACTCCACAAGTACCCAAATGAAGAAATAAAAAAAAAAACTTTTCCTCTTTGAAGTAATAAAGAATATTAACCAAATTTGACTTGAAAACTGCTTGTGCGGTCTTTAACTGTTTTATTTTTCGTGATCTACTTTTTTTCTTTTTTTTTTTTTTTTTTTTTTTTTTTGGTATATGGAGGTCGGAAAGTATATGTCATGTGTGTCATAGGGAAGTGGGTTGTTGAAGAGAGTGAAGATATAGGTTTCATAAGGCAGAACTATAATTCATTCTTTGCTTTTTAATGAGTTCCAAGGATATGGTAAATCAGCTTGGTGACGAAAGGAGAGAGTACTTGTTCCTCTTGTTGATAAAAAGACTATTAAACAAAAGCGACGACAAAACGATTAGCTTAATCTCCATTCATCATTTTTTTTTTTTTTTTTTTTTTTTTTTTGTATCGATGCTTACCATAATTAAGGACATTGCAAAGGAGAACATCATAACTTCCCAATGCTTTACACCCTTGACCCAGTTCTTTTGATACAAAATCTTGTATAGGCTCTCAGCTGCCTTGGGCAACACATACATGGCCAGTTCAGCACGGCGACTCTCCTGCTCTACCATGATGGCAGATCCAGAACAGGTCACGCCAAAGAGCCAATACAGGTATTTGTTATTGCCCTTCAACCATCCATGCTTTACTAGGTTGCGCTGTGCACAGATCTGAGACTGATACACGACTACAAAGACTGCTAAGAAAATGGATGAGCGGAGCGTATTGAATGATGTTCTGGAGAGAACGCTGACGGGACTGATAATAATAAGATATTTAGACAATAAAAAAAAAATAAAAAAAAAAAAAAACTTCTTAGCAACATGCCAATGGTTTCATATCCAAAAGAATGGGATCTTTTAGTCGAATCAGATAAATATGAATGTCGTCCTTACTTTGCCAAAAGTCTCTTCATCCTGAGGACTAACAATGGAACAAAGTTGAGTGTGGCATAGACTGGCAAAATGTTCTTGGTGACTTGCACAAATCTTTCTGCGTTATTGTATGTGCACGAATCATACGAAGGATGCAAGACTGCACATGGGATCATATCTGTGAATGCATCCAATTTTGACACTGTCTCCAAAGCCTTGGGTGTTGGTTTATGACGCCGAACCAGAGCCGCCACTTGGCTCACATCTACTGGAAATCCACGGACACGTGCACGGTTGAACGCTAACGCCTCTGCTGGTACTCTGGCTGTATTGAGCATGAACTTGAGATACTCTGGAGGAATAGACTCGGGTTGCATCTAAAAGTAGGCACGTATAATATTACCACGACATTGTCGCGTGTATTCGCGTTCAGTTAAACCTTACATGTTACACAAGATGTAATTGAATCTCAATGAACGAACTTTAGGTGTCAATGGGCTTTTGCCTGAAATAGGACTTACAGTATAGGCATACATGACTTGGCCACAGGCAAGCGCAAAGAGGACAGCGTCACCATGACGGAAGGAAAAGACTCCACGATGTTTTCCAGCATTGTATACTCCCTGACCCGCACTGCAAACAAACAAAAAAAGATATTAGTCAGCGCGAATTGAAATATAGATAGGGTCAATATACGCCAATATACATGAACTTGGTCCGAGCACAAATTTACCGAATAAGCATTTGTTGAGCAAACGTGACTCTGCGTTCATGGTTCTCAATTAGAATTGCCAGACCAGCAATTGCGCCTTTAAATAAAAAAAATAAATAAATAACAAAATAAAAAAAGATAAGAATTGGTGGCGAAAATAATGAGATTTGATATATATCTACTTCTTTTGTAAAGCGAGTTGATCCCAATTAATTACCAGCGATGGCACCATTGATACGGTCATCCTTGCCACGGTGGAGCTTCAAGCCATTGTTGACAAACTTCCACAAGAAAGAGAACACGCCAAAGAAGGATCCGAAACGCAATGCATCCGCACCAAAGAAAGCATCCTTAAAGATCTGAGCAAATGACCCTCTAATTTTTTTTAGACAACGCAAGAAGGGAAAGGGAAGAGAAGATCGGTATTTCAATATTAAAAGAAAAACATTCGAATTCTTCGGAAATGAAACGAGAAAAAAAATGGTCCAATCGAATTTGATAATTTGATACATACTTTCCCTTCATGACCTTCAACATGCCAAGACAAAAGTTCACCAGAGCCTTCATACCGTAGCTGACGCCTCCGGAACCTATATAACCCCAAGTCGAACTATATTATTATGAAATATCCGGAATAAAAAAAAAATTACGCAATGTGGTGCAGTATGCGCTCTTAAAAGATGCAGCCACTTACGGATCGCCCCGATAATGGCATGCTTGAAAACTCCTTCATAAGTAGTGCAAGGTGCATATAAATGTGGAATTGATGCTCCTTTTTTGTAATTCTTGCTTTTCTCCGCTGCCTCTTTTCCTTCTTGTGTACGGAACCCACGGGGTCTCTTGCCATTAGGCCACTCATGCCGATGTGTGAAAGAAGAAGGCTTCCGTTCCTTTTTGGAGAGCGCTGATGAGTTTTTGTTAAAAGTTGATGCTGTACTACCACCACTATTAGATACTCTGGGTGCTGGAAGAGATGATTTTGTCATGAGTGGGGTATCGACATCAGAAGCACTGTAGGTGGAGGAAGCCTGTGAAGGAATTGTGTCTACATCTGCATCGTCAACAGAGACATAGGATGAGGATAGGGGCATTTTGTGATAAAAGTCCGATAGATTAATCGACCGCCGTAATTGGAGAAGGAGAAGAAGGAAAAATAAAAAATAAAAAAAGATAGTCGTCGTTGGTTTTGATTGCGAGATTTTTATCACAAAGATATCGGGGTTGCTGAGAGAAGGAGAATAGAAAAATAAAGAGATCAGAATGAAAGAATGAGCAAATGAGGTAGCGACATGAGAAAGAAAAAAAAACTAAGTATGCCGAACCGACAGAAGGATTAAAAAAGTACAAGAGATGATTTATATTTTTTAGTCTTTTAATCGTGGGGAAGAAAATCGCTTTTTTAATGGTCTAAATAGACTAAAAAATCGTCCGTGCCGCTGCATCTGTATGTCTCACTCTTTCAGGTGTTTCTTGTTCTTGGTGCCACAGCAAACGGGTTTGCCAAGCATCTGTTTCTGTGCAATCTATTCCATCCTCCTCGTGTTTCATTTCACTTGTTCACTTTTACTTTAGTCTGTCATACATACCAAGTAAATGGATGTGGAGAAAAGAAAAAAGGTCGTAACATTGAGGATTAACGGCCATTTGATATACTTCATATACTTAGTTTACTTGGATGAATGCTACATGTTTGCCAAGACCATTGTAAGCTAAAATCACCGCTTACTGTTTTATATTTTGTTCGCCTTGAAGGATGGCGGCATGCTTTCACCATGTTCACCATGTCCCTTCATTTGGTTCATGTTTATTGAAAGCATTCAAACATTGCGCGTGTGGAGATGGTGACTGTTGAACCTTATTGCTAATATTCTTTTTCATTGATGCCCCAACAAATTGAGCACTGTGTGTTGTGCGTCAATTGATATATAGCAATATATACATTTATAATATCAGAACATTCATTAACTGAAATCACAGAACCTTTCATTTATTTTTTTTTATTTTTTATTTGATCTCTTCTTTCCGATGAAGCCTAAACATGTTTAGGTAACATACACGTAGCGATCCAAACTATTCTCTGCACGTTCAATGTATTGCTTATCCAGAAGCTGTTCAATACATTTTTTAATCATCGGGACACTAGGTGAAAACCGTGTTTTACACTGATCAATTACTTCCTGTACCAATTGCATATGAGAAAGTGCTCGGCGTGACTTCATGATCCGTACAATAGATGCCTGAATGCACAGTCGACGATCTTCATCTACTGCTTTCAACGTCGCTGTTGTTTCCTGAGGCGTATCTGCCTGAAGTCCTCCACTAATCTTCAGCTTCGTCCGCTTGTTGGAGAACGACATGTTGAGTTTTAAAACCGTTGATAACGTAATAGTAGCACTAGGCTCAGGCAATGTCAACAGATTAGCCTCCACTAACGACTTCACCACACGTATCAACTCAAGTTCAACAAGCTTTGTCTGCTCTCGGATCTCTGTCACTGTGTAGGAGTCGCCTGCATTAAAGACCGCCAGCACTGCAAACTGGTATAATGACAAAGATAGCTCGTATCTCTTATCAAGATAATTGACGCGAACATCAGCTAGCGAATTGAAATAAACAATAATTAGAAAGTAGCCCACATATTATATATAAAAACCACTTTATGCTTCTGCTCTTACCTCGACACCAATGCCAAAACCAAGTCAATTTACGTCCATTATGTCTCTTATCGTAAAAATCTGTAAAGTTGGTGATGCTCTTCTCCAGTTCATCAGGACACTGGAACTCCAATGGCTGCGTAGAGTTGACTGGCCAAGACCCCGCAGTGAGCACAAGAATGCTAAAGTCCACTAAAGTAAAAAAACGTCTCAGGATTGGTTAGTCTTTTAATATAAGTCCTGTGCAAATTGTGTCAAATATTGCTACACTTACAGCCATTACTAAGATCATTGCTTTGTAGCCAATCCTTAAATCCGGCATTTAAATCCGAACTGATAGTCATATCCGTGAACATCCTTTGTAATTTTGACGTGTATTCAACTCCACACGCACTCTATATATCATTTAAACATTGCTTTAGTCAAATATATAGATGGCCCATTCGATAAGCGAGTACTAAATACATATTGAATTTACCTTGAGTCGGGAAATCATGTTTGCTTCCGCTTCTGCTGATAAAGAGGCATCAAAAATTAGACGCTTAGCCAGAAATCTGGAGTAAAACTTCTGAAATAGATCCTTATCGTCGATATACTTGAAGAGAATGATCTGAATATCGAAAATCAACGGGAAGTAAGTTTAATATCCTTGGATCGGAGCTTAGAAGAATGAATGGAAAGAGAGAGACTTACCACTCGCGTCAAACGGTCTTCAATTTCGGATTCTGACAATCCAGTCTTTTGCTTTTTCCTGAGCATTGTATCTGTATAGCGTGCCATGACTTCTGGTGAACGAGCTGCTACATTTGTTGCAGTGTCATTGACGATTGTTCTGAATGCCTTATCTACAGCAGCTACGAATGCTGCATCATTTGTAAACACCTTCGCGCACATCAGCAAATACTTTGCATGCAATTCAATCAACTTTTCAACATATTCCCGCGGGTCCTGTTTTTCAAAAATGAACTTGTCAGTCACTAGATATTACGTTCTCAATAGCCTTTAATATGCAGTTTGAAGCAATGTCGAAAACGTGCCTTTGAGATACTAGCACCAAGCCCAAGAATGATATCGCGCCCAACTGTCGTAATATGTTTTTCAAACGTTATGAGCAGTGGCACGAGGCCATTCTCTATCCTTGTCAGTAAAGAGTATGCCATCGTACAATCTATGAAAACATATATCATGTGCGAATCCTATCATGTGAGTATGTCCAAGTCCATCCACAAACGCCTATATTTGAAGTTAACATCTCTTGTTTAGTAGGAAACACACACTCACCATCTGCCTTTTCGTTAGCGATCATTTTTTCAAACTCTGACTGTATATTCTTCTGATGCTCTGCAATGTACTGAGTTTCACATTCTTGAATAACCTATTGCATTTATGAATCATCAGCAAGTCATTATAGTCTTGGGTATGTAGATGGGATTTAGAGCAAGTGAGGTTAAAGAACCGTACTCGGGCATGAGATGTTGGATGACAATAGCGAGAATTACGAGCGCCTTCCTGTGCAAGCCTATCAATAGCCGACTTTATGTACTGAGATATAGTGCAGTTTGAAAGCTTGATCTTGCTTTCTGCCTTGTAATATGCTTTTGTTTGATTGATATAGGGCGTTTCAAATTCGTCGATATACAACTCCAAAGGTTGATCGGTCTTTGAATTCAACGATACTAGGTTCAATCGGATACAAATGGTTAAGCTGGGTATAGAAAGACCTAGTTTTTGAAAGCGTAGTTAAAGTTGACAGACATGATTCTTTACCAAGCGAAAAGATGGTATCTTGAACGACAGAAGCATTGACTTGCTGCCCCTCGCGATCTTGGCGGATTGTCTCAAAAACCTGATACATTAATCTATTTTGCTTGCGATGCTTGATCTCCATGACGACATGTTCTCTCCAGATTTGGTTTGCAAGCTATGTTTAAAGAGAAGTGGAAATGACATATTATAAGTTATAAATACACAGTAGCAAAGTAACAAAGTAATCATTAGCTATTCGCAGGACTTCCTGCATGGTAAAATTTCTTACAGCCTGAACATCTTGACGAGGGTAATTACTCTGACCCACAAAAGGGCGTTTTTCACTAATACCGGGCCCTTTACGTTGCTTAACAATAAGTCCGTTGAGATACTCACATATAGCATTGAGATAACTAGTGGCAATGTAATATTTTTTCCAATACATTGCATACACAGGGACAACTTCTTCTTGACTCAAAATAGCCTTATAAAAATAAACGAATAAAATCAACGCAATCAGATCCAGGCTATGGGATATATTATCTAGTCTTGGATAAAAATTTGCTGCTAACACCTACCTGCCGCACTCCTGTTGCATATTCACAGAGGAAATCGGCAATAGCACAGTAAAGCCTTTCTGAAAAGGGCTTCGGTACAGAGTTACAGATATCATATACAAGCCTTCAAGTTCCATTTTCCATGCGAAAGAGTACATGTACATCAGCGACTAGTCAGAAATGAATCCACAATTCGCAAAAAGTAATTCGAGACGAACGAATGGTGAGCGACTACATACTGATACATGCCCATGCCAGAGACTGAACTAGTCCCTGTGAAGTCAAACATCTTTACAAGATCGCGTTTAAACTCGTCGAATGCGACATTGAAATCAATCCTTTTCCTGCGAAGAGACATGGTTCATGTGCAAAATCGTTAATTGTCTGAGGATGCTTGTACAATAATGAAATAGTTGACCCAAGTAGTGAGGGAGTAAAAAAAGGAATGACAGAAGGCACATGAATTCACATTTCATTTTGACGTGGTCTGAAAAACCACAGCCACTCACATTTTTTGCGCGTAACTAATTATTCTTGGGCTCGCATCAAATCTCATTCATGTCGATGAGTCTAAAGTCGATTGTCACTTTTGCTCATGCAGACCCTAGGCAACATTACAGATGCTGCGGCCTAACATTACATCGCAATGGTGGAATCCTTAGCCCAGAGTGCAAAACAGTCGATGTGTTGTCGCCTCTGCGACGAGATGCTGGTACTCAGAGACTCAAGAGGCTTCTTCACATCGACGACGGCCTATCCGAGTGACCGACACAAGCTACACAATATTCATAGAGCAATAAAAAAGTTTTCTATTGTATGCATTCAGTGCTTGAAATACCCAGACTACATCCTAGCCTAGTCCGAATCAAATCCCCCTTTGGCGTTCTTATCTTTCTTTACTCTCTAACAGAACTACCAAGGATGGTGAGAAGGTGTTGATGATCATTGTAAACTCGACCGACTTTGCCTATTCTGCGCCTCTTTGACATTGCTGTATCCCCACCTTTTTGTTGTAAAAATCATTCAGGCCCTCTACTTCCTCTCTCGTTCTATCAGTGCTTGCGCTTTAGCATCGGTTGTCCCTTATTTCAACCAACAATCCGCCTGTTCCTATGATATTAGTGGACCTACCAAGGTCAATCTTAGAATAAATATTTCTCGAGGAACATATCCCTAGATGCACCCGATGTCCTCTTTGACCTGGATAACGTTGTGTGTTTCTATCAAGAAATGGTCTGTACTGACAAAAGCCTGGTTAATCTGCTGTGCTATTCCTGTACACTATCCCTTAAACCGTCAACCTGGCAAATTTGCCATTATAAATGGGCTTAAAATCCAGCAATTCATGGGCATTGCCTTGAAATTTTATTTCGATGTCGAAATAAATGACCGAAAACTAAACTGTCATGGAGCTATCCTGGCTTCTTTATCTGTGCCAATAAAAAACTCTTGAAGGCTTTCGCATGACACTAGCATCCTCTTGGGGGGCCCATTGTGTTGTTTATTTATTGACTGGTGTAATAGAAGTGATAATATTCGCCATAGTATCGACTTGAAAGGAGGGCAATCTGAGTTGATTCATTCTACCGCATCATAGAGCTTGCTCGGCAAGACTTGATTTGTCACATCATTTGCTTCCTCGTCTTCTTGATATATCTGGGTTGGTAAACACTGCTAATAGAGTTTGTTGGGCCTGTTGAAACCAGAGGGAACCAGAGGGAACCACAGCAACATATCATACCCAAGATGATACAAATATCTCTGTTGGAGTGAGTGGTGAACTGTGTGGTTCAGATGTAGTGGATATAAACGGCGAAAGAATGCATCGAAAGGATGTGAGCGGTTATGAGAGCAAGGAAGAAGGGGTTGGTATACCTGTTAAAGTCCTTGGCAAGAGAGCATGAGTAGCAGTTGTGATCAAAAGTTGATTTCGGTGAGTCCGCATAACAATGGTATAGTTTCTAGACTCTATCTTCCACGTACAGCATTGCACTATTGGTGTTTTCAGACCTGGCACCAATCATGCGAGCGAGGTATTTCTTTTCCTGAGGATTCCTTGTGTTAAACGGCCAGACAGAAAGCTTAGAAGAGTTACAGACACAACGGTGAAAAAAATATATGTGAGCAAACAGTTGCTGTGTTTATTTGTTGTCTGCACATGCCTTCTTTCATCGCGGGCTTTTTTATTTGGCAAATCTTTTTCCTTTTTTGTTCGTCAATCACTGTGTGCACAAATAAGCAGCTGAAGCATCTCTTTGGTTTCTGTACATGTGTAGACACATTTTACATCGCGGCGTCTTATTTATTTTCTGCAATTACAATTTCAGATCATTGTGACCACTAATTATTCATATAACCTTATTGTGGCATGCTGTTCTCAACTGTGCTGGAGAGGAAATTTGTTCCTTCTTGGTTCAGATTGTTACCAGACATGCTCCATGCCCCTCGATTGGACTGTCTCGTGCTGTCCGCGGCTGTGCCAAGGAGTAACTTGTTGCTTACTTGGTCCAGATCACGGTCAGACACGTGCCATACCCCACTGCACAACAAGTGTAGGTCGGTCACCTCTCTATTTTTATCATGAATAACAAACTTTTGCGGAGGACTGTGGTGCTATTTGTATCTTGCAGGAAAAGACTAAGGACTTTTTAAATAAATAACATTCTTTTTTTTTAATTCGGAAAAATGGGGAGTTCTGTAACTATGGGTCTGTCTTATTTTTTTTTTTTTTTAAAAAAAAAAAAATCTGTCCAATGGAATTCTGCTAAATCACCTCTTCTTTCGAACCAGCACGCTGAATAATTGAACAGCGATATTGAAAAAACTAGCAAGCACGTGCTTGTTCTCAAAATCGCTGCTGCTTCGCTTCCAGCTTAGATCATTGCAAGTGCGTACAGTGGAATCTCGATAATTGTACACTTTTTTTTTTTATTTTTTATTTTTTTTTTGATAACAAGGACCCTCAGGGTCATGGGATTTATTTTCTACATTCTATGAACAAAATGCTCCAGAAACTATAGTCAATAAACAGCTATTACTGCACAAACGACAAGAGCCGCTGTATCCATGATTTCATAAACCCTGACCGCCGTGGTTGGTACTCAAAGTCCACCTTTCCGACGTGGCCTGTTGCGCAACGCGACAAAATATCCGCTATCCATAATCATCAAAAACTTCATTCCACCTAGCCGCTCCATCACGTCCAGTTTGGTTTTCCCAAGGTAGCTGTCCCGGACTCGGTCATCCGCGATCTTGTAGATCTCTTTTACATTCAGCTTCTGTCTTTGTCTGAGGGAAGGGACAAGGAAATCATTGCTACTACGTCTGTGCTCCCCAGCACAGTTGCGTCCTCTAGCGCGTTTGCTCGTAGCAGTGATTCCACGAGTCTTTTCCCATTCAACGGTGACTTTACACCGTTTGTTCCAGATTTCTGTATGACCGAATTCTTCTATGGCCTTGACGAAGCGCCCTGCCATATATGTAGCTATCCTTGTTGTTGTCTTGAAGCCAACTTTCCAACTCTGAGCAATGGACTTGGGCGTAAGTCCATGGTAAATGTCCTGCACAGACCAATCTGGTGTGTGCTCTCTCTCTTCCTCATCATCGCCGTTCCTATCACCATGGCGTAGTACTTCTCGCACACCATCGATATGCATCTCCAGAGTTTTCCAAATGTAGTCCTCCTCTGCCGCAGTAAAAGTTGGCTCTTTTGTCCTTGGTGGGTCTACACCTCTCTCTCTGGCCCTTTGTGCTTGCTCCTGCACTGCTTTCAACTCTTTCCTCCATGTCCTCTCCTCTATCACATTCACATTTTGGATTATCTCCTTCCACTTCTCGGCCTGAGTCTCCATCGTCCTTGGACATCTCCAGATGTGCGATGTGTCTTCATCCTCTGTCCCACACACTCTGCAGTTGCCGTCTTCATAAAGGTCCGGCCTCCAGTGTCTCATATATGACTGTGTAGGCAACATTCCATGGAGTTTCTTGATTCTGTGCGCTCGCTTTTGGCAGTCCGCTGGGCTGGTGAAGAGTCCTTTCGGTAGGTTGCTATCATGAACAATGTTCATAGTAGCTCGCCAATCAATTTTTGTCCAATCCTTAACATGCTCCTGCGTCCTGTTCTGAGCGATCCACGTGTGATGTGTACGAGTTGTTGACTGTAACTTAAGGATCTGCCTTAAGTCATCTTCCGCTGGTACACCGTTGAACTTTGCATGGCAGTACATGTCATTATGCTCCGTTATGTTGATATCCCATAGCTCGCCATAATGTCCATGTTTTGCTGCTTCGTCCGCTTCTTCGTTCCCTCTGTTGCCGGCATGTCCTTTGACCCACTCGACCGTGACTTCCGATCCTTGTTGAATAAATGCGTTGTGTATAGCTGCCCACCATACTGCATACGGTGATCTAATACGTTGTCGCAACGTGCTATCCACTCTGCCTCGGACCAATGCTCGGAATTGAGTCACAACTGCGCTGCTATCAAGTCGGATTGTCATAGCTTTGTTTCGTGGGCTGATAAGTATTCCTGCCAACAAACCAGCTAGCTCTGCCTTTGTCGAGGATGCGTTGCCTGCTACTCTACCAGATAGCACAGTGTAAAAATCACCCTCTTGTGTCTGAACTACTACACCAAATGCCATACTTACTCTTTCAGTGCCAATATCTTTGAGAGATCCATCCGTATAAATGACATTACCTGGCTGGGTATTGTACCGTTCCCTTTGGCGTTGGATTTTCTCCTCGGTATTGGCACTAATGATAACTCCATTTGTGTCCCTGGCTAGGCCTCTGTTGACTTCAGGGATCACTTTTAGGCACGGTGTCTCGTTGGAATCCAGGTCGACTTTTGCTCTCCTTAGCAGAGCTTGCTCGCTCAGACCCTCATATCTCCTTGTGTTCTGGGTCCGGCGTCTCCTCGCTTCTTCGCGGGCTCGCATGCGTTCACCATGCCTTCGCTCTCGGTCCTGGTGGCGTTCTGCTCTTCTGACTATGGCATCTAACTTTGCTCTTTGTCGCCTAAGATTATGTTCTCTGGTTGCTCTGCGCGCCTCTTTCATAACAGCTTCTCGTCTCTTTTTCTGCTCCTTCTGTTGATCCAGAATCCACTTCATTCCAATTGGTGGCTCAACAGCTTGATTAGCCGGTGATACTGTCTTTTTTTTTTTTTTTTTTTTTTTTTTGATAACAAGGACCCACGAGGTCATGTAGGATTTATTTAGATGTTAGCTCTATAAATGGGTTGCTCCATTACTGGGGTCGCAAATAAAGCGGTATCCAATAATCGACCGAAGCCGCATCGTCATACTGCCACAGTACTACATCCTGTGATTAGCCGGTGATACTGTCAAGGTTCTGTTCGCTGCCTCATCCTTTATGAATTGGTTGAGTGCACGAATCGCTTCTCGATCTTCGTCTTCCGTATCCCCGTCTACCGAGCTGACATAACTACTGTCGCTGCTTTCATAATCTCGCTCTAAAGTAATGATATCGCCCTCAACTATGAAACAAGCGAAACTCTCAAAGTTCGCACGGGATGGCTGTGAAGAGCCAATTCGTATCCATGTTTTTCTCTACCAATGTACACCGTGATCGGTACTCGAAGTCCATCCTTCCGATGTGGCCTGTTGCGCCCGTGAAAAGCCGCGGAGGCTGGCGTGCCGACTCTAGCTAAGGACGACTTTTAATTTTTTCTATTCGATCAAATCCACTGGCATGTGGACCCAAATCTTGCGGAATTGGTCTGAAATTTCTACTTTGGACTCCGTCAAACTTTGTGATCATCGCTGTCCTAGTCAAGTGGGTGGATGGGGGATGTGCTGCCAGATGTACCGCTGGTTCGGCTGGGGGGTGGAATATATACCTAAGACATGTGGCCAGCCAGGCGACTTAGGGTAGTGCACCCACGATCTTAGCCTTAGCGGAGAACACTAGGCTGTCTCGGAGAGAAAGTATAAAAACTCAAGCAAATCCCTGACCTGGCACATGTTTGCTTCACTTTATGTGCCTTAACCAGGACTCGAACCCGGCCCCTGGACTAGACAGGAGGGTGCCCTGACGAGTATACTACTCAGCCATTGGGCAATACTTTAATTTCATTCTGTTCTGTTCCAATCAATAACCGAGAAATATAACCACTTTGAAAACTGTACAAAAGTGTATAATTATCAAACTGTCACGTTACTATTGTATGTTTAAATATCTATTATATTTCAAAAGAATAACAATTGCGACTTTAGCTCAGTTGGGAGAGCGTCAGACTGAAGATCTGAAGGTCGTGTGTTCAATCCACACAAGTCGCAATAATTTTTATATTTTTTCGAAGCTGTCTGTTGACATTTTTTACAGGTATTTGCACGGCCCTGCTCCCTGGTCTTTATTTCAGTCTTTAACACCATTACAAGGAAGCCTTCTACGGCGCAAGCTCGATACCTAAGCATCAAATATTGACCAGAATATATATCTTATAAAGTATTAAGGATGAAGTTATTTGCACGGGCCCGTACACCCCTTATTTGTACGGCCCCCGTGCAAATAAATTTTTACTTATAAAAAAAATTATTTGCACTGCCCCGTACACACTCTATTTACACTGCTCCCCCCGTACAAATAAAAAAAAAGTTATTTGCACGGGGGGTCTTTTTTTTATTTGCACGGGGTCTCTTTTTCATCTACAAGCAGCAACGTGTATCCTACAGACTACATGATTCTGGCTTTATATAAATAAGTGGAGGTGAGTCTAGAGTAGAGAGGGGTCTGGAATTATTACTGGTGGAAGTTGCAGCGCCGTGGGAGCTGCCAAACAGCTCATTTGTGACATACAAAAATACTACCATTAGACCCATATAGCGTATACGATGATTTAAATTACCACTCACGTGGGGCAGACAAGAACCCTCTCTTTGTCCTCCTTCTTAGTTGGTGCATTGTTTTAACCTAATTGATATAACTTATTATGTAATATGGAGCTAAAGTTCAATAAATTTACCCTTTTATTAATGAGGCAATGTGGATAATCACTGAAGTTTTTGGGCAGTACAGGCTGAGGGAAAACGGCAAGAAATAAGATTGAAGACAGTGCTTCTCTTCATTACCATTTCAAGTGATTGTACAATATGAAGCTGGTCCTTTAGACGCAGTGAGCATCTACATGTGCTGCTGAGTATGCAATACTGCGTGCTAAAGACGAACCAAGGTAAGTTGGCTATGATAATAAACTTGGAATGTAATGAGACAAAACTAAGGATTGTTGCGATTAGCAGTCATTTATATGGGTTTTTACTATAGCTAAGGTTTTTACCCTTTTTATTTAACGAAGATCCCTGGATCATAATAAAGACATCTTTTTTTCGTTCTCGCTAATTATTATGACCCTGGCATATTTCAATAACAGAAAAGAATATTTATGTCTCTTTTCTATCACTATTAGTCACGGTTATGCTATTAAAGTATTTTAGCCACTTAGATATAGAGATATAGGTGATTGTGGCACGATCGGCTTTGAGTGCGAACTGTCACCAACTATCAAAAGACAAGTAATATCGGGTAAGAGGATAGATATTCCACAAAATAAGCTGAGGTCTACCCATTGTATTTTGATGAATTTGATAAACAAAATAGTACCGAGGGCGCTTGAGTTCTTAATAAAGGACGACAGAGATAAGGACATCTAAGAGGAATGAAAGAGACTAGTAACATGGCGCGCTATGCATCATAGCAATGAGTATGGTAGTATGATTGGTTGTACATCTACCGACACAAACTACACGTTAGAGATTCCTAATAACTGAATTCATCGTTGTGTGCTTAATAGTGTACGGAAATACCTAAGATGTATGCACGCGTTAAATGAAAGAAAGCATCGGGGAACCATAACAATGCAACCAACAAAAGTGCAAAGTAAAGCTGCATAGTATATTTCAACTATAGATAAATCATTTGTAATTCTGTATTTAGTCCCAGTCGCATAAAGAATGCCAACATCTACTCTGAGCTACATACGAACTTGATAAGATATTCTGGTCAGTATTTGATGCTTAGGCAGCGGCTCTAGATCTAAGCCTGTGTCATGGAAGGCTTCCTGGTTATGGTGTTTAGGGCTAAAATAAAGACCCCGTACAAATAAAAAAAAAGACCCCCCGTGCAAATAACTTTTTTTTATTTGCACGGGGGGAGCGGTGTAAATAAGGTGTGTACGGGGCAGTGCAAATAGATTTTTTAAATATTTGTACGGCCCCCGTGCAAATAAGAGGTGTACGGGCCCGTGCAAATATCTTTTTTCAAGTATTAATCTATCTGGCAGCCCATATCAAATATAGTAATTTTTGCCATTATTTGGCAGCCACACTAAGATGGCAGCTGACGGGGCAGTGCAAATAATTTTTTCAAGCAGTGAAAATTTATTTGCACGGGGAAACCTTTCCCTGTGGATTTCCTTCCGCTGGACAACAACTTAGGCCGCAAGAAACTTTTTACAGGCATAAACACTCAATCACTATCACAAAGAAGCTGTCCTCGAGGGAGGCGTTCTTGTTGGGCCAAGCAGATGCTCTGTGTTCCTTGTCAACAGCATCAAGAAGGAAAAGCAATCGGCATACGACATTCAAGAACGATATTCTTAGAAGAGGATTTGGTCACCTTTGTAACTTATTCACGACTCTAACGAATTTGATGAAGCCTTACTTTACTATTGAAAGCATTGTCCGTTACTCTTTCTATCTGGTTTTTGGTTATTCTTGATCAACTACCAAGTCGTATCCCCTTCATTTCAATAATTGCTGGTTGTCTACTTCAGCATCCGAGAGAGCGGTAGCTGTGAAAGGAGCGTTTTTATCAATCCTTGTTTTTGGGATGGTAATAATACCGCTATTTCTCTTCAAATATTCCACTTAATCCACTATCTTGGTCATCAGCAATGCTATCAATTCGAAGGCCTTAAACCATAAGACTCTTTTATTATTTATGGTGTCGGGATTTCAGTAGCTCTAAATTGTTAAACAATGAAACTTTCAGACAATATTAACCAAAGCTATCAAGATAAGTAGTATGTAGAGAGTGTAGCTGGAGTGAAAAGGTATTATTTATCTTGTCATTGTTGTGAAAGGTTTTTTCTAGCTATTGAATGAACTGATGAAATAAATATAATAGTAGTCTTAATGGTATTATTAACGGTGTGGCTAATATTCTTATTATTTTCTCTTCCTGATGACTCCATAATGATTCTGTTACATCCCTCTTATCGTATCCACAGCTGTCTAGATATTGTACTCCACCTAACTTCCAATCACTAGGAGATACAGTTGATTCAACCTATTCGAATGAGATAGTTCTGCATCACTCATATCCTGCCAAACCAATCTGATCCCCAAAATGCTGAAATATTGGCTGGCCCCTATCAATCCAGAAGGTTCTTCCGAGACTGGGTGCTTACATTTACTAGAAAGACCAGTTAGCACAGATCAGATTAGATCCAAGGGTGTTGAAGCAGTGCATTCTTATGTAGATTCCCACCTCGTTCTCACTTACTTCTCCTAAGAAAAAGGGTTAACGGACATTTTTTTCACCTGCATACGGGATGAAAGGAGTTAGAGGAGCAGTAAAAAAAAAAATATTTTCAGTCGATTGTGTAAATTGCACGTGAGTTCGGTCTGTATGGACATATGTCATTACACCCCCCAGTTGCGCACATTTGAGCCTTCTCCTTGTTGTCCTCACCTCACATTCACACAATTACGTCCGTCTGCTTTTTCCTGTTTCAAATCGGCAGAGTTTCTACAAAAGTTTCCCTCAAGCACATTGATCAAGAATAGAAAATTATCGAACTTTGATCTCTATTAAACAAGAACTCCTCATTTGAACAATTCATAAGAAAGAAATCGAACGTCATGGAGGAGGATGAAGGTGCACAATAGTTCCATTCATCTTGTGTTACGCGCATGTCAAATGAGCAAAAAAAAAAAAAAAAAAAAAAACCTCGCTCAATAGCATATTAAATCGATTGGAATTCAAGGTTCCCAGCACAAATGCTCATCCTATTCCTCGTTGTTATTCTAAATAGAGATCTGCAGAGTGTGTCGCTCAGAGGCCACACCTGAACAGCCGTTGTTCCATCCATGCAAATGCTCAGGAAGCATTCGTTACGTTCATCAAGACTGGTAAGCGAGAGGAGAGAGAGAGAGAGAGAGAGAAAGACATTTGGCTCATGGCAAACCCGAGCCACAATCATTCAATGCTATGCCGTTGTTCCGAGTCGCAAAGGGAAAAGGGCAATATCTTTTAATATTATTCCTCTAACGTCTTACTCCTTCCCATCGCAATCTTTTGGAATCGATCTAGTTTATTAGAATGGCTCGAGCACAGCAACAAAAGGTTCGTGGAAATGGCATCTCGATTCCTAAAGTGGTGGTCACTATTGATTTTACTCAGACTGCCTCTCTAACGCTTATTTCTTTTTCCTCTTGACATTAAGATATTGCGAGCTTTGCAAACATAGCTTCGGATTTACACCTAGTAAGTCGGAATATATACATAATACATTTATGTATACAGCGTCATAAAAAAAAAAAAAAAAGTGCACTAACTTTGGTCTTTTTGCCTTTATTGTTAATACTAGTTTATGCGCCAGAAATGCCAGAAACAATTCCAAAATGGATTCTCATTAAAAAGGGTTTTGATAGTCTAGGAACGGGAGTCAAGTTGATCCTTAGAGCAGTTCTAGTCATGACGATATGGCTTGTTATACTGCCTTATTTCACGATTTGGATCTGGCGCCTGTACTTCTGGGTTGGAGACTGGTTCGCCTTTAGCGCCAATGGATTGCCAGTACCAGTCGATGGATCTTTCAATTCAACAAGAGTAACAGCCACCAACACGGGGACTACGGCAACATTAGATGCAAAAGCCTATGAACAAATGGATAGCTTCACACGGTTTGTCCATCGGACAGTTCCACCAGAATATAAATGGCTCAGGTAGGGGGATTATATATGAATGCAGCCATTATCTCAAAAACATCAGCCAAAGATTGCACGGATAGCATCAGGCATTAATCAACTACAATGGATACATCTATATTAAAAAACTAGCACGTTTATCCTGGATTGCTTCGAAGGGCAGATAATCAGCGCAGTTGTAGTCGTAGTATTTGTCGCCATTTTCTTACTTCGGGAATGGGTTATCCAGAACCAGGATGCTGATGAGAATGGTGTTATGATAGATATTCCAGATCGACCGGTAGAGGCAGCGCAGATCGACCAGGCGGATATCGATAATGTTAACCGCTTTCTTTTAGCTGAGTTACGGCGCCAGCAGGAAGCAGCGAACAGACTGCGGGAGCTAAATGACAGGCGTCCTCCTCAGCAAAATCCACAGGTCTTTCCATTACCTATGCAACGTGATCCAAGGATCGAGCAACATGATCGTCATGATGTTTGGAGGGATGAAGCGTTTGGTTTCGATAATCAGAGAAACCGCCTGCGTCGGACACCATTTTTGCCCGATACGCCAAGGTTCCTAGCTGAAGACACTATCCCCAATAATGAAGAATCCTCGTCATCGTCATCATCATCGTCATCTTCATCATCGTCATCTTCATCATCATCATCTGTACGGCCTGGATTCGTGTATGCTTCCCCCAGTCAAACACAATCGTAAGAATCGTCATAATTAGATCAGTGATGTTATTTTCTTACCGACTATTATCAAAGAAGAGCATAATTGACAATCTTGTTATATATTTACGCATTATAATTTTTAGCGACGCTCCTTGGGCCTATGGATCCCCTTCAACATCATCACATAACAATCATCCCATTGATACTGAAAATGGCGAAGGATCATCTACGGGATGGAGGGCGTATGGTGTACGGAGCAAAGAATCGCCTTCAACATGGGTCCAGTATGGCGTTGAGGATGATGAGCAGATCCAAACACGAGGAAAGGTGCCATTATACTGGAAATTAGGCGCTCCATTAACATACAGAAATCTGTTTTTGAAAACCGATGGCACTGAAATGACTCTGGATGAAAAGATCATTCGCTGTGAGGAGCTCTTGCGAACTATTAATCTTTCGTATAAGGATCGTATCGTGCTTCTTTTGTGGCGAGCAGACACACTGCCCTCAGCACCGATCGATATTTTTGACAATAAATTATTTTCCTTGCAGCTTGATCAGGATACTGCTGGAATGGAGGATTCCCTGGAGACCGAGGTGGTGCGTGCAGAGGAGCGACTTCGAGCCGCTATTGCGGAAGTACAGGGCGAGCCCGTACATATTTTGCGTCCTACATTGCGGCCTGATCAAATCCCAGCACCAGCACCAGCGCCAGCGCCAGCACCAGCACCACCTGCTGTTCCTGCGCCTCCAGCATTGGCGGATCAAAATGACGATCTTGACGATATGAATGTGGAGGAGCTGGATGGGATTTTGGAAGTTATTGGAATGCGTGGCTCATATTGGTTATTGCTTCAAAATTCATTGCTCATGTCAGCATTGATTTGTGCCAGTCTGGGTCTTGGTGTTTGGGTGCCATATATGCTTGGCAAGACGGTCATACTTATGAATCCATTCAACATCCTGCGGATACCTCTCAGGATCCTCAACAAAATCACGGATCCCATTACGGACTTTTTGCTCGATAGGATCATGCCGCTCTTGGGGACTCTCGTGTCGAGGCCGCTAAAATTATTTTCGAATCAAATTGCGCCTCGTGTAAATCCTATGCTTGCGCCTTATCTTGGCGGGTCAGCGCTCGAGCCTTTGACAGATATGATTCAACAGCGCGTGGTACCCGTGTGGAGAACCATTATTGAGGAAGCTGCAGGAACAGCGTCCACAAAGGCGCAGGAGACTTTGAACACAGAGGTCCCGAAAGCTTCTCAAACATCTCTAGCAGTAGGCGGAGCAACTTTCCAGCAATTGATCGTGAAATGGAATGCTATTGCCTATGGAGGCTCGTCCAACAACAAAATTACGGCTATTGCTATAGGTTATGCTATTATATTTGCACTGGCATGGTGGTACATGAACAAACGACATCAGCCTTATGGTAACGCCGTTAGTAAGGTCATACGAGGGGTCCTTCGACAACAATATCTTATTTTAAAGGTCGGTGCCTTTCAGTTTTCTGGCTGATATATTTGGCAGTCAGTGTAATATAGCTGTCAACGTTGTTAACGTGTTTTCTATTCTTAGATCGCATTCTTTGTTACGATTGAGATGGTAGTGTTCCCTCTATTCTGTGGAATTGTTGTTGGGGTGACAACTCTGCCTGTACTTCCTGGAGCAACGCTGGCCTCACGATGGGCATTCTACTTACAATCGCCCAACTGGTCCATCATCATGCACTGGCTTATCGGGACGGCTTTTATGTTCAATTTTTCGGTGTTTGTTAGTATTTGTCGAGGCGTTGTTCGGCCAGGTGTGATGTGGTTTATTCGTGATCCCAATGACGAAGGCTTTCATCCAGTGCGAGAGTTTCTGGAGCGCCCTGTCCTTGTTCAGCTGCGGAAGTTGGCCACCGGTGCGTTGATGTACTTGACTCTGATTGTTCTTGGCGTCAGTATAACTGTGCAGGTCATTAACTTGGTTTTGAGAGGAGCTTTTCCACTTCGGTGGCCTGTTAAGTAAGTGGTGTCTCGCATTAGCTCTGATTTGTTCCGAACGCTTTCAAAAAAAAAAAAAAAAAAAAAAAAAAAAAAAGAGCCATTAGAGCAAACTGTTGATTTTCTTTTATATATTTTCTTATTAGCGAGCCAATTTCGGACCTACCAATTGATATGCTATTGTTCCATTTAGTAGTGCCGTTCACGTTTTCTTGGATCAATCCGGCACAGGTTTTCAGCACCATATTCAAACTTTGGTGGCGCAAGCTTGCTAAGATGATGCGTTTAAGCTCATTCATGTATGGAAAAGAAGGTCAAAGGTTCCCAGAGGAGGAAGGACATATTGTATATCGCACATGGAAGGCATGGCTTTTGGGATGGCGTCCTCCTATTCCTGAACTTGATGGACACGATCACGATATAGATGCCAACGCAAGCACAGTAGGTAGTGGTGAGGAACTCGACATCGACGCTCCTGTCATTTTCGTCCGAGATGGAGGTCTTTACAGAGTACCTAATACCGACCGGATTGTGCACTTGAAAAACCGCCGAGTTCTAGTTCCTGTCGACTCTGAAGGACGGGCACTGGATCCCAAAGAAGATCAACCTGGAGAAATTGATCCGCTTATGGAGATTCAGCCCCGCGGGAGGGAGCCTCGGGGACCGATCGACCCAAGAGTGGGTACGGTGATTGTTTATGCACCACCTAACTTTAAATACCGTTTAATCACATTCATTGTTTTGATTTGGACAACAACGACCACATTCTTGGCATTGTCGGTTATTACCCCACGTAAGTTCTAGCTTTTGACTCCATTGGTTGTACTAATGACCAATCTATAGACGAGGCATTCTATTTTTATTTATTTATTTATTTATTTTATTTTATTAATTTTTATCATTTTTTTATAGTTCTATGTGGAAGATACGTATTTAGTTTTTTAACAGAGAAACAGGTCCACGACGTGTACTCTTTCACTGTTGGCGTCTACTTGGTTAGTGGAATCTGGCATTTCCTGACATGGGCAGAGAAAATGGGAAAGTCTCGTCGAGTTCGACGCAGTCGACGTGGTTCTTGGTTGAAGGCGCTTTTCAAATTTTGCAAGCGCGCGATCAACGTGGTTTATTTCGGTACTTTTCTTGGTATTATCTTTCCTTTCATACTCGGCTTAATGGTGGAGCTCTTCATTATCATTCCCTTCAGGTCTGCGATCAGCGGCAGGAATGAAATCATACCTGTCTTTGTAAGTCAATTGTAATTATCTTTAATGCATTTAATTCTTTTTTTTTTTTTTTTTTTTTTTTTTTTTTTTGTTTTTATTTCACTAACAAATTACTTGGTGTGTTGGATTCACGTTTAATTATTTTGAAATATTAGAGCTGGTCTGCTGGAATGATTTACATGAAGATTATGCATCATATAGCATCGAGGACTCCTGATTTGCCCGTAATGCAGGATATAAACCGAGTTTTTGTCACGACTGATCCTGCGCGATGGAAAGCAGGATATGCAACAAAGCGATTCTTTGCTCCGTACCTTTTGATTAGTATTGGTGTAATCAGTTTACCTGCTATATTCGCCTGGACAGTCGCAGCAGGTCTGCGGCTGGAGGGTGAATCGAGGATATTCTTTTTCAAGATATCATATCCCCTAGTACTATGGATAGGATTAATGATCTTTTTATTCAAAGAGAGCGTGGTGGTTCTCAATGGATGGAGTCAGTATGTGCGCGATCAGGAGTATTTGAGAGGACAGCAGCTTCATAATTTAGTGGAAGACGTCGAGCAAGAGGATGTAGTAGCTATGAGAGATACAGATGCGGAGAATCAACCAGCTCCAGTACAGGAAAACAGACCTCAATCAGAACTGCAGCACCAGCAAGCTGAGCAAGCTGATCAATCTTCAACAGACAAGGGATCTGGAGGAGGTGGTAGGCGCCAAGGGATCTCCGAGCAAGAGTATGATAAATATTCAGGTGGAAGAGAGGCTGGGGGGGAGGCTGATGATGGGATACCAGATTTGGAGTCTGTGAATACTTTTTATGGTGGGCAAGGGGCTCGAAGTACGTGGGTTGGTAGCAGTAGCAGCAGCAGTAGTGGGGCGAACCAACGAGGACGAGGCAATTATGGTTATCCAAAAGCGTATGATGAGGAGGATGGAATCAAGGGTTTGGGCAGCATGAAGGTGGAGGATGAGGATAATAAGCAGGAGGAGATGGATGATGGGGATGGTTCCGAGGTTTTGAGAGGAGAAAGAATTCATGTCCGGCGGAGTCAGCGGTTACAGGCAAATAGAGAAGGTCAAGGTGTCCGTTTCTGAGGACACGCCGACCACGGTTCATTGAGTATCCAAAGTTCTTGACATGTGTAAAAAAAAGGACATCCCAGCCACTTCCCTTGACATCTTTACAATAGCAATAACAACAAAACAACAACAACAACAAAACAACATATATATATATTAAATAGTTTTTCTAAAGCAAGTAGACAAATTTAATAAGCAAAGATTCAAAAGTTTTTTTTTTTTTTTTTTTTTTTTTTAGTTGAATACGGAAGTGTCCGGAAGAAGAGGGAAGTTGTTCGAGAGCTTCATGGCAATGTGGGGGATGTTTTTAAAGAGAGGTGAAGAGAAAGAAGAGAAAGTTGCCCGTCCAATGGATCGACTGAGAGTAAAGTTTTATCTCCTCCACAATGCTGATAACTTTGCATGTAATCGAGTTCCTGGCCACAAAGTTATGTAAATAACAATTGTGAAATGCGGAGGGAAACGTGGCATCTGACCGAAGGCATCATGGGCGGGGGGGGGGGGTAGTCAAGAAGAGAAGGAAGATAAGGAGAAAGAGGAGAAGGAGACGGAGGAGAAGAAAGAGGCCAAGAGGAGGAAAGAAAGGATGAGTAAAGTAGAAAAGAAGTTTTCTCTTTCTTTTTACGGCGCAACAAAAAAAAAAAAAAAAAAAAAAAAGTGCTGATCTGTGTGGTGCCTTAAAATGTATAAAAAAAAAAAAAACTGTTTTTCGTTCTTTCTTTCCTCTTTGACCCATTGAACCACTTTTTATCTTTCTTTGTTCATTCATCTATCCATTCATTCATTTCATTTTTCATTCATTGTTTTCATTGTTTTCATTGTTTATTTATTTCACTCCCCATTCATTGGTTCTTTCTTTTTTTTTTTTTTTTTTTTTTCCTCGCTCTCTCTCTTCTCTCTCTCTCTCTCTTTCTTTTTATTACAATTAATTCTAATAGACAAATATATCTCTATCATCCTAAGCATTGCATTGCAATAACTCATACATCATGGCAACTGCAACAACTCAAGTCCAACAGCAACTCCAATCTCTAAAACAATCCCAGCAGACAGTTTCTACAATTAATTCTTCTACTGCTGCTACGACAACTATCACTAAAAGAGATCCGTTTTGGCTCGGAGGTAAATCATCAAAAACATGCAGATATCTTTAAACATTATGTACAATGAACATTCTCTTTTTTTTTTTTTTTTTTTTTTTTTGGGGTCCTGATCCTGAACAAATAGTTTTATCATAAAGTGCAACATGATCAATAATAAAAACAAGAACCAAAAAAGTTGGTCTGAGATGGAAAAAGAAATTGTTTTTTTCTTTTTCTTTTTTTTTTTTTTTTTTTTTTTTTTGCTAATCAAGAGATCAATGTATCCATGTTTATTTAAAAAATTCTAGGCGCAGCTTCATGTTCCGCCGCTTTAGTTTCACATCCTTTTGATCTGGCAAAAGTCAGGTTGCAAACAACTCAGGGGGCCAGCCAACTGGGCATGATCGGGACAATGATCAATGTGGCAAGGCATGAAGGCTTCTTTGCTCTTTACAATGGTCTCTCTGCGAGTCTGTTACGTCAAGGAACCTATTCGACTGTTCGTTTTGGAACTTATGATGTGTTGAAAGAAAAGTTTGGTCCAAAAGACGGCAGTAAGTTTTTTTTGTCAACAACAATAACAATAACAATAATAATACACGGGCATTTGGAAAGAGGGGATCGGAGTTCCTTTGATCTTTTTTACTCACTAACCGCTTCATTTTTCCCTTTCCTTTTCTACCACCGTTTTCTTTTCTTTTCTTTTTCTTTTCTTTTTTTTTTTTTTTTTTTTTTTTTTGCTGTTACTATTTATCTATTGCCTATTATGTGTAAATCTATCCCTCATTAGGCAGAATTCCAGTGACCACCATGTTATTATGTGGTGTTCTAGCAGGATGTGTGGGTGGAGGATTCGGCAACCCGGCTGATGTGGTCAATATTCGGATGGTGAACGATGGCAAATTGCCCATGAGTCAACGAAGACATTACAAGCATGCGTTCGATGGACTGTACAGGATCGTAAAGGAGGAAGGTCCTTCACAGCTCATGAGAGGATTGGGTCCTAACATGAACAGAGCTATTCTCATGACCAGTTCTCAGTTGGTTTCCTACGATGGTTTCAAACGTCAGTTGTTGGCTACTCCCTGGTTCAAGGATAATTTGATCACACATTTTGCTTCGTCGCTCTTGGCTGTAAGTCTTTTTTTTTTTTTTTTTTTTTTTTTTCTCTCTCCCTACTTTTTTTTTTTTTTTTTTTTTTTTGATGTCATCCTGAGTTTTTTTTTTTCTTTTCTTTTTTTTTTTTTTCTTTCATACCTTTTAGGGCCTTGTTGCGACCACTGTATGTGCTCCCTTGGATGTTCTCAAGACGAGAATCATGAACTCATCAGGAGGAGGGGTAAGCAAACTGCTCGAATCCATTAAAAGCTTGGAGCCAGAATCATCAACTTTATTAACTTCTGAACATTTTACCTTTTTTTATTTTTATTTTTTTTATTTACATGCTATAACCCCAAATTAGACTTCATCAACACAAATGTTCTTCCATATTATCAAGACTGAAGGCCCAACCGCACTCTTCAAGGGCTGGCTCCCAGCATTTTTGCGTCTTGGTCCTCATACCATTGTGACCTTCATAGTCCTAGAGCAACTCAAGGTCATCGTTCATCGTCAAAAGAAATAAACTACTTGCATGCTTCTACTTTCCCATTATAAATGTTCAAGCACAAATCCAATAATTGACTCATTTATCTATACTTGATGCAATCCAGATGACACACATCATACATTTATACAGTTGTATAATTTTTTTTTTTTTTTTTTTTTTTACTCAGCTAAAGATCTGCAAAATAGTGTTCAAAGAAATAGAAAAGCTTACAAACAAACAAACAAACAAATATTCATACAAACAATGAAAAGTACAAAATATGATACACACAGTAGAGCTAAAATAAAAAAAAGAAAAAAAAAAAAAAAAAAAAAAAAAAACCATCCTTCTGTACTTCAGGCGTTACTGAGAAGGAGTATCTGGATTAAAATCGTCTTCGTAAAGGAAATCATCCGAGAAGTCCTGAATGGCAACTCCTGATCCTACAGGTCGATCAAAGATATCCCGTGCGTATCCTAGGTCCATATCCACTCCTGAGGCATTATGCCCTATCGTATAAGTAGGCAACGAGAGAGACATCATCTGTCTACTTCTCCTATCCCCAGTCATTCCTTGATAGGGGTAACGAGAATGCCCTTCATTATGATGGCATCTTCGGCTAATAAATCGGCCTGATTGACCACTGTGCTCCCCGTCAGAAGAGTCAATTTCATCCGACTCTTCCTCCCCTTTGGAGGATTCCTTCTGACTCGAATGGCTACTTCCTACAAGTGTCCGGTCTTCTCGGAGCTGCTGCATCCACATCGCAGCATAGATCCCTCCAGCCTGCATGAGCTCTTCATGGCTGCCTTGTTCTGCAATCTCGCCCTTCTGAATCACCAAGATTTCATCCGCGTCAACAATCGTTGACAGTCGATGTGCAATCATGAGCGTTGTCCTGTCCTTGGAGATGGATTCGATCGAATTTTGGATCTCACGCTCCGTTTGTGTATCCAAAGCGCTGGTTGCTTCGTCGAGAAGCAAGATGGGTGGATTCTTGAGAATAGTTCGAGCAATGGCAACACGCTGCTTCTCACCTCCAGACAGGCGCATGCCACGCTCTCCTACGAGAGTCGAGTATCCCTCTGGAAATCGATTAACAATCTCGTGGATCCGTGCCGCTTCTGCCGCAGCTTGGATACGACTATCATCCTCCCAATCCTCATCTTCATCATAATCCGTCTCCTCGCCTTCAACATCCGCATCCTCTCCACCTTCTGTAATACCTGCATTGTCCGATGACGAACGTGGGTCATTCTTATGCGTCCGTCCACGTCCTGATTTCGAGGATTTCCCACTGAATGAAATCCTACGTGTTAAATTGCCGATGTCACCGTTTCCGGAACTTCCTCCTTGAATAAGCATGCGTTGCCGAGGAAGGTTGGATCGTGTTGGATCAAAGATCTGTGTATGGTCTTGCCCGATTTTACCATACCCAATGTTGTATCCAATTGTTTGATTGAATAGTGTCGTATCCTGTGGCACAATACCAATCTTTCTACGCAGACTGGTCTGGGTAACGTTTTTGATGTCCTGGCCGTCAATCAAGATCCTGCCCTGTGTAGGGTCATAGAAACGGAAAAGGAGTCGTAGAATCGTGGACTTGCCGCCTCCAGAGGGGCCAACTAGAGCAAGCTTTTTCCCTCGTGGGATTCTGAATGACACTGACTTCAGGTTGGGGTTCTGAGGATTATATCCGAAAGACACATTTTCTGTACATCATATTAACAAAAGCAAGTCGCTTCAGTACTATGACTATCTCTGTGCGTACTTTACATAGCAATCGTAATTTACACAAGGATCCTCACAAATACTTCTCTTCCTATTATGCATACCAAAGACAACTTCACCACCAGACATAACAAGTGGTTTAGCTTCAGGCTGGTCCTGAATCTCGACAGGCTCCTTGAACAAATCCAACATCTTCTCCATGTCGATAAAGTTTTTCTATCGGTTGTGGAAGGTATGGATTGATTAAGTTACAGATTGCGTATTCGCATAGGGAAACAGGTACATATTCTATTTTGCGCAGGAAACATACCTGAAGTGATCTGTAGGATGTGCCAAATACAGTCAGCGGCCCATAAAGCTGAAGAATGTATGCATAGTACTGAACAAACTCACCGACCCCCATTTTGTGTTCAGCGACTCTCTTCGCACATAGCAGACATCCAAGTGCCAGGCCCCCTTGGATCACGAGATTGAGGGTTGTATTGAGGATGGCGAGCGTATACTGAGATTTGCGGTCCGCCTTCTGGTATGTATCAATAGCCTCGGCGTATTTCTCAGTCTCAAATTTCTCAGTGGCAAAGAGCTTAATGGTTTCGTAGTTGAGTAACGTATCAACTGCTCGCCCCTCCACTACATTGTCTAGAGCGTTCGCTTCACGACGATAGCGTGTCCTCCAGTCTGTCATAAGGATGGTGGCATATATATAGCAGATCATAGTTATTGCGACAATGATCCCAAAGTATATATCAAATGAACGCGCCAATATCACGCAGGCCACAGCAATGTCGATCAAACAAGGTATAATATTGAATAGGAGCGAGGAGAGCAGCGTAACAATTGATGATACACCGCGATCTATACACATACAAAAAAAAGAAAAAAAAAAGACATAATCAGCATGGGTTGGAAGGTCCAGCTCCAGAAGCAATCGACACTTTAAAGTCATTACCTTGAACACGTAGCATCTCGCCCGTCTTGCGGTTAAGATGAAAACGCAATGACAGATTGAGCAGGTGTTCAAACATCTTCACTGCCAGTTCGCGTGTGTTGAACTGCCCGACGGGGACCCATAGCAGTGCTTGAAGCGTATCGACAGCACCGATGTTGCTTTGTAGTGCCCTGAGGCCAATGAATACCATGATCTCTTTCCAAACAAACCGCGGGTTACCGTTTCCGTCTCTGCCTTCAGGAGCGCCTTCTGCCACTTTTGTCAGCGCATTGACTACGTTTGCCACTTGCCAGGGCACCAGCACATTCACAATACGTCCAATGACTAACAATCCGAGGCAAAGCAGGATGTGGGCTTGAAGTTTCCTTGAGTTGGATGGCCAAAGGAACGGGCGAAGGCGCCTACAGTGTTCGTAAAACTCTCTGAACGTTGTTGGTCTCTTGTAGTCTTTCTGTGCTGTGGTTGTATCCTTTTTGGCTGTTTCTTTTTTCTTTTGTTTGCCCTTGTTGCTCCTGTTACTACTGCTGTCCCCATCATTATCGTGTACAAGTGTGCCATTATTTGAGTGTGCTGACATATGATCTTCTGTGGCATTCCGGTCTGCGGAACGTGTAGTCCTGTATTGATACTCCTGCAACGCTCCTAAGAGGACAAGCATACAGCTCTGGACAAATCGAGCAATCACAGTAATGTTGATGATAATGGATGTAAAGACATCCAAGTGAGCTCCTACACCATCAGATTTATTCTGCGCCCAGGATGAGAAAGAGATGATGGAGATGATCAAAGCACAGATCCAGAAGAGACGGAGTACTTTTGAGAACTGAGGCTGGTGTCGTTCATGAAGAATGAAGTATGAATGACCAATCCAAGCAAGGACATAACATCCAGCTGAGGCCAGGACCCAGCCCATATCCTTAATTTGGTAAAACGAGCCGTCTACAGGTATAGTACACAAAATCAATGAGATGATTTTTAAAGATCACAGAAAAAAAAAAAAGATGGAAAAGTGGAGTAGATGAAAAGGATAAATCAAGGTTTTTTTTTTTTTTTTTTTTTTTTTTTATTCTTTGGTACATGAAGCAATGTAACAAGGCTCTCAATATTGTTGTCACAGTGCATAGCATCAAGCCAATGTCAGTTTATAACTGCACTATTTTATGAGAGTATGTAATCTGTATTTCGGAAACTTACCATCATGGTTTTTAATCAGTAAAGCAAGCAGTGCTCCGAAATTTGACAAGGAAATCAGCAATCCTAAGGCAATTAAGACTGATAGCCAGTATATTGTTCGGCAGATAGTTCTGAGCGGCTGTTCGTTCCACGATCTCCAAGTAGTTTCATCCAAATGGATTCTACCTAAAAAAAAGAAAGAAAAAAAGAAAAAAAGAAAAAAAGGGACATTTGGTTAACCAAAATATCATGAAACTGAAAAAGCACGGACTGAGAATAAACAGAAGCTGTAAGGATGCATAGAACAATCTGGTCAGAAGGAGGTAAATCGCATCAAATCAAAAGAACGTCTTTCGTTTAACAACGTTTCAAGATGATTTTATGATTTTATGGTGTAATGATTTCTGTACAGGCACAGTGAAGGGCAAAGGGGTTTGTTTCTTTTCAATCCTTGTTCTTCATTGACTTGTTGAATTAAAAATAAACAAAAAAAAAACTTCATTTGTACCTTGCTGATATCTCTGTTGCCAGACAGAATAGGTGCCTGTGACTGTGCAGCAGACCAGCAAAGCAGGTCCCTCCAAAATGTCCATTAAAAAAAAAGTAATGAGGGGACTAATGAGACAAGGAATGTGCACTTCTGAAAGAGGAATGAGAGAAATAAAATGAGGCGATTATGGAGTGGTGGAAGCTGAATAACAGTCCGTATGAAAAGAAAAAAAAAAAAAGAAAAAAAAAAAAAGAAAAGAAAAACAGGGGAAGACAGGAAAGAAGAGAAAAGGGGAGAGAGGGGATTAAGAGAAAGAGTGTGGAGAAGAGAAGGTGAGAGTGGAAAGAGAGAGAAAGAAAAAGAGGAAGAAGAGAGAGGAAGAAGTTGTTGTTGTTGTGATGATGGTGGCGAAGGCACAATAACACAATGGGATGTTCCAACAGAAAAATAAGAAAGAAAAGAAGACATGGAAGGTGTACTGGACGGGATACTGGTCAAGACACGCTTCATCATAACATTGTTGATCGCCCAATGAGGAATGGTTCCAAATCATTCATTTCCTATGTATCATACACATATACCATCTTTTTCTGTATCCTCTGGGATCTTCTTACTACATATATAAAGCACATCATGTACATGAAAAGCTTGATTGCCTAATTTCATTGCCTTTCTATCGACTTGTCTATCTGTCTACTCTCTTCATTCTCTTCATTAGCTCAGGGGATGCAAACAGCTCCCTCTCTTTCTCTTTCTTTCCTTCTTTTCTTTTTTTTCATGCATTATCGCGTGTTTTCTTAACAAAGCTTAATTTTCTCTGTAATGAAAGAGGTTAATCTAGAACTACAGTGTACATATTATAAACAATCCCAAATTTGATCGTGTGTCCTTCCTGAACACAAAACTGTCACTGCCCATTTAATCAATCTACTCATTTTGTATCACACTTATTCAAGGGAATTCTGGTCATCAGAAATCACACTTCAACCATCGCAGCCACTCATGCACAATGACCGTGGTGGCTGTGTCATCCCCAAAACTCCATTCTCCGACAACTCTATGCAAACAAAGCTTAATCTTGGTAACCTATGGAGAGATACACGTAGATTAGGATGAATGCACAAACACCTAGCTTATTCTTATAACAGATATGCATAAAATAAAATAGAAATATAAAGTCTTGTTGGGAGATGTCTACAGGTATTCTACAAGTCTATCTTATCGCGTCAATACAAGACGCACTACCATCTCAAGGACGCTTAACGCCAAACCGAGATTAAGCTCCTTGATCTGAAACATTTCAAAAACATCTATAAGTCCACGCTGGACAGCTTCTCTACCAAGTACAGTAGCCAATGAACCTGGAACCATAATTTTCACTAGCTCTCTCGCCTTTTCTCTTGTCGCCACCTTTTCCTCCAAGGTCCGCTCAGATTTTGAAGCAACAGTAGCACCCGTGGGCTGCGTTGCAGTCGCTGTTCTTGTTTCTGATGTTGTTATTACCTTGGGCACCTTGACTGCAATCCCATCACTACCAACTTCGTACTGATCTCCCCCTATTTGAAGAAAGTCTCGTCTCTCATCAGACGCCACATCATTCGGATTTGCCTGTATTGTTGGAGCCGTCGTCGGGGCAGCAGGCCATTCTCCATTTGGCCAGAGAAGGTCTTCCTTCATCCATCGTACGGTCTCTACAGCGCTCTCGTGACTAGAACACTGCTCCACCCATGCTGAAAAGCTTTGATTGATTGCGACCCGATACGATTTGCGCACCAGCTCACGGAGTACACCAAAAGTCATACGACGGATTGACTGACTCTTGGAAAAGTCCATCATATCTTCTAATACAGTGAAGGTAGTCTCTATCAATAAATCCAACTCATCATTAGAGAGCAACGACATTTGTGACTTCTTGGGCTCATCTGAGGAAGGTAATCCTGTTTGTGCTGCTGGAGAAGTTGACACAGAAGCTGGGTTAATCGTTGAAGTTGAATGTACCGGAATAGCCGGGACCCTTTCGGCGGATGTCTCAGGTGTAACTTGTGCAATGTCCACATCCGGTTGAGTTTGCTCTTCTAGCAATTGGTAAGAGAACTCATCCAATGAGTCCGATCCTTGATACGGCATTTGAGTCCTGCGAGGAATGGGTGCATGGACTAATGTGGAGTTCCTGTCGGTCGACTGAGGTTGAAGGTATGGATTGGGTGAACTTTGGGCAACAGCAGTAGTGTTATCTACGGCCTTGAAAAGTCCATTGCTTAAGGATGCTTTGCGCGTAGCAACCCGTGTACTGTCGCTGGAAAGGGACATTCTAGAGTGTGTATCAAACTCTTGTTCATGTAATCGAGTCGTTGGTGAGGCCAGAGAACTTCCATTTGATTGACGGTATTCGTTTAAGGTCGAAATGCTGCTAATGCTCCTGGTGCTCCTTTCACTTTCAAAAGACCCACGAACACTGTGGTCTTCAGAGGCTTGGGAGCTATTAATATTGCTCACGGCTGTTCCTAAGGATTTGAAAAACCTTCCCGCAGAAAGCGAAGCCTCACTTGCTTGCCGAAAAGCTGTCTTGGCGCCTTGTGCGGCAGCTGCTCCCAGAGCTGCACTACCGTCTGAAATTGGAGCTAGGGCTGAGATCAAGCCTGAGGATGAATTCTGACCAGTGATTGCGCCAGGCATGATAGCGTCCGGATATTGATCGTATTCCTTGCTAAGGAGCCAAGCCAAGCTAGCAGACTGGCTTACCTCAGGGATTGCTAACATCGACCGTAGAAAGGTTTGAATGCCATTACACACTTTGTCACTAGGCTGAAGTCTCCACCTTGGGAACGTATTTCGTTGGACGATGGGGAATTGATGAACGAGGGCGCCTTGCAGTTGTTCTAGCTGTTGGAATGTCCTTGTAACCACCCAACCCTGGCCACCTTCTGACTGTACTTCAATCATGTACAGTAGATCGGTAGTTGACATCAGCGTCTTGGGTCGCCGGTTGGTCATATCAGTCACTTTGACTGCACAAGGCTGCGTTCGTGGGGATGCTATAAATTTAGCCACCGGAGATAGCACTGAAGAGGTAGTAGGTTCCTTAGGTGTAGGCTCCCTAGGAGAAAGTGAAGGGCTGCTGTGATTAATTGCTAGGTGGGGCTTCCTTTGACCGATGTCCTGAGAGTGAAGACTAAGATTAGGGCTAGCTACAGTTTGCGGAGATGGTTGCGACCGACCTTGGGGTGTCATCTGTGCTTGCTGTACATTTTTGTCCGTATTTTGTTTTATCCTGAATGGGGCCCAATATTGAGTTTCCAAAACATCTAATGCCCATTCTTGAGGCTCTCGTAAGCAATTTGCTGGATCCCGTTGAAGGTTAGCCTTTAAGGTCTTCAGTAATGCTCCGCTCTTGGCATCTGTGATCCCAACAATGGCATGATCTGGGTCTGGTCCACAGTACGTATTATAAATGCTAGACGCTTCACGTTGAAGATCACTGAAGTTTGCAAAGGTTCCCTGTTCAATTTGTCGATGGAAAATGTCGCTCATGAGCCAGAATTGAACTAGATCCATTGCATCCCACACCTGAAGATAGGCCATAAAGTCCTGATAGGTGTCCATATGATCATTCTTGTTTGTTAGAACCTGCTTCAAGGTGGTAAGTTGCGGTGATGATGATAAAGATGAGGATGATGGGGATGCTTCTGTCCCATTGACCTCATTAAGTGTCGATGGCGCTACAGGCATTGAATCATGCTTGAGAGTAGACTGTCGTCTTGTAGGTAGTTGAGATCCGGAATCAAAGCTTTGCTTTCCTAGCGCAGACTTCCCCATCAAGTTTGCAGCATTCATAAGAATTGAATCGGCCAAGCTAGAAATAGGAGCATCCTGAGGCTTCACCTCCGGATTGCCGCTCTTGTTGGATGGACCTTTAGAGTCGTCTGCAGATTTAGATCCCGGTTTGTCTTGCGTGGGCGTAGTGAAATAGTCGATGATTGAGAGGTTGATATAATCCGGGTCGCAAATATGTTCTAATGTAGCCTCTAAAACATGTGTTGCCATGATCTCCTGCATGACTGCAAATAGCGCCGCTGATTGTTGATCATTCTTAGACAGTAATGCCTGGCATACAGCCTTGGCAGTGCTTCTGAATTGCTTTAGCCTCTCCTCCTTGTGATAACACCGACCGAGAACGGAATCGGGGTTGGCATGTGTTTTGACGTATTCTGCAATGGGCAATTGGCTCGCACGGAGCTCACGGTAAGCACGCTATGTCATCGAAATAGGAACATTGAGCCCAGATCAATATCAATATCAAATATAGGAAAACAAAGGTAATTTTTGATCGATAATATTGGGTATTTTCATACTAAATGCACAATAAAACTGTTTTGGAGTCCAAACACGGCAAGTAGCGCTGTTTCTGGCAGCCGCATATTAGATAGGCGATTTGCGACGTTCATAGCCATGGTTGCCAGTGAAGTGCGGAGGGGGATGTTGTGCTGACCCTCCGCAACCAGGCCTATTGGGATATTCACAAAGTCTCTGACGGTATATGTGATCATCTCCTCAACCATTGGATCTATATCTGGTGAGATAGAAACACGTTGGTGTTCAGCGCCGTTGATCTCTGCGACTATCTCTTCTTTCTATGCAGGCATCAACAAATGCATACGTTAGTGTTAGGGTTATACTTATATACTAAGCTCAACAGACGTTTAATAAGCTTGCTAGTATCCATTCGATCATCCAAGGTAAAGCCAAGCCTTTTTTTTCATCCTCTACCTTCTGCGTTGAACTTGACCATGAGGGAACGCCATCAACGATGTCGACATGTTGAATATGGTGCTTGCCGAAATTTGCTATAGTTTGCGCTCGTTTGAGTCTTGTATCTTCAGGTACTGCGAGTAGGTAGAACGCCGCGAGGAAGCCACCAAACCCCATTCCCATCACACCGACAATGATGAGACTCCAATTAAATTTCGGCAAACAATAGCCTATTACTAGCATACCCAGTACTA